TATTTTGTTTAGAAAAAGTAAAGATAGCTGTAGACTATGTCATTTTGAATTTTCCATGTTTTATTACAATATTTCAGACAGTAGCTATTCAACAACTGGTCACACTCTCACTCCGAGTTACAAGTGTAGCGACGGGATACAGAATGCTTTCTCACCTTACCTTTTCCCTTGCGTGATAGAACACAGCCTCCTCTCCGCCTCCATGGTTTATATCATTTGGACAAAGGTGGGAGAGAAAGTCCAGATGCGTAGGACTACGTATATAGAGGACGGAAACATTGATGCCAGTGAAGAAAAGGATGAAAACCACGTTGGCACACCAAAAACTGATTCTCTTGGTAGATTTGAAGTCGGTAAGCGGAACCACAACGGTTATTTCACTTATCACTTTGGGACATACTTGGGCTTTCTTCTGTTATGCATTATGTTAGTGGTCATCATGATGTTCTTGCACAATGCCGGTCAGGAAAAACACAGTAATGGGTTGTTTGAATTGCACCGTTGGCATTCCACTGTAACTTTGTTCGTAGCAGATTTTTTATTCAATATTTTGACCATTGTGACATCGATTTTTACGTACATCAAAATGAGCCCTTTGGCGAAGAAGAATACTTTTCTTAAAGAAGCAAGACACCGCAGAGAGCGCAGGATGTTCGCAGAGGAGAACCGACATCAATTCAAAATGCTCGACAAGGCTTTAATGGGTGTATCATATATGGGCGTATTAGGATATACCATTCTCACATTTATAGCTGGTATTTTTGGGGATACAGAAAACGACAGTCTCAGGACCTTGGTCATGGTTTCGATTTGTATCGATATCATTAGTACAACCATGCAGACTGTATTCCTTGTGGCTTTCGCTTTGCCGCGTCGCTCCATTACACGGGAACACGCGATTGAAAAACCAGGAAGGCAAGGGCTAATTTTCCTTCAGTTTATCAATTTTTGCTTGTGGGCTCTTGACACTTTTGCTTTACGAAGTGCTGATCCAAACACATTGCAGCAAAACTTTTATTCATTCACTGCTTGGGCGATACTCTCTACTTTGACGTTTCCTTTAGTGATTTGGTTTCGTTTTCATTCTGTCGTGGTACTTGCTGACGTCGTTAAACACAGTTATACCGACAAATATGTCGGATTGAAAACTACAAAGAAAAGAAGATGAATGATAAAGTACACTTTTCAGCACAGTTAATCTTATGTTACTTTGATCAAACTTATTCAGCTGCAAATATACACTATGTTATGAAAAATCACTTGCGATAAGTGAATTGTGCAAGGGCATGTCTACTATTACATATTTGATCAGAATAAATGATGAGAAATTAATGGATTTATGTCTTTTTTAGCAGAATTATATTTTTCCATTTTATATATAACGTTACTCAAACAGTTAAGTACATCAAGAAATAATGACATACATGCTGAAACCCTTAAAAAATGGAAGCGCCATCATCAAAAAAGTAAAACATTGTCATCATTTTTGACGGATCGAAAAGTTTGTTCAATTCAAAAATATGACGCACAAGTGCACGTATATCCGACTAACCCCCCCCCACCCCCCGTGGCCATGTCTAAAAAACGATAAAACCCCTCAAATTAATTAAAAGTACCTCAGATCGATTTTAATATCGTGTTTAATTTGACTGGCCAGTAATTTATATAATTAGAAATTGTACAAAACGTCGAACCCGAGCACAGGCACGGGTCCAGCAAATATTCGTGCGCAGGAGATTTTTTCCGAGGAAAATCCGATTTGGGGGGGGGGGAAAGACGGATAGGATGTCTTGAAAGGGTATTTACCATGCCGCTATGGTTTGCGTAAATATGTATATGCCAGGTATTTTGAGACTAAAATAACATCCCGTGCCATCTTTGTATCGTATTAAAAAATCAAAACATATGACCCCTTCTTTACATTGGGTCAGCTGCATTTGGCTAAAAAGAATGCTAGGATGTTTCTGTTGTTCTTCGGTTAACCATAATTTTAGGTCCAAAAACAGTGCCATGTAACTACACAAACTATCATCATTCTGCATAGGGTATTCGCATTAGAAATAATTCTAGTGGAAATTTGTGAACCACAAAACATCTTGTGCGATTACCACAATGATACGGGACAAATACAACCATGGAATCAACCATGAAATTCTTGACAACTCCCAAAACAAAAAATATAAAAGCATTAAATGGGCACATGAAAACACGTACATACCATTCAAAGAAAAAGTCGAAATGCAAAAGGAAACGAGTAGTTTATTATCGTATCATATTTAATCGTAAATGAATTTTCAGTTTTTCAAACATTTTATTGGATAAGCAACTACAAAACTTATCAATTCCATTCCATTCAATTTGATTTAAAAAAATTCATAAGGATTATATATAATTTTATGTGTCATAGATGCATTTTGTTTTATTTTATTTATTACAGTCGAGTCAAATGGAGTACCTCAACTTCATGTTTTTTGAAATGGTTCTCTACCTTGAAATTATAAACTATATGACTCACTTCATTTAATCGGTTAAGCTATCAATCTGTATCAGGACAATCTAGAAGCCATTTAGCTCTCAGTTTAGAAGTGTAATTAAATTAAAATGACCATTTCATTAACCCACCTGGATGGGAACGCAGTAGGCTACTTAGTCACCGTTTATGTGAAGATATATAAGTAGAGAAATAAATGTAGGGAACCACAAAGCAATTGAGTTAGCAAGCTAGTAGGCCTAAGCTAGCGAACAAATACTCTATGCCTATAACAAGAAAGCAAAATACAAAGCTTTGCTGAATGCATCGCTTTCGTTGCAAAATGGATGCTCAATGATCGGCCAGTTGTCGACACGTGAAGTAATTTTTCACTCTCAAACGGGGGCGTACTACGGGACGCAGAAAGGACGCCGTCCAGTGTAAAGGGGGCTTAAGTACAATGCCCCAAAACAGAAAAATCAAGAAGAGAGTCTTTAACTAAAAGATTTAAGTTAAAACTTGTAATTGGAGCATTCTGGATTTCTACACTCCGAGATTGACAACCACAATTAAAATGTTCCTGTTCGAACTATTATCTGAAAATTTCCACTTCTCCAAATAGGTGTCGTTACTGGTATCTCCCCACCTGAGCTAGCTGAGCCGTATTGTTCTGAGTGTCGATTGTATGCGAGAACCGTAATAAATAGCCAAGCATACTATATATATCAACACAAACTGGAGAGTGTTACAACAGACACTATTGCTCTACCATTTTGTCAAGTAGATTCACGACAAGGAATGTATAAGAACTAGCAAAGGCAAAGAAAGGTGAGTAAAACAATAGGAGAGTTCTTTTCGTCGCAGTCTACGTTATATGGTTAGTACATGAATGAGTTGCTTTAAAATGTGACGCTATATATCGTGAGGAGGTTAAGTACCGTTTGCATGTCGTTGGGGTTGTCAATCTTAATAGATAGAGAAATGACACCGCGTCAAGTATATTAGTTCTTAGTAGAACCTCTTCTTATAAATTGTAATTATTTAACACTGGGCTATCCTGAGCCTCTGTGGTAGATCCTTTTTTTTTCAATGAAGCAACATTGTAAACTTTCGCAACAGACAAGCTGGTCGTGCACACCTGTACTTTTTAATGAATTGCTCTTACGAAAAGAGAAACACACTAAACCATGGGTTAAGTTCTTTATCATTTGCGCAACTTTATCGCTAATCTTGTAAGCTAGGTTATGTTCGCGCACGTTCAACCACCCTCCCTCCCGCTTAGCAGTGGCGCACGCGTTGCTCAAAGACTAACATTGGCACTTACTATTTAGTTTTTTATATGTAGCACATTTGTTAATGCATACATATATAAATCTAATAGATAAAAAACGTAAATTTAAGTGTTTTAACATTAAAGTGCATGATTTTTCCTTCAAATAAAAGCCACCCTTGGTATATTGCTAAAACGTTGCACTCTAGATGCTTGCTTTGCTTAGATAAAGGATGGAGAATGGTGGAGATTCTCTATATAGATGCATGGGTATATAGGGTGAGACAAGCAAAAAAAAAAAAAAAAAAAAAAAGGCAGTTTTAGGATTCTAATTTATCTTTAGGAAATTTGTTAAGTGGAAAGACATGCAGGCCCAGGTTTTACATTATCAATATTAGAAAAATAGAACAAGACCTACAATCTAACAAAAATAACAAATACTTTTGAATGGTATATACTGCATTAAAATGATTCAGGTATTTCTTCAACACTAAACGAAACAAAATTTTGTGGTCCACATTAGTTTAAAGGTACACTCCGTGTTTGAAAATCCCCAAAATGTATAGTTTTTTTTTGCCATCCACAATTTCCTATAAAACCTTATATACACCTTAAATATGATTTAACTCCTTAAAATAGTTTTTTTCCTGAAGCATACTATAATTATGTTGATATTTCCATATTGGAGATTATAGGAAAATGGTGGATGTTATAATAACTGATCAGTCATTTTAAGCTAAAATCAACCTTTATTATTTTTATCAAAGGTCAAATCCCAGTGCAGAAGGGGGTTGTTAAATATGGTTCATGAGTACAAGAAAATGGCTTATTTTCTTGGGAAAATCTTTTTTGGTGGGTAAATCTCATGGAGTGTACTTTTAATTGTAATACATTTGCTCTGAGAACTTCTTTAAATTAACTCGTGTCCAAGTTACACTGAAGTTATTTGGGTTCCGTTATTTTAATAATATTAAAATATTATTTTAAAGTATGCAATAATTTGACTTGCATTTATCCCTTTCCTTTTACTCTTAAATTATACTCAAATGCTATAAGTGGGCTATTGCATCACAATTTCTAAGATTGGTGTATGGTACTGCGTGGCACAAGCCAAACAAAATTACATCTAATAGAGGCTTCAACAAAACCTTGAAATTTAACCCAGAGTTGGTCCAAATGTATTGAGACAATGTAATGGATTTCCTCAATGTGGTCTGACATGAAAATCATCATCAATTTTAAGTGTTGGGCATCACCAGAGGAAATTGAGGGGCAATTTTTGTAGTCAATTACAAGATAATTCAGTATAGTAAATTTTGTGGAACAATGTCTTGCTGCTGCTGTGAGCGATTGCATAGCAATCTTCGTGTTGTTATAAGTGGAAATGCCATTCACTTAAACTAGTGGCTTTGTCCAAAAGCATTTCATGTGATGTTTTGTGACAGAAAATGCACAATAACAATAAAACATTGGTTATACTTTTTTAAGTGATTATATTACAATTAGGAAAAAACAGGAAAAAATTAATAATGTTTTTGAATGTAAATGATACTTGATACGCCTGATGCAGTCTGTTGTATATTTTGTCACAAATGAAAAGAAAAAAGAATCAAATGCACATTGCCTTTAACATTGTGAAGAGACCTGCGCTTACCTAAATGGAACAGACATGCAATTCTCTATTTCTGTGCACCTGGAAATGAAATATAATGGTGTTGCAGCTCCTTTTTCCTCCATCGTGAATGTCTTCTTCTCCCTGATACCTACTTTAGTATGGGGATCAGGGAGGAGGCACAGCTAGTAATCCAGATTACTTTATGATCTCAAAGTTTGGATTACTTTCCTCTCAGTGGGCTTAAAGGATACATAAAGGAGGCAAAAATGAACTAACTTACAAACCTTATCAGTGTCACTGAACTGAAGCTAGGTGGGGTCAAGACAAGGAAGTGTCATCTTTTAAAACATGGGTAAATGACTCTCCAAGATAACATCATATTGTGTTTGCTAGACCTAGAGAATGATATAAGGAGGATTTTAAAGAAAATGATGTGTACATTTTAAAGTATCATTTTTAAGTTGCATTTAAAAATGATACTTTAAGTTGCATTTTAAATGATTTAAAGGTTGAAATCCAGTTTACTTATAAAAAATTATGATATGTTCAAAAGTTTTTGGTATTCATTTTTTTTTTCTTTATTCCAGTCACCACACAGCAAGGCGTATGTATCCAATGAGCATGAAACAGATGAAGTATTCATATCAGTTTTGTCAAGAAAAAAAAGGATCCACAAGTACTAAGTAGAAAAGGTTGACATTCTAAACAAGATAAAGTTGTAACCTGCCAAGTACTGAGTATTGGGGTACTATATTCTGACAGTTCATCTATCAAAATGATCCTTGTTACTGTGGAAACATTCTCCCACATTTCTACAGGGATTGCTGTGCTTGGTTTGAGTTTGAATGCAGTGTTTTTATGCAGCCTTATCTGCAGCAGAATATGCTGTAAACTCAAAAGACACCCTCTGCTGTATCATCTCATTTTTGTCCTCACATTTAGCTGCTATGTGTTGCTGGGAACATCCTTCATTCTTCATGTGCTCAGAGGATATCTGTCAGATGAAGAAAAACATCTATGTAGAATTGCTGGATTCTTGGGAACTTTTTCAGCACAAATTATCCTATGGCTGGTGCCAACAAGTACCTCTCTTCTTTTCATTCCCCCATCTTCACAGAATGAAAAAATGCACATATATAATTACTGCATCATTNCGTTAGTCTTACAACAGTCTTACATCCGTGTGCCAGTTTGTCTAGTATGAAGTGTTGTTGTGGACGTGTGACACAGAGACAGGAGGATGCACCCTTTGAACTGGAAGACATGCAAGTTTTGTCAATAAACAAGAAGGTGAGGTTGGATGATTTTTGTGACAGAATGCATACTTTTGTATTTGTGTTATTTTGTGTAAAATCAGAGATAAACTGTCGATAATTAATACAACATTTCTTCAAATATTTTTCATTTTTAAAGAGATAGATCCTTGATGTGAAATACTCCATTAAGTATAGATGTTGATCAGTGCTGTTGATACTTGTTGCCCATAGTCCATATCAGACACTAAGTTTTACACCTGTAACATGGAAAGGATTAATGGTAGTTACTAGTTATATGTGAATATGGTAAGGCCACATTAAAATGCACCAGCTGTAACTTCACCCCAACTTCAAGACCATATCAAAATATTGATCAGACCATAGTTGATGGCTTTGTGGGTGTGCTCCTCTTTGAAGTAATATAGTATTTGTGAAATTTAGTAGTGTTACTGTTATGTTTGGCAGATTTAATTTTTCTGCTCCATATAGCTCACGCAAACTACCTCTGCCATACAGTCACATCAAAAGATCTCAGTTAATAACAGTGCTTTTATGTGGTAATAATTAATATCTTTTGATTAATAGGGATAAAACAATCTCGATCATATGTTAATAATAATAATCCAATATGCCATTTTGGAAAACTGAACATACACAAAAATTAATGAATAAGTAAATAAATTAGGAAATACAATAAATAACTGAATGAATATATAAATAATTATTAAGTTGTTTCATAAAATAGAAAAAAAGTATGTCAAAACAAACAGCTAAATTCTAGTCACATATGCAAACCAAATGAAAACATGATACATGCTGCTAGTATTTATCACCCATAAACCTTTTTATTCAACTGTCACCTCAAAACTTGTCACCTATTCATTCTGAAAAATATGTCTAAATTTTAAAAATAGATTGATAATAATGCTCTTCTTTCAGTCTGTGCAAACAGAGCATAAAATGACCATAAAAAACGCTTAAGAAATTCTAACAATTTGTATGTTTTGAAAAATGTTTCTCCATTGAAATGTGTACCTAATTCCATAAAAAGGGTGACAATAACTTTGCTGTTCATCGTTACAGACTCTTCTCTTTGTGTTTGACATTTATTTCATGTCCCTAAAGCAAAAAGGGGTTTCATAGTATAACCTGAGACTTCAATTAAGTTGAGCAAAACCAAAGTAAACCCATATATGTGTGTGTGTGTGTGTGTGTGTGTGTGTGTGTGTGTCCAGCTCCTTTAGCAAAATCCTAAATCCTCAAATACATGCATGTGCATTTGGCCATCATTTCACATAATATGATTGTGGCATAATTTTTTACAGTATTACTTTAAGAATTTAAATATGTTACCGCAGATATTTCTGTCACATTTAATGATTATTTGAATGAAAAAGGATGTCTGAAAATTTATTTTGAAAGGACATGACTATAAAGTGCACTGAATTGTCTAGCTGTAGCACAATGCACTGAGAGAACATTATTTGAATGCACTAAGGCTAAACTTGCAACTTTGACCTTAGACATTACTTGAGGTCAGCAATCCCAATTGAAGAAATCATGGTGATCACTTAAGATCATTATCCCATAGTTCAAGCTTACGCTACCAAGAGTATAACTGATGGAAAAATAAACAATTTTCCCTGACACTTACAAATGATTGATTTTCATATGCAGGAGATAACTCACTCTTTTGGTGCAAGTGTTAGTACCTTCAGTAACCTGCAAGATAGCCAACCAGGCTTCGCAAAATCTTTCACGTTTGCTTTCAAGCTAGCTCATAGTCACAAAAGCTCAATGTATAAAGCACACAGAGGTCATAATGAAATGTGAGACAGGGCAATTCTTTGTGGAAAAATTATTTGAAAATAGTTTAACTGCCCATTCAGTGAGGTGTAAAATATTCATTCGATTGGGTTTGCATATCTCCCCTCTGGCTATATGTAAATATTATACCTAATGAAGGGTGTTAGTATGCCTTACAGATGACACAAGTTGCTCATTGCAGTGGTTAGATTCCTCACTCCCTTGCCTGGCAATCTGTGAAAGGTAACAAACTACAAAAGGCCCGCAACCTACAACCGAGATTCTAGTATCAAAGGGCACAATTGTAAGCTAAATAAATTTGAAATATGTAAATATTTATGTTTATTCTACAATTACATTAAATTAAAGTATGCACATTGAATGAAATGAAAATCAAATCAGGTTTTACTGCTTTATTTGGATCATGTAGAAATTAGGAAGGAGAAATATAAACTTCATAAAATTAGTACAGATTTTTCTTAACAGGTGCAGTCATATCATATCGTTTTAGAAATTCTTGAAAGAAGGTTTACTGAAACATCTGTATAATAATATCAAAGCAATTATAACAAATGTTTAACTCTGAGTTTAAATTCCTTGCAGTAAGTATTTTCTGACCACCCTCTTGGATAGATTTATTTTCCTATGCAAAAATAACTACCTTTAATTTAATATCAGATTTCTATGTAAATATTAGAAGTACCAAAAACAACAATAAAAATGTGTAAATGAAACTTTTTTTGTAACAAATACGTAACTGATCTATTTTAACCCCCAAAATTTAATCCCTGGGTTTAAAATTGCAAAATAAACAAGGATATCAAGCATAACAAAAAGGTAAAGAATTATTGTTACTCATTGTTTGTTGGGGAATGAATTTTGGGAAATCTAAATTGTGTCAGCACGACTTGAAGGTGCGTCAAGTGATGTGACAAATTGAAATCAAGAGTTTGTTTTGACGACCAATAACCTGAAGCCCCCAGTGTCAAAAGGAGCATTCAGATCTCGATTTTCAAAGCAGAAAACTAATCTGTTCCTAGCAGCTTCTTCACAACTGGAGTCACAATTAAATGCAAAGACATTTATGAGGGACCATTAAAAGAAACAAGAATTTTAAAAAATAAGCTTTTTTTAAACACATTCTTTTCTGAAAGGTTAAGTAAAAGTGTCTTTATAGGTAACACTTCAACAACCTATTCTGTTTGGTTTTAAAATATTTTTATGGGTACAGGGGTAAAATTTTCGAAAAATTATGGAGCAATTTTTTTTTTTTTTTGGGGGGGGGGAAGGGAGGGATTCAAACTTTCTCATTAAAAAAACATTGTTCAGTTTGACAGCAAGCACATGCAATGTAATGGCAAGATATGGTAATGAATTTGCCCAAAGCTGTATTTAAAAAAGGTCTGTAACAAGTTTTGGTTTGAATGAACCAAAAATACAAAATTAAAATTGCACATTGAGGTAAAAGTAACCAAAATCTAATCTCATGGACAATTCTGTCCATATAATCTGCCCTTAAGTTCTTAATTTATTATTAGTTTGAACACAGAACAAAAGTCCACATGGTTGCCAAATGATTTAAGATGTTTTCATCATTTTTCTTCATCATAACAGAATGGGCCCTCGAAATTTAAAGTAAAATGGCTTCAGGGAAATGAAGGTCTGGTAAAACAAGGGACAGTGAAGCTCTATCCTCCACATTTGAGAGACAAGTGGACCACTGAGAAGGCGGTGTATGACAGACTTGCCCTGTCAGAGCATGAGAATCTTGCACCATGTCTGTGGAGGGCTAATCATTTCCACTTCCCAAGTGACATTGAGAGTATGGATTACAACTGGATGCAAAAGGAGTCTAGGTTGGTATAAAAATTGATAATAATACAATGATAAAGCATTTAATTAATGGAGGGTTTATTCAGGTATTGAAAAATAAATAAGAGCTTATAAAAGAAGTTTAACGATCACAGCTTTGGAATATTCATTACATATCTGTCATTCTTACTCACTTTTAAAAAAGTTTTCTTTCAGAATCAGTTAAATGATTATTGTATAAATTATGTAGCCAGTTTTTCCCTTTTTTTATTCAGAATAATCTGCCAACCTTACTACCGCCTTGCCAGACTATATGACTTTTTGCAGCACCATGGCCATGCTGTGACAGAGGTGGTCCTGCATAACTTGACAGCAGATATAAGCAGAGGCTTAGCACACCTGCATGAGCTGGGCATTGTCCATAATAACTTGACCACCAAGACCATATTTGTCCAGGGATCACTACAGGTGCATACACATTCATTTTAACTTCTTCATTTCCTCAATTTATATCTGTAGCTATTAAGGCAAAACAGAGTGCATTTTAAGCACAGGGCGCTGTTTTCATTTCTCAGTTTGAATAGCGTCTGTGTCATCTTGTAACTGAATAGATACAATTTGTGGTTGCAGGTGGGGGGTAGTGTTTTGTTCCCTGACAATAACCTTTCCGTTTGCAGGAGTTGCTAAATGTTTGTCACAGTATGTTTTAATTTAATACAACTGACAGTATTTGGCAAAAAAGGTTTTAATACCTTATTATTTTTATTATTATTATTATTATTATTATTATTATTATTATTATTATTTTTGTAATGCATTGGGAAAATCAATACCATGCTTTCAATGTGCAACAAGCCACTGAAATAATTAAAACAATTTCATAGGGAGTCATTCTCAATTTTACCTAGACTCCAAATCAAGTTTAGTGTTATATTAAGCAATAATGCCTGGTTGGGAAATTAAAAGATTACCTGATAATGACAGTAATGGGGACACCAGCCACCTGTTTATCTCAGTACTTAACACCCAGTTAAATAGCTAGGAACAGCAATTATATGATTTGACCTAAGTAAAATGCCCTAATAGTGCAGAATAATCCTCTTACCTTAATATGAATGAGATTAGTAATTACACTGACCATGTCCTAGAAACATTTCATGTCGTGTTCCCCCCAACCCCCTAAAAATACTGTCAGCATGCTAAAATATGTAGAAACTGCCTTTGTGTTGGACAGAAAATTATATTGTGAATTTTCAATCAAATATTCATCAATGTTTTAAAATGAAGTATATATTTAGTGTGACTAGATTACAATTCATATTTTTGAAGTCTGAAAAGAAATTTTTTGATGTCAGAAGCTAATATACCAAGAGGTTGGCACATCTACAGGTACAGGACATGCAGTTAGCCACAAGTGGTTTTAGGTTAAGAAAAGAACAGGACCAGCTTTTCTGTGGCTTAAGTGCCCGAGCTTTGTGCACATACTTCCGTAGATTATGACACATCCTTAACTGAGTACTTGAAACACCAAACATTGCTTCTCCATCTGACCGCCTTTCATTACTTACATGATAACGCATTAAATGTAAGAAAACTGTTATGCGTAAACAATCAATACTTTCCTTCTGCAATACAATAACAATGATGAAACATTTTGTTTTCAGTATTATGCAATACTGATACTGAACCAACATACTCGAGGCATACTCATATCAAAGAAGTGTTTTACTTGTGTGCAATAAAAACACTCTCTTCACCTTTGTCATATGTAGCTAGTGTATCACAATTCAAATAACATCAGTTTGGCTTAGCAGGCTGTAAAATTGCAATATCTTAGTCTAAGTGTGTGGTCAGTGTGTGGGATAACCTCATAATGGATCCACCAACCACAGGATAATATCAATTAAAATTTAAAGATACACAGTTTGTCCATCAGCTTCTCAATTTTAAAGCTTACTAAAATAAGCAGATTTCCTATTAGTACAATTGCTTATCTTTACAGTGATAGCTTAAGGTTTAAACGACGCATTTAAATGTTACCTTAGACATTTTAGGTGTTTTTATGTTACTAAAAATCTCAATATTTTAAACCTTTGACAGCATTTTAAAGAATAATAGTAAGAATGAGTCCAGAGACCACTGTAGACATTGACTTAAATAGTACCTTTAATTTGGAGTACACAATAGCCTTTGTGACCAAAGTCACTATGCCATATATGTATATTAAAGTAAGGGGAGACATCTTATATGCATTCCAGCTAGGTTGATGACCATGTTTAGTGCCTCCAGCCCGAAGGCACAGGTATCACTGGGCAGCTTATTTAATAGGAGGAACACTGCATTGTCAAATTGGCTACCCAGCAGTAATAAATTTGACTGGGAGGAAAGGACTTGCATTTAAAACATGCCACTTAAAAGAAACAGGGTTGAAGGGTGATGTGAAAGATGGTTGCTTTAATTGAGACAACTCCACTCCCGCAATCATTTATCACATGGCTTAAGTTAATAAATCAACTGAACTGCCACTGTGGAGACTGTGGCTGGTAGGATTCCAAAGGAATGCCACACTGTAAAACTGCTGTTATTTTAATGGATATGTTGTCCATACCTAAGGACCATAATCTTTACTTTGGGCCCAGTGATTAATGAATTTCTTGTCCACAAATGTAGGTCCTGACCACTGTTCAAGCAGCCAAACTTAAGGTTAACACATTTTTTTTGTAACATGTTCTTTTTTTTTTCAGACCAAGTCCCTTCAGGCAATTATTGGAGACTTTGAAAATGCAACAGTTATGAAAATGCCAAAATTTCACAAAAAGGCAATTAGAGAAATGGATTCTAATCCATTCAAAGCAGACATGAAAGCTTTGGGATTGATCATATTCGAAATGCTGGGTGTATTAAATCATCAAACACCCTCAGTCACTCACTCAGCCACTGGAGTAACCAAAAGCAATCAAAAGAACAAACCACTTTCTAAAAATAGGACCAAGAAACTTCCAGATATTGTTACATCCACATTACATCCAGGTTCTCACTCAAAAGGTAGAATTGGCAGGACAAGGAAAAGAACTTTACCAGAGGTTCCGTCACACAAAAAAGAAAAGGTCCAAAATTTGTACAGCATCGATGAAGATGATGATGCAACAAAATATAATCAGCTGGCAACAAATTACAATAAAAACATGGAAGGCAATCAACAGACATTACCCAAAGAACATTTTCAAAGTAGCTACAAGCTTTGTTATGATACTTTGTCCATTGCTAGTGTCGATAGCATACAGTCCAGTGACAGTCAGATGACAACCCAGCTCTCCACTGCCAGAGATCCCAATTATGTTGAGCCAAAATCATCAAGAACCTCTGGACATGGTATCAGAACTAAAAGAAAGCTCCCCTTGTTACCACGGCTACAGGAAGCCCCAGAAGCTGCAAGTGCCTTTATTCCAACTCAGCTACATACAAATCTCCAAAATGAAAACCTGCCCATCAAATCTAAATTTACCTCGTTCACAAATGCAGAAGTCCATACTGCATGTGCAGCTGGACAGCACCAGCCCAGATCAAAAAAGGATTGTCAGCCTCAATTTGTAAAGAAGCAGACCAGTCTCATTACATCAGGGTTTGATACTGCTGAAATACAAAATGGGAAAGGCACAAGGAATACTAATCCACATTTATACAGCAGTCAGATTACATCCATCTCCACAAATGCAGCAACTACTCCAGAAGACAGTGCAGAAAAGAGAAACTCCTCTACCTCTCAAGAGAGCACGTGCAGCCATGACAGTGGTGTGGTGCTGAGACCAGAGGGACTACCACTGGGAACACGACCTGGGATGTACTTCAAAAATGAACCTAGAACAAGAAAAGGAATATACACTCAACCCCTGAGAAGCATGGGGGAAAGTCACTCAATTTTAAGTGGATTCATCCAGAAACAGAAAGCCCGTCACAAAACTGTCAGACCAAATGTAAAATTGAGCTCCAGCAGTGCTGAAAATGGTAATGTCCCTAAGAACAGATATTCTGTGGTTAGTACTGACTCTGGCATTAGTTATGGTCACAGCACCATACCCAGTCCTTTTTCACAAAGGCATAGCATGGCAACAGATTCTGACAGTGTGTTTGGTAGTCAGCAGTCACTTCATGGGGGCAGAAACATCGACACTGGTCAGTTTGGCTTGACCAACAGTGACCTCTCCTCAGTGAATTACTATGAAATGAAAAAGATTCCCTCTTCATCTAAATCTGCATCACTCTCCCAATACAAAAAACACAATGGTTCAAAATCAAATCACAACATTCATACCTTGGAGAATTCTGATGTTAAGCCACAACCATGGTGTGCAAGGGAATCTCCATGCTCTCTCTCAGAATCCACTTCAAGTAGATATCAAGAGAGTCCCTATCTGCCTGTAAGTCCACCAGACAGTTTCTACACAAGCAGAGAAGACCTGTATGTCAGGATATCTGATGTCCAGTCTTTGAAACACAATATCATCCTCAATGATTCTGATGACAAATTCAACAATCCAGATGCTGATAAGCAAAATACAACTCAGACTGGTAGCAAGTCTTTAGCAGATCCGATTGCCGAGAGGTACGACTTACCAGTGCATCTCAAGGGAGTTAATACTGAGCAACCTGTGTACAGTACACCTTCAGCTATGTCCAAATCAAACTATGCCAGCAGTAAACCATTACCAGGTAACAGACCAGGTAAACATCAGGCACTTTCACTCAAAATAGATGGAAAGTCATCTTTGTCAGAGAAGAAACTTATTTCACGAAAATCTCCCCTCACAGAGGAATATCTCAGGAAACAAAGGATTCTTCCTAAACTGAACAGTTTAGGCCAGGATGACATCAAAGATGATGAGACAGATTTTTGTTGGGATGACACCTATGAAGATTTTGCCTTACCACATCAGCATAAGGTATCTGGCCACCTGGTGTCCAATAATAAGGCACCGCAGTGGTCACCAGTGGACAGAGTTATAGACACTCAGGAATGCAATGTTAAACCACCCAAAGTGACCCAGCTGAGAGACTCTGACACTGAATCTGTTAGTTCACTAATATCTGATGCCAATTTAATTATACAGAAAATGAAATCCTCGAACACTTCAGTCAAAACTGGCCTCACCAATCTGGAAGAGGGTTATGAGAGTGACACATTGGAAACCATATATTTACCTGGCCAAGAAAGTACCGGTGGGTATAAAAACGACCCTAAACCCCACTTAGGAAACAGACAAAAACTGAACAGAAGTGTCACTTTTTGCTGGGATGAAACCAAATCTGCAAACCGCAAAGTAAAATTGAAGAACTTAAAAAGACCTGTGGGAAAGAAAAACATGGAACCACTAGCCAGTGGCAATCTTTCCAAAAACTATGCTAAATTTTTCCCAGCCAAACCTGCCATACCTACACAACACCTGCATGCCATGAAAAGTACAGGGCAACTAGGAATATACGGAACACAGGTATAAGAAATTTTGCATCTAGGTAAAAGAAAAAATAATCATTATAATTAGTCAAGTATAAGGTGAGGTTACATGTATGTTGTATGAACCCCAATACTATATAATGATCAACAAATTGTGTCATGTGAAATTGTGATAAAGAGTAAAATCATGTCTAATGCAACGATCTGAAAAAGTATAGATTAATGTGATACATAACTGATGTGAAAATGTTTCTCTCTTGTAGCTTCTTGCATTGTGTGAAGAGTGTTGGGAAAGTTCTCCTCCTTCTGATGTTGTGGCAGGAAAACTTCAGCAAAGTTCCCAGGATTACTAAGACTGGCAATAGCGCCTGTATACAGAAATTTAATTGGAACTTCAGAATGAGCCAGACCCAAATTTTATAAGACAAAACATTTTTTCTGTTTTAAATAACATTTCACATTTATTGAATCAAAACATTTCCCCTAATTTCAATGTTTAATGTTTTGAAGTTAATTTCAAATTGTTATGACCATATATGTATAAGAATAATTAATCTAAAACAAAGAAAAAAAATTGCATTTTCTTTGGTATAATAAAGAGTGCACTTGTGAATTCAAATGACTGAAAGTAGAGCAAATTGCAAAGTTATGTTAATTCTGAATTTACCAATATCAACAAAATAATAAAAATATCTTTGCCTTACAGTATACATAAAAAAGTACTCTATCAAACAAGCTGCTTACTGAATATGTTTACCTCATGAAAATTTAGCACTTTCCACAGCAGGAAGTAAGCATTATCACTTTGAAAAAAGTTTGTATGAATATTCATATACTAAAGTCCTACTTCAGAAGAAGGAATTGTTCCTCGCAACAGTGGAATGGCAAGTTTAGTGGAAGCACAACCATGCAGATGAACATTATGAAATCTGCTCTGAGTAACAATCTTTACAGTTAATATCTTCCCAGTTCTTACATAATACTTTTTTTTTCATGTGGGTTAAAGATTCTTGACAAAAAAATTGCTAACGCTATTTAAAATAGTTTAACAGGTACTCAAATGTTTCTATTTTAAGCATCTTGCATCAGAATATAATATTTATCTGAGAGAAGTTATGTGATTGAGCAGTGAGTTTTAGTACAAGTCGTATGTATTTTACAGCTACTCAGTAGCAAATATATTGTAGTAACAGCAAATATAAAGACTGTTGCTCACTCCACTGTACAGTTTATCCAAGGCTTAACCTACTCAAATAATCTACAATTTGCCCTAAGCCTTAACGTGCGAATAGTTATAGGGATGTAGTGATAGCACTTGTGATTTTTGGCAACAGATAAAATTGTGTTAAGGAAGAATATACCAGTTACCCAATACTTATACTACAGTGATTCCAGAAGCAAATGATACTCCTTTAAGCAATCATAAATGTATCAACTTTGTGTAAACATAAAAAAAAAAAATTATTATTCCAATTCTGCTTGAACCTTTTCATTAAATTAACATAAATAGTTAATGCTTGGGACCCATGATTAAGTAACCTAATCACCTCTGCAAAACATTACCAATAAATGTCAAGTAACACTGCCAACGTGAAAAATCATAATTGACATGGAGTTCAGTCTTCACAGCAATCTCATTGCTGCTTTAATTTTAGTGCACCACCCCTTTAAACTTGCATTGATGACTGTTTTTTGTTGAACACAGGTTGTGTTAGATACAAGCCTGTAGTTATCCAAGTCTTTCATGCTGTTACGTCATGTCAGGATTACTGGACTGCTCTGTCATGGGTGGAAGGGGCATCTGTGGTGTCTGCGGCATGGCAGAGGAACCGGCTGCTGCTCCCTCAGGAGTTGAGGTGGTACGGGGGGTTGGTTCATCCACACCCCGGGCATAGCGAGCCACAGACAAGGAGTCACAAGGACACTCGAAATGAACACAATGAAAAACCTACAAGAAAAAAGCAACACGAGTCTCTGTAACATATTGAATACAGGAGAATTTTAAAAGATGTGTCTGCATATAAAAACCAATACCTCATAAAATACTGATGTTGAACAAAATTATTTTATCACAGCCTGATTATAGCACAGATATCTCAAAATACATCATTATTATTTATTATAATATTTCTTTTAAACCCAAATAAAAACCAGAATAACACTTAAGTATATTGGTCCACAAATTTTCTATTTAAATGCAATAAAATCTTAACCCACCAGGTCTTTGAATTTAATTAATTTGTTTTGATGTCATAAGACTTTCAAATCTTGTCTACATACTTCATTTGCTGTATTCTGAACTCCAACTATCTTGACAAATGTGACTGGCCTTGGTGGAAAAACTATGGTCTGCCATGACCTGAAAGAAATAAAATCTCTCTTAATATGCAGTAAGTATTATATTGCTTCTTATTTCAACAGTTGTATTTTGGTCTGTATGAGAGTAACATATTAAGGTAGACACTGCCAATATTCACATATACTTACTTGCAGTTTTCCCTTGTTTTGTCTGCCACTGTATGCCAAGTCTGTTGGTCAGTGGATACTTCTATCTTGTAACTATAACTACGGTCATCGCAATCCCATAGCAACATTCTGAAAAAAAAAAAAAATCCAAATACCATGAGTATGCTCAAGATATTTAAGGTATTATCCTATCTGGAACTTTGAATAATCTGCCGATGTTATAATCACTTTTCTGAGGTCTGCATAACAACATACTGGCCTTGGCCAATGTCTATAAATGTATAACATTTTTATGATAATGAATATTATAAGATAGTAACAAGATATTACCTAGATGAGTATTATGTTCATATAATTCAATATAATTTTCATCAATCTAAAAAGTTCCTTCAAGTAAATGAGCCATGAATGCCAAACAGGTATTGCCGAGTTACCTCATGGACCCTATGATATATGGCTGTGCTAGCTGCACCACTATTGCACCACTTCCAAGCTGGTGACAGGTGTACCCCGAGTCCCAGTCATAGTTCTTGGTGTCACCATTGATCAGAGCATTCCGGCTCCTGCTCACCCCCTCAATCACACAGGCACTGGCTTCAATGGTAGCCACATTTTCAGAAGGGACTGAAAAAGAGAGTTTTTGTTTTTATGTAATATTCAAAGGGCTTTGTGAATGTCCTCTGTAAATACACATCATTTTAACCAAAGCCATATTTTTTGCAATAACCTTGCTTCTCTAAATATTTAAGATGAAAAAGAATCATGACCCTCAAAAATGAAACATCAGTCTTGTACTAAATTACTCAATCAATAGAATTTTAAAAGCAATATCAAGTGTTACTGCTTTTAATGTCAAAAGCATGTCAATAGTTTGATGTTGTACTCACCTAGCAAACCTCTTTCCAGCCTAAATGGTTTCGTGCTGTACAGACATTCAAATGCGACTGCATGAAAAACCCTGTTTACTGTGTTGTGAGTTCCACCAATCTTGAGAAACCTGCAAATGAATACAGGAAACTGAAAAACATTTTTCTCGTGTCATATTTATAAACGGAACATTATTACACTAGTTGTACCAGTGGCACCCTGAGCTTCAGAGATAACTTGACACTTACCTCTTCACTATAGCCTATCTTCATCGTGTCAAGTTACCTCTGACGAAAATAGTTTGACCTAGTTTATATAAGCCAATCGAATCCATGTTTCAAAATTTTTCACCAAAGTTTGGTGAAAACGCCGATTGGTTGACCGTCAATCGGCAATCCTCGGCTGATTCCGCAAGCTCCATACTAACAACATAGTTATTGTCGAGTGCGGAGACATCCGAGTAGTTCCGAGTGCATAACCGTACACAAAGAAAGCATGGAGTATATCGGAATTGAAACCAAAGCAGTTTGATGCCCTGCATAATTATCTACTGAGGGATGATGTATTTTGCGTGCTGCCCACAGGTTACGGCAAGTCCCTGATATTCAGCCTTATCTTTGATTGGTCCGGATTTGAACAAAGCGCGCTTTTGACTCGTTCGCGTTCATTGGCTAGATCGTTCAATGAGTCATTGAGTGCGGGCTTTAAATTTGATTGGCAGGCGGCGGAGGCAATCGAATGTGGTCAGAGGTTACTTGACACGATGAAGATAGGTTAATAGTGAAGAGGTTAGTGTCAAGTTATCTCTGAAGCTCAGGGTGACCAGTGGCTACGTTATGACCATTTGACCACTAAAGAAATGAATTGCATTAAAATAATGATTCTGTGAGGTAACTGTCGTAATCCCTTAAAAAGGCAATTACCTTACAACCCTTGCCGGAAAGTGCAAATTCTGCCATGACCTGCATAAATATTTGGTGTGGTCCACCACTCTCACCCAGTCCTTGTCATCCATAGATACATCTATGTAGTAAGAGTAAGACCTGGAAGAATAAAACAAAACAATCACTTCAAGTTTCAAACATTGTCAAGTTGTTGGTGGAGAGTACCAGTTAAATTGTATTTCAGAAATATATCAGAATTTCTCGTTATCTCTGTAACAATGTTAAATATATGCATAATACCAGCAATATTTTAACTGCCTTACATGCTCACCTTTGTTATGCAATCAGAACTTTTAAAATAAAAAATCCCAATGAAAATCACCTTGAAAACCAGGCAACAATGTAAGATGTCACTTCAACTAAAAGCTCTACAATCTATAAGAAACTCATTATCTTCATAACCTTACCTCATGTCTCTGTCCCACAGTAGCAGTCTTGCTGTGTTAATGATGGAAGGTTGAGCTAACTCTACTACCAGTTCACCATTGGTGTCATCTATGGGATGTCTGGAGAACCCTCTGTCCAGATCATAGTTCAATGTGTCCCCATCCAACAGGGCAGCTTTCATCTCACCTCGGACCAACTTGGCTCCATGTCTCATTGTGGCAATGTTCTCATTGAGGGCTATAAGATAAAAATACCTATGGGTAAAACAACAGATTTTCTAGGCTCATTCTAGCTTATATAATCAATACCAGCTTTAAATGATAATTAATTCTGGTTTTAAAAAAATCAAAATTGTTGACTTGTTCTGTTGGCTAAGATGTATACATTTAACTATAAGAAGGGCATCAGATTTTCCAGTCACATACTATCATCACCACAGATCTACACAATCTTTAGCATAATACATTACAAATGATAGATCATTAAACTGAAAAGAAAACTCATTTGACTACTGTACTTGGTTACTATGAGAAAAGTTTTTAAAAATATATACCATGTTTGGAAAATTTTCTCATTGAAAATATAATACCCTTTAATTTACCACACACACACACACACACACACACACACACACACACACACACACACACACTTTATCACGTTGTTTCCACACAACTGAAAATATGAATAATATTTTCAACGCAAGTTGAAAAAGGACTTACTGAGAAATCCCCTATAGTGAAGCTCCATGTCCCTTTTTTCTGTCTTAAACTTTATGGCATCTAGAATGGCATCAGCAGAAACTAACTCTTTAGGCCTGACCTTATTCAACAGGTCTTGCAGTGACATCAAGGTCAATCTTATGTTTTTCATTATTTTGGCTATATCACAGTTGGGGTTCTTTTCATACCAAAGACAAACTGCATTGAAAATCTCCACCTCTGGGGCACAGAATGAGTCCCTGGCGAGCATCTCGCATAGTGCACTCTGAAACAACATAAAAAACACCATAAAATATCATGTATTTAGTATATATAAAATTACACATAAATATCAAATAACCACATTATATTTAAAATGATATCAACATAACACTGACATTTAATATTTAAGCATTCACTTAAAACTACTATCAAATGCCAAATGGCACAGTTTTAACTGAACTGGTGTTCAACTTAAATTGTTCCAAGTTCAAAACTTCAATAGATATGGAACGAGTAAATATCAGTTTTAAAATTCGGGACAGGTGAAAAAAAAGCTGCATTTCCTGACCTCAGATAAACAAAGAAAGGCTTCACTGTTGATGATGTCCTGGGCATTTCTGTCCATGTAATGAAAGCAAGTGTCTGATAAAGTTCGCAAGCTGTACATGCTGGCAATGTCATAGATCAGGCACACATTCTTGGTGTTTAATACAGCCTTTAAGTACTCCGATATTGCCTTTTCCATCTCCACAAATCCATACTGGTGAGCAAGTCCCAGTACATCCAACACCACATCCTCCTGAAGTAGAATATTGCCTTGTTCATTTAAGTGCTGGATGAAAAATATGTATTATTACTCATGTCAAACATTTGCTATGATGATAATAAACATTGCCCTTGAAGGTTATTAAAAAACCTCGTCGTGTTGCATTTACTCATGTGAGAAAACCTTATGTCAGCTAAAAGGCTTAGATTTGAATCAATTAGGATGTTTGTGTATTCCATGCTAGTTATTGCGCACATGCTCATTTATAAAAAAAAAAAAATCATATCTCATATGCTACTTTTATTTTCAAAGGGCTCATATAATTGAAATACTCCTTGTAATTTCAATATGTATGTAATTTTCCATTTTCCTCCCATTTTACGAACTGGTATTTTACTCACCGTCATTTCACCCAGATTAACTCTGCCAGTGTATATGTATTTGAGTAAATGCCGAAAAGCTGTGGCACTGGTGTCCTTCAGTTCTATTTCTTTGCAGCTACTTTCTCTCATTCCACCAAACAATAGGGCCCTGGAAAAAAGTAGGTTTTGATTAATATTTATGGTTTTAGCGACTGTTAATTTTTATTAACAGGATAAATTCTGAAGTCCTGCAAATTTACCATCTTTAGTTTAAAGGGATAACAACTGTACGTATGATATCCATATTTCACAATAAAACCATTGTAAACAACTGATAGAAATATAAATTCTTTTTTACCACTAAAACGACAGTTAAGGCAATTATTCTGGAATTTGTGCTTGCCATCACATCATGTGACCTCCATAGCTTACTACACTCTGTAATAATCTATTAAGAGAATATTACAAAAAAAACAAACTTTTTAAGAAAAAAAACAAAAAAAAAACAAACATGGACTAACTTTGAATATTGGAATGGATTCATTAAACATTAGTAAGTATGGGAAAATTGTCATTTACTCCAGGAAAATTCATTTTTTGGCCAAAAAGATCAGCCGTTATCCCTTTAACATACAGAATCCATTATTTTCTTTAACTTAGTAAAACCATAGAAGATTTAACCATTTAAGAAAGATTATCAATAAACATGAAACATCAATGATTGTTTTAAAATTAATCTCAAGTGTTCACATACTAGTGTAGTAAAATATTACATATTAATTAATCTGATAAATGACAGGAAATACTATAATACTGATTCACAACACACAGAAAGATAACAACTTACCTGAAGTATTCTGATCTTGCAGCCAAGATGACCTTATGTGCACTAAAATGTTGCTGTTCCACAATGATGGTAACATCGTGATAATCTGCATTCTCAAACAGTGCTCCAATGTTGTCAGACAGATGCTGTACATGGTCAATCTCTCCTGCTGACCCAGAGCGAAGCAACCGATGGTCACACATCTTGGTGGATTTCACAGTGTTTTTTAAGCACTGCTTCAAGTAGAAGTATCCCCATTTACACCTTTTTACTGCAAGAATAAAATATGAACATGGATAATATCAAGTTAGCATGAAATCATTTCAAAGACGTGAATGACCTTTTTTTTTCAAGCAGATCTCATACAAGTAGACATTGGTCATATTTGAAATATACGCATATGAATCTCTATTATATATTTATTGTCTTGTGACAGGAAGAAAACTGAAAACTAATGTGCATGCATATATAGATCTATCAAAGAGAGACTTCATGGTAACAACTAACTGTATTTTGGCAGAACTGGTACACCTACTGTACATTGGGTACAGGTTACAGAACTAGGGTGACATAAATTTTCATTAGATCCGAGTAGTAACATGAAACTTGTTTTTCAAAGTTCAAAAAGTTGGCACCATCAGTCGAGAAAATTTTAGTGAACAGTGCTGATAACACATTCACCGGAAAAATGTGTCAACAGCCAGCATGACATTTGACAACGCTCGCTTCTGCATCGTGACTGCCTACCCTCGACGAAATTACGCAGTCAGTATAACCTCACGATCTAGGTGATTTCAAAAATAATACTAAAATACTGATTACGTACTATATCAACATAAACCCCACAAAATGAATCACGAAAAGCAAGGAGACTGAGCACTTCGATTACAGTAAACGTTACCTTACTCCATGTCAACCATTCCAACCGTATCACGATTGGAGACCAATGTGCTAAAAAAAAAAGGTCCCCTACAACATGTCTAACGTGCAAGTAAGCTTTAAATTTGCAATTCTGCATTAAAAAAGATTTTACTTCAAGATATAATGACCACATACAATGAAGCATATGTGACTGATATTTGTTATATTATATATTTTCCACTTACGAACGATGGCGCAAGGATTTTACGTCTTATCCGGGTCTTTTCAACATGGATGCGCACATGAAGTGCCCAAGGTGAGTAAAAGCACAAATCCAGTTGTTTCAATGTTTTGAAATCTTCTCTATTTAAAATCGAAAATAATATACTAAATTTTGTTTCAAACGCAATGTTTGTGTATCTTAAATATCTATTGGGCACTTTTTTAATGTATTATATGTACTACAAACATCGATTTAAGAGAGACATAGTAATCTAATAGTAATCTGTGCAGGATCATCTCTACTTTAAGACCCCCGCATCATTATTTTCCTGCATATTTACTCCCCCTAGCAAAATAATGATAACTACACTTCTCCGAGAGCACATATCTCCGCCAAGGCAGCATTTTTTTTATTATTATTGATTATTGATTGGTAATTGATCCGGATCACCACCAAAAACTAATCATCTCTTCCCTAGCCCACTTCTGACAGTTCCTGAAAATTTCATCAAAATCGGTCCATAACTTTTTGAGGTAATAACCACCCGCATCATAACTCCCACTTATCGATATTTGAATGATTGATAAAAGTTTTTCCAGAAACAGTATTTACAGTAATTTTTGTAAATAATTGATTAATGTTAAGTGCATTTTTACCAGTGTTGAGTAACGTTGTGGGGGAATAATGGTGCGGGGATGTACTTAAATATTTTACCCTCTGAGGCTCTGTGCCCCCAGTACATTCCCCTCCAAAACATGCATGTCTCAGGTGTGCATAAATGTCAAATGAAATTGACCTTAGTTCAAATTATTTTCAGAATTGACAACAATAAATTATTTGAAGTTTGTATCACAAATCTGAGTGAAATTTACTAATATGTTACATGTGGATATTGCCTTGTCCAGATTTACTTATTTTATATAAATGTTTTGAAAAAACTTTGCTGACCAAACTCAAGTTGTTTTGCTGCTTTCATTCATGTTTTAATCACAAGACATACCTATTTTGACATCACATGCCTTCACCTTAAAGGCTTTAACCGTATTATTATATACATATATTTGCTTGTTACTGGGGACTTTAGTGTTAAAATGGCAACATGGAAAAGATATTTTTATTTCCTTTTGTAGTTACATGTTTGTCTAGGTTCTATTCCTTGCTTGTTGTATTGTTCAAGCTGTAAAATCCTTTAATGATTTAGACATATGGAGTTGTTTACTGTGGCAGTGCTACAAAATGTATACAATGGCAGGTTATATTAGTTTGAGGTAACTTTTTCAAAATTATTTACATATTTCATTATTTTCTTTTGCTTTTTAAATTTATAGGGCCTCTGCAGAAGCTGAAGTAATTTTCCGTCATAAAGTATATTGAATAACGTCTACAGAGATCAAAATGATTGGTGCACAGCAATCTATTGCTTGGGGGATATTTCTGCAAACTTTGAGAAGACCTTGCATGAACCAATACTGTAATGCATTTGTAAGGATCTCTGCACTTAAAAAAATGTATTGCACATCTACCGATACCACAGAGGAAGGTATTGTTGGAGCTGTAAAATCCACTCACATTCCAGTTATGACAAAGGAAGTTATTGAGAGATTAAATCCTGTGAATGGCAATATTTATGTGGATATGACATTCGGAGCAGGAGGACATACAAAAGAAATTTTGAAGAAGGCTCCTCGTGCCAAAATATTTGCACTAGACAGAGACCTTGTGGCATATGAAATGGCTAAGGAGATGTCAGAAGAAGGTCCATATGATATAACACCTCTGCACGGCAAGTTTACTGACCTTCCTGCACTGTTTAGAGACTTGGGTGTGAAGGAAAATAGCATAGATGGGTTCATATTTGATGTAGGGGCATCATCTATGCAGTTCGATACAGCTAACAGAGGGTTTTCTTTGTCCCACAATGGTCCTCTGGACATGAGAATGAATGCCCAAGATCCAGTCACTGCTGCTGATGCAGTTAACTACTTAGAGTTTAAAGACTTAAAGAAAATAATAAGCAGATATGGGGAGGAAAAACTTGCTGAGAAGATTGCAACATCCATAATTGAGGCTCGACAAATTATGGGTAAAATAGAAACAACCAAACAGTTAGCAGACATTATAGACACCGTCTTTCCAAAACACAATTTAGACAAGTTAGATAGACATGCCCATGTGGCAACAAAGACTTTTCAGGCTTTACGAATATTTGTGAATGATGAACTGAATGAGCTATACAATGGCTTAGAAGTAGCACAGTACTATTTGAAGCCAATGGGACATTGTGCAGTCATTACTTTTCACTCTTTGGAAGATCGTCTGGTAAAACTCCATTTCAAAGGAATTGCTGTTGATGAAGAGAGGCACAAAAGTACCAGAGACTGGGCTAAGAATAATCCTCTGGAGTTTGATGCGGAAGAAATTAAGCATTTAACTCAAAAAAGATGGAAAAATATTGATGGGCCTATCAGTCCATCAGAAATGGAAGTGTCCTTTAATCCTCGGTCAAGATCAGCAAAGCTTAGAGCAGCCAGCAAACCATAAGGAAATATCCATCTTTGGAAAAACTTTTTTTACTATACTGTTATGTTCACATATTAGTTAATAAATAACCCTTTGTACCTCAAGTTCTCAACTTAAGTATGATTTTTTTCTCTTTCTTTTTTAAAAAGGCTTTTTTTTTGCCAAAAAGCTGTGCTAACCTTCGGTTTAAAATCTCAAGGCTTAGTTGCATTTGTATGCACTGTTCTGGTCAGAATAAATACAAATAATACAATGAGTCCACCTCTCCATTTATTTCATGCAAAACTTAAATTATCACCAGAATGTGAAATTATACTGAAAGTTGTGCTCTCATGCATGTATAATCTAAAACCTCAAATGACTATTAGAAAAAAATGTTAACAATTGTACTTAATGTACTTATTGATATTTACTGAAAAACTACGATTTCTTATCTTACCCAAATAGAATTATGATAACTAATAAAAATGTGAAACAAGGCAGCAAAGCTGTTAAATGGACAGACTTGTAATTTACAAAAGTAATAAAAGCAGTGCCATAAAAACATTTAGTTTAAATATATTGAACAAACCATTTAAGAACATAAGGACAGTGTTTCATGTCAGTTTTGATGCAATATTTCATAATGCTTTATAACATGATCATCAATTTTTATAATGTATTTCTGTTACTCTGGATATTCAAAAAATGACTTTAGCACAGGGCTTTATGCCCATGGGAATTCAAACTCACAAAATAAATGAAGTTTGTAACTCCAAATATTATCTAATAAGGCTCATTAGAATTGAAGCAAGTTAGCATGTCAAATAATTGCCACTAAACCTGACAAAATTTCACCATTTATAGTAACCGTTTCAAATAGCAATATTTAAAGAAACACCAATGGGTATCGTTTCATGCCCCCCCCCCAGCATGATAATAAACACATTTTCTGCTTCCTGTTTGTGCTATATATATAACCCTTGGTCAGTTTTTGCCAACCCTCACATAAATTATTATGCTATTGCATCAAACATTATTATGTCATTTAGTGGACTTTTACAAACTGTGGGGACTGATAAATAGGCAAATTTTACGGTGAGAAATTTGAATGTGCAGTTTTTTTATTTTTTTATCATTTGGCATGTGGCATTTATTTGAGTCATAAGAAACTAGTGATTTAGATGTGTTACAGGAAATCTTGCTTCATGTATAATTTAAGTTCTATGAATCATTCCTATAAATTTGAGAATAATAAAAAGTATGGTTTGCCTTTTATAATTTTCTCAAGTTAAAATTCCAGGAAATTCAATGTGGAAGGTGGTGACTGGTAGGTGACTGGTAGGTGATGGATGTATGTCCAGACACAAAATGTCTGTCCATAAAAATACCATGTTCTCCTTCAACATAGAACTTGCAACAAAATGTGCCTAACTTGGTAAGTTTGCAATGAAATTTACCTTCTGGCAATTCAAAAGCAACAGCAACAGAGAAAATAAATAACAAGTTCTGCCGATAGGCCCTTAAACATATCATGTAAGTAACAGTATTGACTGCTTATTTGAGCAAGCATACCACAACTTTGCAACAGCACATGGAAGACAATTATGACAGAATTAGCAAATATGGCATCTTTAATGAATAATACACCCATTGTATTTCTTATGTGTGCATAAAAACATTATTTTGAGCTACAAATTGCCTACAATGGAACCTTTACCTCCTATTACATACAACACTTAATACACAATGAATTTCGATTCAACGAAGCATTTCTTTTCATTAACCAGTATTTTGCTTTAAGCTGGCCTTATACAATTGTGCATTAGACAGATTGTTACAAAGGTGAAACAAGGGGTGAGAGAAGGGGGGCAGCATGCCCTCACCTTTATTTTCAGCTCCCTTTCAAATGAATTTGACATCACATTTCTGATACTGAGCAAGTACACATTTCTCTACATCCCCCAAATATGTTAATATACCAGTGTCGAAAAAAAAAAAAAAAAAAAAGAATATACATGTGTATTTATATATTCACAAATTTGATTAAACAAAATTCTGTTCACTCAGCAATGTGTACAATGTACTACTAGAAAAAAAGCCAAGCAAGAAATAGCACTCAAATCAATGTTGAATTTGACAAAATGAATCAAGTGGGAAGAACATTCTTAATGTAAAACATTCCCTTGTTTTACTTACATTGCACTTAAAAAAGAAAAAATTGCACCTTCTTACTAATTAAAAAAATACATTTGTATATGAAACGAAATAAATTATTAATCATAATCAAAGTAATCTTCATTTACAAACCCATCTTAAATTCACCAGTGTACCTATCAATGGGTAACTAATCACTTTCAACTTCACCTGATTTGACTAGCATGCACCTTTCCTAATATCTTATATTTGAACTCTCAGCAGAATGGTTCAGCTGTACACAATGAATTTTTATCAATTTGCAATGTGTAAAACTCAGTCCTAAAAAAAATTCACAAAAAGGAAAGCATGCAAGAATAATGTAGAAAAAACTTGAGATAAATGCTGATGAAAATACCCACCATGCAATCAAATGCATTTCATCAGTTAAGGAATTTAAAAAACATAAGTCCATGAAATTTGTTTCAAGTGATTTTTTACTCATTTAATGATTGAGTCAGCAGAAATAAATATAAATAAATAAGGAAAGTATAAAAAGCAATAACTTTGCAAAAAAATGTACATACAAGAGTGATCATGGCGAGGGGACAAATTATCACATTTTGCTGAACTGAACCCATAAGTGAATATCATGAAGCATTTTCCAATTTTTTCTGAACAATTGTCAATGGAAAAAAATAAAGAATGTCAGAACATATACTTAATAATGTTTTAACTGTAAAGAGCAAAGAGTACACCAAGTTCTAAAGAATACCTTTGCATAATTTTCTTTTTGGTTAATCTTCTCACAGAATTTTCAGTATTTTCCTTTAAATTTGTGTATTTCCATAAATCAATGCCAAAAATGCAATGCAACAATATCAAACATTATCAAGATACCCCAGTATTTAATCTACATCTACTGGGCATTACAAATAAATGCATGGTATGAAAAATGCCTTGTTTTACAATAGTTCCCAATCACCATCACTGTTAGCACTAGTGCTTCTACCAATTTTTGAAAGGCTTTCCTCAACAAATTCCCTCCTTTTCAGATACTTGCTTTTATGTTCAAAGAGTCCACCATCTTTTGTTATACCCCACAACTGGTTATTGGCAGAAGCTGTTGGGAAAAAAAATGAACATATTGCTGCATATCTTTTCCTTCTCTAGTTTGACATTTCATATTGACTTTTAAGTACCAACTACAAAACAATTGTGCACAAGTACTGAAATATGTTACATACTTTCTTGTAGTCAAAATAAAAAAAGGAAAATCAACAAAATGTAATTTACTAGACCAGCAATTAAACAAATCCAAATTGGTACCTGAAATATTCTGGTAATTTCCGGGTATTTTTTTCCAGTAATCACCCACTGGGTTTTGCTTGCTGATGCCATATCTACAGAGAATCTCTCTCTGTGGGTTCAGTGCCCAGACAGTGGTGCTGCTCACACTCAACTGCTGAGCCTGGGTACCTGGACATTACAGAACATTTCATAATTCAAGTGAAAAAACAAAGGTTGTACTACGAAACAATTATACTTTGTCATTACTCCCCTCTTGTCCATCATTTACCATCTTACCATTAGACTTACTNAGACCAAAGTAAAATAATAGAAATATGAACCAGTATTCATGTTTTCATGTGTATTTTCTACCTTTTATATTATCGACATTAAATCAAATATTAAATTTTTATATATAGGGCCTATTTATTTGTAAAAAAGTAAAATAAGAAAGAAAAAAAATTGACAAAAAATTACTTGCATAACAAGTTGTTTTTATCTAATGAAAAAGGCGTGGAATGACACAAGGACTAAAAACAATACAAGTATGAAGAATGTATAGCTAGTAATATCAAATGTATGTTAATCGTCTGTTAATCAGATAACCATTTCACCCGCTGTTTTGGACAATAACATCTGCATTGTGAAACAGCACAGTAGGGCAGTCTCTTTCATCTAATTGAAGCTTTGACAGGGACTGTCCAGCCAGCGTCTTAGTTCCTTCTTCATTTTATTTCTTTTTTTTTTTTTTATAAAAAGAAACTCAAACTGTGAGCTTTCATTAAGTTCATGTGCACTTTCTCCAACTCGGGGTCTTGAATAGTAGGCCTACATGCAGATACGTTCATATGTTCCATAACTTAAGAACCCGTAATAGAGCTGTAAGATTTATGTTGCTATTGATTAAAATTTGATAACTTTAGTACTCCTGGCACTCGGCACACACTTTTTTCCTCTCCTACAGATCATAAGCCGCCAGGGCTTACCTTCTTTCCAATTTAAGTAAACTTCCGTTTCCCTTCCTCACTTTGTTTTCATTTATGCCACGCTATGCACCAACGAAGTGTTTTAAGTTTAACAACGTCATTTTCTAAACAAAAGGCTTATCCAAAAGTACTGTGTACGACTGATAATGAAAAAACAGAGGATCAAGTCTGTAAAAACGCAAATAGCACGAGCACATGTGTTGCGGCCATTTTGTTGTGTAGGGGTATCACGAAACCGAAAACGAGACTGTACATTACATCATCTAGGAATCCCCAACCTCAGCCAGTCACAAAATAGTATTTGTGAGTGAAACTGAGGTTAATAAATTATGTATAATTAGCTTGGAACTCCCCAAGATTTTCATCCCGTCTCTCTTTACGAATGAAGTAAAATATATCGTCCAGAAAAGAAACAACAACGTATTCCCTATATTTACACATTCCCAATCAGTTTGAAAACTTGCCGGACGGAAGGTCCGACGATACAGGATTTTTTATCGGACCGACACGAAATTTGCCAGGCATGTCCGACGGTCCGACGCCTTTCGTAAAGTCTGTGCACCTTTCCTAATATCTTATATTTGAACTCTCAGCAGAATGGTTCAGCTGTACACAATGAATTTTTATCAATTTGCAATGTGTAAAACTCGGTTCTAAAAAAAATTCACAAAAAGGAAAGCATGCAAGAATAATGTAGAAAAAACTTGAGATAAATGCTGATGAAAATACCCACCATGCAATCAAATGCATTTCATCAGTTAAGGAATTTAAAAAACATAAGTCCATGAAATTTGTTTCAAGTGATTTTTTACTCATTTAATGATTGAGTAAGCAGAAATAAATATAAATAAATAAATAAGGAAAGTATAAAAAGCAATAACTTATGTACATACTAGAGTGATCATGGCGAGGCCACAAATTATCACATTTTGCTGAACTGAACCCATAAGTGAATATCATGAAGCATTTTCCATTTTTTTCTGAACAATTGTCGATGGAAAAAAAAAGAATGTCAGCATATATACTTAGTAATGTTTTAACTGTAAAGAGCTAAGAGTACACCAAGTTCTAAAGAATACCTTTGCATAATTTTCTTTTTGATTAATCTTCCAACTTAGAATTTTCAGAATTTTCCTTAAAATTTGTGTATTTCCATAAATCAATGCCAAAGTTGCAATGCAACAATATCAAACATTATCAACATACCCCGGTATTTAATCTACATCTACTGGGTATTACAAATAAATGCATGGTATGAAAAATGCCTTGTTTTACAATAGTTCCCAATCACCATCACTGTTAGCACTCGTGCTTCTACCAATTTTTGAAAGGCTTTCCTCAACAAATTCCCTCCTTTTCAGATACTTGCTTTTATGTTCAAAGAGTCCACCATCTTTTGTTATACCCCACAACTGGTTATTGGCAGAAGCTGTTGGGGAAAAAAATGAACATATTGCTGCATATCTTTTCCTTCTCTAGTTTGACATTTCATATTGACTTTTAAGTACCAACTACAAAACAATTGTGTACAAGTACTGAAATATGTTACATACTTTCTTGTAGTCAAAATAAAAAAATGAAAATCAACAAAATGTAATTTACTAGACCAGCAATTAAACAAATCCAAATTGGTTACCTGAAATATTCTGGTAATTTCCGGGTATTTTTTTCCAGTAATCACCCACTGGGTTTTGCTTGCTGATGCCATATCTACAGAGAATCTCTCTCTGTGGGTTCAGTGCCCAGACAGTGGTGCTGCTCACACTCAACTGCTGAGCCTGGGTACCTGGACATTACAGAACATTTGATAATTCAAGTGAAAAAACGAAGGTTGTACTACGAAACAATTATACTTTGTCATTACTCCCCTCTTGTCCATCATTTACCATCTTACCATTAGACTTAATTACAGGCTGGAATACACTTATCTTTAGATTAAATAACAGGCCAGAATATACTTATCTTTTAACAAATAAAAAAAAAACATTAAAAACCAAGCTGTCCAAAATGATTTGCCATAACTTGCCTTTTCAGTGTTACCCCCTTTCATGTCACAGTCAAGATATTTTACACAGCTTACCTGCCACTGGGATCCAGTGAGTACCAATGGGCATTTCATATGTTACAGCAGCCCTTACATATACACACTTCTTATTATCAATGGCCCATACCTAATCAATAAAAATTCACAAAATTGAAAATTTACCAATTATACAGCTTATGTAATATAATTCCACATAGTATTTAAATATGAATATGATTGTTTATTGTAAAGACCAATTCTAGGTATCTTCTTAAAACCCCCCTTGCTTTCAGATGTTAATGGCTTGATAAAAAAAGGAGCAACACATTTTGAAAGCTACTATGTTGTGAGCTCCGTCAAAATCTGGGCAAAGGACAACAAAGCACTTTAACCAAAACCTTTACCAGCTGAATTTTCATAAATTTTATCAAGATTTGCACAATTCTCTAAGACTTTAAAATAAGAATTAAATGATAGCTAAAGTATGGAAAAAAAACTCAACTTACCATCCAGTCTTCTGGTCCTGTTGCCACTTGGGTAAATATGGCACCAGCAGTTGCTAGCCCATCAACTTGGACCCAAGCTGGGTTGAGATAATGAGACGATGGTGCTTTTGTCCCGATCCTTAAGAATACAGCGCCCTTATCGTCCACTGCCCACACATTTTCTGTGCCACACGACACACTAACTAGTTTGGAATCACCTTTGAAGGATATTATGTGATACCTCATCAATAACATTAGTGTAGATATAAATTAAGTATATATGTGTATAATACATTATCATAAAATTTTTCAAATGTAGACATATGTATATAAAGTATGTAATAAATTACCAAGGAGTAGAGTATAGTTGATTCCGCACCAACAAAGCAAAAAGCAGTATCTCTGCCATCTTAAACTGACAAATAGAGTTGGAATAAGTAAAAAGAATATCATGCATCCCCAACATGAACAGCAACTTAAAAACACTGATTTCAGCAGCTTTGAAAACTAAGCAAACAATGGAATTTGACGGCCAACAGGAATTCTACATCCTGTTCATCATATAAAAAATGTCATATCAAACAGATGATAAAATTTCCTACTTGTTCATCCTTTTTTTTTTTTTTTGTCTGGCCTTGAATAACTTACCTAGCTGGTCAAGGTCTAGCTGGACCCAACTAGCCCCCTGTGGACAGTGTGGTCCTATTCCAGACCGTATGTACACTGTTCCCCCTGCAGTCAAACCCCACACTGCATCAGTGGTGGTACTCAGGCATGTGAACAAACAGCCCATAGGAACGCTCACACAGCTAAACTGACGGGAATCCAGGGTGAAACAAAACAGTTCTCCATTTGGTTGACTGGCCCATACCAGACCTTTAAAGATAGGCAATTTTTAACATTGAAACAGGAACATGAAATATGTGAAACATATGAAATGAGAAATGTAAAATGTATAAAATGTGTAACAGCAGAAAAGCAAACATGACAGCCTTCATGTTGCATCAATTCAGCAATTAATATTTTCAATTCATAACTCGTTTGATTTTAATCTGATCAACTTCACAGTCAGCTTATAACAAAAAATCTTACAACATAATATAGGACATCCCTCCCCATTTGCAGCATTATTTACAAACTATACAAACCTGCTGGACCATTGGCCACTGTGGCAGACACTAAACTCCATCTGGTGGAAGATGCCATGCCAATGGGATTTGCTTGAAACCAGTCATGTCCTAAAAAAAATTAATGAAAGAAGTTATAANTTACAGGCTGGAATACACTTATCTTTAGATTAAATAACAGGCCAGAATATACTTATCTTTTAACAAATAAAAAAAAAAACATTAAAAACCAAGCTGTCCAAAATGATTTGCCATAACTTGCCTTTTCAGTGTTACCCCCTTTCATGTCACAGTCAAGATATTTTACACAGCTTACCTGCCACTGGGATCCAGTGAGTACCAATGGGCATTTCATATGTTACAGCAGCCCTTACATATACACACTTCTTATTATCAATGGCCCATACCTAATCAATAAAAATTCACAAAATTGAAAATTTACCAATTATACAGCTTATGTAATATAATTCCACATAGTATTTAAATATGAATATGATTGTTTATTGTAAAGACCAATTCTAGGTATCTTCTTAAAACCCCCCTTGCTTTCAGATGTTAATGGCTTGATAAAAAAAGGAGCAACACATTTTGAAAGCTACTATGTTGTGAGCTCCGTCAAAATCTGGGCAAAGGACAACAAAGCACTTTAACCAAAACCTTTACCAGCTGAATTTTCATAAATTTTATCAAGATTTGCACAATTCTCTAAGACTTTAAAATAAGAATGAAATGATAGCTAAAGTATGGAAAAAAAACTCAACTTACCATCCAGTCTTCTGGTCCTGTTGCCACTTGGGTAAATATGGCACCAGCAGTTGCTAGCCCATCAACTTGGACCCAAGCTGGGTTGAGATAATGAGACGATGGTGCTTTTGTCCCGATCCTTAAGAATACAGCGCCCTTATCGTCCACTGCCCACACATTTTCTGTGCCACACGACACACTAACTAGTTTGGAATCACCTTTGAAGGATATTATGTGATACCTCATCAATAACATTAGTGTAGATATAAATTAAGTATATATGTGTATAATACATTATCATAAAATTTTTCAAATGTAGACATATGTATATAAAGTATGTAATAAATTACCAAGGAGTAGAGTATAGTTGATTCCGCACCAACAAAGCAAAAAGCAGTATCTCTGCCATCTTAAACTGACAAATAGAGTTGGAATAAGTAAAAAGAATATCATGCATCCCCAACATGAACAGCAACTTAAAAACACTGATTTCAGCAGCTTTGAAAACTAAGCAAACAATGGAATTTGACGGCCAACAGGAATTCTACATCCTGTTCATCATATAAAAAATGTCATATCAAACAGATGATAAAATTTCCTACTTGTTCATCCTTTTTTTTTTTTTTTGTCTGGCCTTGAATAACTTACCTAGCTGGTCAAGGTCTAGCTGGACCCAACTAGCCCCCTGTGGACAGTGTGGTCCTATTCCAGACCGTATGTACACTGTTCCCCCTGCAGTCAAACCCCACACTGCATCAGTGGTGGTACTCAGGCATGTGAACAAACAGCCCATAGGAACGCTCACACAGCTAAACTGACGGGAATCCAGGGTGAAACAAAACAGTTCTCCATTTGGTTGACTGGCCCATACCAGACCTTTAAAGATAGGCAATTTTTAACATTGAAACAGGAACATGAAATATGTGAAACATATGAAATGAGAAATGTAAAATGTATAAAATGTGTAACAGCAGAAAAGCAAACATGACAGCCTTCATGTTGCATCAATTCAGCAATTAATATTTTCAATTCATAACTCGTTTGATTTTAATCTGATCAACTTCACAGTCAGCTTATAACAAAAAATCTTACAACATAATATAGGACATCCCTCCCCATTTGCAGCATTATTTACAAACTATACAAACCTGCTGGACCATTGGCCACTGTGGCAGACACTAAACTCCATCTGGTGGAAGATGCCATGCCAATGGGATTTGCTTGAAACCAGTCATGTCCTAAAAAAAATTAATGAAAGAAGTTATAAAAGTGAGTTTATTTCTATGACGAACCCAATTTGAAATAAAATTGTACATATAGCAATTACAAAAAAATAAATAAATAAATAAATAAATAAGTAAATAAAATCAAAACTTAGGATTTAAAACTAAAAGAGATGATATGAAACTACAACCTATTCAGCTTTACAAGCTTTATCTGTCTTGCCATTTTTGATTCTGAATGATAAATTATTTAAAAACTTGCAATGACCTATAATATTTCCTCGACACACTTGTAGCGCAGCCTTGTTCTCCGGACCAACAAACAATCCCATCTCTCCAGCTGCAACACAGCCTCCCTGGTGGCCCAGGATTGCACTTGTCACCTTGCTCAGGTTCTGGGGGTCCAAAACTTCCGCAATGTTTTTAAATGTATCCATGGCTGTTGGATCCTGGACTAGATATTCACTAAACATGACCTTCAATATGAACGTAACGAAATGAAAAAATTAAAAAAAAAAACAAGATAATTGTATCATAAGTCTCTATTGAAATAAATTTACAATTTCAGTTTAATAATTTAATTATCTCATTTTTTCAAATCTGGAATATTAATAATTCTTTTGGTGCTTTCATCCACACAAAACACCAGATTAGTTGGGATGAAATGCAGACCACCTGACATTTTCCATCTATGCTGTTTAAGATTCAATGCCCACCTGCCACCATGTTCCTTCTCCTTCTGGCTTCTGTGGAGACACTCCAGAACAAAACCATATTTTTCCACTTGTATCCATAAGCCAGCCTCTATCCTGGTCCGCCAGAGAAATGCTGGTCACACTTAAGCTCAAGGCACTGTCAAAAGACAGAAATGTACAACACATAACATTCTCAGCACACATATTTTCTGTGCTGCATATGATATTTATAGTCATCTGCATCAGACTGTACTACACATCATATTTTTGAATTTATTCTTGAGTTATATGTTCTATATGTGTGGAGTATATATATATATATATATATATATATATATATATATATATATATATATATATATATATATATATATATATATATATATATATATATATATATAATAATTTTTCTTTTGGCCTTATAAAATCAACTTCAAAGAACACTTTCTTTACAGACTTGGACAGCACAAAATGCAGACATCAATGGCTAAAAATATTTCGTTATACAAAATTTCACCTTTCTACCAGCTTCCATCCACTCCCTGTGGAGGCATTAGGTTTAATACCAGTTCGGACCACCAGATGGTGATTCTCATCAATAGCCCAGACAACTCCCTTGTAGCATTGAATATCAATAAGTTTCATATTTGGTGTTACAGAAAAGGACTTGAAACAAGGTCGGTCTTTTGTGAGACTTTTCTGCATCATGACATCTCCACTGTTCTTTATATACCTGCAAACCAAAACAAAAAGCCATTGCTGTCACTCACAGATGTCTAAAATAAATACATAATATGATACAAGTATCTTTGTGCATATCAATTCTTTTTAATTACTTCAAAGTAAAATACTTCAAGATAAATGGGAATCACTTTTAAAAAGTAGCCACTGCACTGAAAATATAGTACAGAACAAACAGCTGATCATCAAACTAGTTTCCTGTATCACAATCCAGAGGGCCACACCTCAGTACCCTTGCTGTCTGTACATTTTAACTCTTATTTACTATTAATAAGTACCATCAACTGGTCTGTAGAACACTACTACTTGCATGTTTTGTGAATGAATATACTAAATAAAGAGCCAAATTACCAAGCTGAAGTATCATCCACTGATATGCGAGTTACATCTCTGAGGGCCTCCACCCACTTCTGCCCACCTGGGTTTTTAGTTGATATTTTAGTTCCAGCAAAGACAACACCATTGAACAGCCTCCACACTATAAGACCATTGGGAGACACAGCCAGCTGATTTGCCTTCACATCCAGTTGCTTCCATGGCAGGCCATGCTCATTGATAGGAGCCCAAAAGATGCGATCACTTCTGTCCACATACCACACATGCTTGGAGGAAACGGTCAAATCCTGGAGGTTTCCCTGAAGCGTGCATTCTGTCCAACTCTCAGAGACATTTGACCAGACCATGTCTAACATCTGTCCCTCAAATGATTCCTGGCTGGACAGGCTTGATTCTGGAGGTTTTGCAGCTGCAGAGGCCCCGACCTGAAGACCACTAGCTTGGCAACTTGCTTCTTTTTCAGGGGAATCTTCTGCATACCCCTTGTATAAGTCATCCATGGAGGCATCTGAAGTTTTATATATTGGTGGTCCTCTGCCTCCCTCAGTTTCCATAAGGAAACTACTGTATATGTCTTCAGAAGGCGTCTCTGGAGATGTTACTTGAGCAGCTTTGGGTTTAAATGGTGTATTTGTATCCTCAAGGCTGCCTTTGGTGCTGGTTTCACTTTTGTTTTGGCTTGGCTGTGTGATATGAAATTCAGTCTTTATCTCCCTATTGAATTCAAGAGTTTCTGTTGTCTTACTGGAATATGCACTGGAACCTTCCAGTTTTGTTTCTCTTTTCTCATCTTTCGGTGCACTTTGGTCTGATCTTTGTAAATTTTGTTTCTCCAATACTAAATCATTCAACTTGTGACAGGCCAACTCCCCACCTGACATGACAGCTACATCAGGAATGAGTGATGAAGTAAATGTAGCCTTGTTTGTGTGATCTTGATTGTCTGATGCCTCCCCTTTATCCTTGAGCTTTGTTGGTGGATTCTCTGGTTGTTTCTCACCCTTCAGGGTTGGTTTGAATTCAGGAGACAATTTGTCTGTGTTTGATGTAATACCTGCCATAACACATGGAATTTAAATGTGTCAAAATTAGTTTCATTAAAATTCAAAATTAGACTTATTAATTACCAGGTAGGTGAGATGTTCCGGCACTGATGATAAGCGCTTTACATAGTTCAATTGCTGCAGCTGTTTTTTCCAGTCAGGTATTATCTTAATTTTAAAAACAGTGATAAACTGGAAAAAGCTCTTTAACATTTTCTAAACCAAAACAAGGCAGCAAAGCTGTTAAATGTACAGACACAAAGCAGATAAATTTATGCTAGTGCACTATACAGTTTTTGTCAATTTTGATACAATATTAAATAGTGTTTAACAGCTTAACCACCACCAATTTTTAATCACATGTTACAGGTAACACTCAGAAAACATTTATTTTATATAAAAAGCACAGGGCTTCAGTTCCATGGGATTTCAGTCACATATTGAAAATGCCAATATTTAAAAAATGAAAAGTTTACAAAAAAAAAAAAAAAAAAACTGCAGAGTTTTGCACACTGTGTCTGTACATTAAAAGAAATAAAAAACTATCTAAGACAAATAAAGCTAGCCTGAGACCAATCACATATCTGACAACAAAAATGTGCATACCACCTGCTTCACTTCTAGAGCCATGCAAGTCAGAAGTAATGTCCGGTTTCACTGCCTTTGCCATCATCTCTGGTCTGACTATGTTCTTTATATCTTGTAACAAATTTGGGTCTGGAGGTGGTTGATGATCCTGCACTACTTGTGGCGCTTGTTGACTTCCCTTGTCCTTACTAACTGAAGCTGAACTGCTAGAATCAGCACTTAAACTGTTCAAATCCTGGTTATCTTTACTGGCCTTCTGCGTTTTCTTTTTTGGTTTCTTTTTCATCTTTGGTTGGAATACTATGTCATCAAACTTCTCTCCTCCAATTTTAGAGTACCTGTCCAATGGTGTCTGTTGTGTTGGAGCTTTATCCTTAGTTGCTTTAAACACACTGTTACCTGTACCCATTTTAGATCCAAGACTTTCACTTTTCATGGTGCTGAAATCTGAGCCCATCTCAGCAGTCAAATCAATCTTCAGTACCTCAGAGGAGTCCAGCTTGACAACAGGTGGCAGTTCTGAAGTAGAGGATACAATCTCCCTCACATCCACACCTACTTCTGGAATGGGGCGTTTCACAGCCTGGGGGGCCATCAAGTTAGTTTTCAGAGAGTCTGAAGCACCCAAATTATCAGACAGAGTCAGAGGTTTAAATTTAACATCAGCATTGTCTGTAACCTGAATAGTGCCAGCTCCACTTTTATTGAACCCAAATGGGGACTTTCTCTTAGATCGTACATCTTCCACTGTTGTGGGTTTTTCTTCCTTGTGTTTTATCTTTCCAAATAACATATGTAGTGGAGATGGTGAACTTTTCTTCCGTTCTGTAGCATTTGCTGCTAGAGAAGCACCATAGACTGGAGATGGTGGGGGTGTAAATTCCAATTGTGATAACATTGTGTCCTCTGAAAATCAAAGACTCAATTTACAAAACAAATTGAATATACTTTTAAGTAATAAGTAATTTAATCGTAGCAATTATTATCTTACAATATAAGTACAGATACAACATGCACTATTCAGCTTGAATGCACAGCAAATGAATATAAATCTTAAATATATAAACTAAGTGTGCATTCAGATAGACACATCATAATAGCTGGGTCAGTCCAACTCTGCAGGAGCTTGTTCTAAGTGCAGTCGATTCAACAGCTAGTTATAATTACTTACCCCCTAGCTGCTCGAGGAGGCTTGTCACTGACTGCACTTAGCGAGAATCCCCTGCAGAATTTGACTGACAGGACTAATATGATGTGTCTGACTCTATCTGAATGGGATCTAATTCAAAGAAATGAAACAAATGATATTTCAAAGGCCTCACCTTTGTAAAAATCCAAGACTGATAATCTTGTGTGCTCTGAAAAACAAGAAAAGAAAGATTATATTCCTAGCAGTGTGACAATAGATCAGGTAACCAGCCCATCCAGGTCATTTTCCTAGTAGAAGATTTTAGGTTGAGACCACAACAGTTGCTAATCAGAGTTATTCACATTTATCATTCTTATTTTACTGGATGACTAATAAGATTCACTCATCATCATATACATGTGACACACTTCTTTGCAATTGCTAATTGCAATGCATTTTACAGAAAAGAAAATAATGAGCAAATTAAATAAGTGGTAAACAAATTCCATTTAACAAATACACACCTTTGGGAATATTCATTTCCTCAGGTTTTTGAGCAATTCTAATCACATTTCTGTCTGAGCCCATACGCAACACAAAAATCTCATCATCACAAGTAACAATGCTTTTCAGGACTCCCACTCTATTGCTGACAGCAACCACTGTGTTCACCTCAGGGTCCAAGACATACATTGAGCTCTCATTCCAAGTCATTATGTGCTTCTTGTCATACACAACCACAGGCCCAAACTGTCTGTCTGAGGGACTGACAACAGTCTTGATTGGAGACAGGGTGTCTAACAATTCTATGGAAGGACAGCTAGAATTATTGAGTATATCTTTCAGAATAAATGTGGCTTTGACCTCCCCATCAAGACCTGCTTTCCACAGCCTCAGTCCAGGTCTAGCAGCATAGAGATAAGAGTCCTTCTGTCCAAGACCAGCAACAAAACAGGCTCCAAAGTTACCAAGGCTGAAATATTATGATCATATGCATAAATCATATATTCCTATACTTATACAACAGATTGGCAAATTTTGCTTGGCATTCTCCAGTCAGTTTTAAGAAAATAAAGCTGGATTTCTATTTCAGATTGTATTTCTTTCCACTGAGGAAAAATGTTACATACAGTATGAAATGAACTGGCTTGAACCATACGCATTATTTTCTGACCTGAATGAATGCTTTAAGACATAAAACTTTGTAACATTTTAAATTTTATGCATGAATATCAAAATTAATTTATACATGCTACAAAGATTTTTTTATATGTATATGACAAAATTGGATTGAGATACTTCAAAATCACTGCAGAATTATTTTAAAGGGATAATAACTCTTCGTATGAGATCTATATTTCACAATAAAAACATTGTGAATAACTTATAGAAAAATAATATATTCTGTTTTACCACAAAAACGGCAGTTATAGCGATTATTATGATATCTGAGCTTGTCTTTAGACCACGTGACCTCCATTGATGGCTATACTCTGTTAAAATCTCTTAAGAGATGGATTCATTAACCATTGGTAAGTATGGGAAAATTGTTGTTTACTCCAGGCAAATTCATTTTTTGGCCGAAACAAAGAGTTATTATCCCTTTAATCATTACAACACTAATTGGTTGATTTTTTTATGCCTGTAAGTTCTTACCATTTCCTGTCCTTTTGTCCAACTTGAGACACAGAATTGTTGTTTTCCGTGTGACATAAAATTGTTCTCATTCTACTTGATACCAACAGGGTTTTGTGAGCATAGTCCAGCTGAACAATTTTGTGGCTCTCTTTTAAAATAATATCTGATGCACACTGTCCCTAAAAATGCAATAAGACTATACTATTGTTAATTGTCATTAAAAAAGGCTTTACCACATGCTTCATCAAATGAGTTTAAAATTGACTTTCCACGAATGTAACATATTGTCAATGATGAAAAAAATTTTTGGTTCTATACCCTCTTTAAATTTAAAGCTAATACACACTAAACACAAACATACACCTCTCACTTTACCTTTTCAATATCAACTTTTGTGCAAACAATGTTTCCTTGTTCATCTCCACTGTAAAGTTTCATTCCATTTGTACTCCATTCAAGGCAAGTCACGCGACTCTTGTGCAAACCAGGTATTGTGAATTTCAATAGCTATAAAATGAAATTGCAAGCAAGTCATCAATTATTGTCTTTTTTTCAAACAAACTATTGAGATATTACACCATCAAGTATAACTCAGACATATTTTCAATTTACAGTGGTTAAAGGAAATGAAATGCCCTTGACATTTTTGGCAATCCATCATTGATTGATGAAAAAAAAGCTATTTGGTTTAAAGCAGAAAATATACTTGGCTGACCTCAGTATGTCATACCTGTTTGTTTCTGCCAGGTAGAATGGAAGGCAAGATGAAGACACACAGTAATCCAGAGTGGGTTCCCAGGGCAATCTGGAACTCCAGGCCCTCCTGCATCTTCACACAGCTCATTACTTCACTTTTTGACTTATATAAAAAAGAAACAACACTTATTAAAGAAGTATAAAGTGGTTGATATACAGCTAAAACCTGAATAGCAAAGAAATAATTACAAAATACACACGTTACATTATGAAGAAATTGAAAACCAAGCATTTCAGTTATGCCTGAATATAAAGCTGTATATTTTGAATGAAGCTTTCTACATTTATTATGATATATCCAGTGAGACCAATGGGGCATAGTTATACTGCTTAAGATTATCTAGTGATTGTGATACAAAAATGAAAGACATCTGCTTATGCAAAGTAGACAGTCACTTGGGAAAGTAAAATGCTTACATCACATGTTAGCCTTTGTAATGACTGTTTCTCTCTGTTATAAAGAAACAGAATTCCCAGATTTGATCCCAAAGCAATGAAACTCTTTGAAGCATCTAGGCATGTTAAATCAATAGGATACACCTTTAGACCCCGTTGTGCTTTGCTGGGAATCATATTCAACATGTGATTGAGAGGTTCAAACTCTTTCAAGACTGGGACTGAGCTGGTGGTTGTTTCTTGAGAGTCCCCCAATTCAGGGTCAGCTGATGATGCCCCCATGTTCCCTGAACTCTGAGGCACCACTTCATCCACCTCATCTGTTTCTGTGGAATATAACAAACATGCACATTGATTTGTTATGAATCATGATGATACTGTCAATGTTGGATATTAACTAATCATTTGCCTCATTGCAATCTTTCTAATTTGTTTGTGCTATAAGAAAGACAGGAACATATCTGCTTTTTTTTTAAATTAACTGAGATGCTAGAGTCAGAGGGCAGTCAGTGCGGCAGTGTGAAATTATGATATACACAGATCCTAGTCTAGGTAATTCAATGCAGCTTCATTTATCATGATGATAATGATGATTGATGTCATGTCACTGTTAACTTGTGCTGTGTATTTGTAACTCTTTATCTTATGATAAGCCGTCTGATGGCATCAGGACAATTACCCCAGGCAACCCCCTGTCCAATGAAAATTCCTCCCTGCCCCCCCCCACCCCCCGCAATGCAATTATAATATTGAGAATGAACAAGATGATATAAATTATGACATGAAGATATTTTTTTTTATAACTTGGTAGAAGAATAATCTTACTCTTCTATGTATAAGATTTATTAACCATGACTTTTTAAGCCAAGTGAGATTTAGAGAATACATACATTATATAGACAAACTTTTGATAAACTGATGTTTTCTACTAACCCCTCCCACACACACATGCATGCACAAACAAATACATGTACATTGATCGTTGCCTGCCTTTAATCATCGTGTAACTCTTGTAAACTTTAAGGATATCATCACCCCTTGCCCAAAACACCTTACTGCCTTATATATATTCTCTTGGGTAATAGATAAATCTTCAGTGTTCAGTGACTAAATTAATAAACATTTACATATATCATCAGATCGACTCATCTTACGGGTGACATCATAATTGTGATTTTGGGGTAAAAGCTGAAAAATCGTATTCTCAAATTTCTCTTTTACCTGAGCAAACACGTTCACCATTTCAAAGCTGATTTAATGACACCATTAAGTACTCCAAAACCCTCCCAGCAATTTTTCTTCAAAGTTTAGTTCAATTTTTCATTAATAATAAAGCAAAACAATGCCTTTGTTTAATGAAAAACGGTAATTAGGGACTCGTTACTCCATAACACAGTCATTTAAACCAAAATGACGGCTCAGGATAGTAGCCTATACACTCATGGTCAACTTTGCCAATTTTCGTGATAAAATCTTATTCAGGGATAAAGTTTTGCCCCTTACTGATTGCTATCTCACCTCAAAACACAAAGGTGTTAAACTGACAATTAAAACTTTGAGTTGCCTATGTTCATACATTGCAATGAGAAAAATAAATGCTGATATTTTACATCTTCATGGTTTTTTATTGTTTATATAAATAACCTAGCAATATATTTTATATCAACCTATTTTCTTGCAAATGACCAATTCCTGTGTTTACCTATGTTCAGAGTTGTTTTCTTTTGTGTTTTGCGCTGTGTCGCACAATATTGCACATTTTAATATTATCGAGTGCACATAACTGTAAAATAGATAATATATTAAAAATGAGCAATATAGTACATGAAATAGAAATCCTGACACAAGAAAAAAGGAATGATATAAAAGCGGTTGATATTAACGGGTGATAAAAAAAGTGATCGCTAGATAATTAATTTGTTTAATGTTGGGTTGTCATGTTTGCCACTATACCCTAGGGCAGACGTCCTGACATATTTGCCAATTTGTAAAGTTGGACATCATTATTATAATTGTTGATGTCCAATTTGTAAAGTTGGACATCAACAATTATAATAATGAACTGGTAACATCATTTGCTTTTATATTACCCTACTTTCTTGCGAATGACAATTTCTCGTGATAATGCACTTTAAGCGTTATGCACTTTTAATTTATTGTGCTGTATATAAGGATATATATATTGGGCATTTTAGTATGACCTATGGAAAAAGAGCTATGCAGCTGCGTGTAGGGAGCCCTCAAACATTTTTCTTTCCATTTTTACAATGATCGTGCTGAAAAAATAACTACTTATTAACTATTCTACAGAATAGCATAATATCAATGCATTGCATAATACATGCATTTATATTATAGAGACTCGAGCTTTGGAAATTGGGATTGATTCACAGTTTCACTTCCTGATTAATGGTAGCGTTATTGTTTGGTGGTGTTATTTGGTAAATTAACTTGAATTCCATGCAATTAATACTAACCTTCTACAGCCGACGATTCTGACATGTTATTGGTGTATTAAGCAACCACTTCCTCCATTAATCTTCATAAACTTGAATCGAATAAACAAGCATAAATTTTGACGTTAGTTGACTTCCAGTTGCAATGTTTGCATTGTGGGATAGATAAGCATATGACCTTGACTTGAAAAGGGAAAACAGTTGTATCCATGCTACACTTTGGCGTAGACATAGACTGTCTCGACTTTTCCTAAACTTGCGTTTAGAACTCGTATTGGGATATCCTTGAAAGTCAAGCCGTACTTCATAGGTACCATAATAACCAGGGAATCGGGCTGTTTATAGCTGTAAGTATAATTTTTCTGCTACAAATGTCATGTTTTATAAAAATACCTCTTGAACGATAAATTATTTGAAGTCCTCATTGGGTCACTCTTCAGATTCCTCGGATTTTGATTTATCTGCATTGATCTATAACAAAACAATTTATTTCATGTTAGTTTTCAAACAGTCACAACACTGTCATAACAAGCTGATATCCCGTACAGAAAATAAATAATTTAAATGAATGAACTGAATTACTGAGTATATCAAACCAAATTAAAACATAGGTAATTATATTAAAACAAAGCATGTAATAAAAATTGAAATTAAAATTTAAAATAATAAAATATAACATGCGTACAAATTTTGATTAGTTCACCGACGTAAGATAAAGTATTATTTTCAATTTTAATTATGTTTAACAGGGTCAGTTGCAGATTTGTTGGCCTGATCAGTTGTTAATTAATTATTTTTCCCACTTTATCAAACCAATACCCAATACATGGAGAAAAATAGGTGCAAAAATAAACTTTAATTTCCTAAAAATAAGGATTGTCATACTAAGTTGTTGTTTAACAACTTACATAAATCAATTTTATCAGGCCTTACTGATATTTGGTATGGGACCAGTATTAAAGTGACTGGTTGTTGATGAAAAAGTTCAGGTTTAAATTACGTAGTGATTGGATTAAATCAGTGAATTCTTTCTTGCAGTTTTAACTCTGTGGGACTAAATGGTATAGACAAAAAAATTGGATCAATTATTATTTATATAGCATCTTTTAGCTCTTATCAAAGTAAAATATTCTGACCAAGTTGTGTTTGTTTCTCAGGCAGAGAGGACTCAAATATTATGGAGTGGTTGACATGGATGATAATATTAATAGTAATAGCCCTGGTTATTGTGTTTGCAATTCTGGATGGAGATATTCTCTTGATGTATGCAGAAAGATATGGATTAAAACCTGGTAAGGAATGATAGTGACTGTGGCAATATTGATTCTTGCATTGCTGTTGACTATAGCAGTAGAGAATTACACATTTCATTATAATCAGGGGTTGTTTCGCTAGGCAATTTTAGTGTGTACCTTCCTTCACACTTGTATGCATTGTATGAATTCATATTTATCCATTTTAATGAGCTGTTTTATATCACAAGTACATGTTTTTAGCTTTGAAAACTTGAGTATGTGGGTGTAACATGTGTTTGTGTGTACTTGCTTTTATATAATATACATGTACCCCTATAAAAAGTTAAAATTTCTTCCACATGCAAATATTTCAGATGTTTTACAAGAGAAAGTTGTTTGGATAACAGGCGCTTCTAGTGGACTGGGAGAATACTTGGCTTATGAGTTAGCAGCAGTGGGTTGCAAGCTTGTGCTCTCTGCCAGGAATGAGAACGAACTGGAGAGAGTGAAGAAAGCATGCATTGGTAATTATATACACATTTATATACATTTCATTTGAGCCAGAGTGTTTTTTTTTTATTGTGTATTGGGTTTCTAAAATGAAAATAGCACTTGATTATAAAGAGGGGGGGGGGGCATAATTTAAAAAATGCACAATGGAATAAATATGGAGCATTTATATGAAAATGCACAGATTTCAGTCATTACTCCTCTTTCTGTTGCTATTCTCTCTGCAGTTTTTTTCCACTCTCAATCTGATTATATTATACAAATCTTACAGTAGTATATTACATTGATAATAATATTTCATGATTTTATGTTGGTTTGAGTAACAACAATTCCATGTCTTTGAGAATGTATGTCTGATTTTTGTTTTCTTTTTGATTATTGCAAATGCTCTTTTTATGCACATTTTGATTGCAATATAACACAGTTTTAGGTTGGTTTGAGTAACAACAATTTCAACATATTTTAGCTAATGGCAAAGTGACAGAATCTAGTGTAATGGTTCTTCCATTGGATGTCACAGACTATAGTATGCATGCTGGCGCTGTTGGCAAGGTGCTTCAGGTCTTTGAAAGGGTATGTATGATTTTTCTTTTTTTTTTTTTGATTATTGCAGATGTTCTTTTCATGTCCATTTTACATGTAATTGTTATGCATTGTGTAATGAAAGAGTCTAATGAGAAATTTTGCTCTGAAGAATTCCAATTTCAAAACAAAATGAACATTTTAATTTTGGTTCTTCAAAAATGTTCTGCCCTGTTTTTTTGAGGAGAAGTTATAACATATGCAAATTTTCAAGATACTTTTTTTATATCTATGCCTAAACTCTTTTGAAAATGTAGCTTTTGTTTATTTGTTTGTTTGTTTAATGATTGTATATGTGGCAGTCATTCTGCTTAATTTTCCATGTATTTCGTTTTCAGATAGATGTCCTGGTGAATAATGCAGGTAGAAGTCAGAGAGCATTGTTTGCTGATGTGGATTTAGAAGTGGATAAGGCATTGTTTGAAGTCAACGTGTTTGGCCCGATAGCCCTGACCAGAGAGGTCCTGCCGCACATGATAGCCAACAAGTCTGGACACATTGTGGTCACAAGCAGCATCACAGGAAAATTTGGTATGTAGGAGTATTTGTGTAAATGTATTATCTTCTTTAAAAGATGTTCATAGCAGGTACTTGGTGGTTATTTCCATGCATGCAAGTATGAAGGTACACAGATGGAGACTGCAGTGTAAAAACCTAAAAAAAGGTTTTCTAGATTGAAGACTGAACCTGCACTGAGAATATGTCACGTTTTCATTAATCTTTTTGACCTTGACAATGTGGAAAATATTGGATGATATGTTTGTAAGGTTATGAGCATTTATGAGAACCATATTTGTGGAATAAATAAATTCTTATGGGAAGTGTCTGTTTTTTGTGCAGGTACCCCAATATGCAGTTCTTACTGTGCAACTAAACACGCCATGCAAGTAAGTAAAAGTGTAGATCTGGCTCTTGCAAATATGCAAGTACCAGGCAGGTCCGGCTGTGGCTGCCTCTTACTGATGTTCTGGGTCTGCAAGCAATAATTCAATGTTTTCATGATGGGAAATTTTTATAAATTTAAAAAAAAAACACTAATGGAGAATATTTTGAAGATTTCTTCTTGCCCAAGTTTTATCCCATTTAAATTTGATTATTAAAATAGGACAAAAAAAGTTAGAGAAGAGCAATTGGAATAACTGTTTTTGCTGTATCTTTTTTGTTTCTAAATCTCCACTAGGGTTATTGTAATTCCCTTCGTGCTGAAGTACATGCTGACAACATCAAGGTGACTGTAGTTAACCCGGGTCCTGTCAAGTCCAATATTTTGAGAGCTGCTGCCACGGCTAATGTTGGAGAAGTAAGAACAGATAATTGTGCAGTTATTTCCATTTTATGGTCTATTATTACATAATATCTTATTATGTTCAAGGTTACACATTCACATTCCTCATAGTTTACACTAGTCATTCTTGTTTTATTATCCATTTTTACATTATTGTTTATATTTGATACTAGTATTTGAGAACTTTAGTGTAGTCAGTGGTAATTTGGCTACAATGATTTAGAAAGAGCAATGATGAGCGTTATCCAAGATAGCCTGAAGTCTTGTGATTGAGTGTAAAGCCAAGCAAGATATACAGTATTCAGAGGACAGTGGACTCAAAAATAATGGCAAGCTTGCAGACTGCACAACAGAACATCTTTTGTATCTCAATTTTATATTGTTGTCTAGGACAAAATTCCCAGCTCGTACAGCCTCGCCACCCAACCACTCAAGGATTCTCCCGTTTATGCTAGCCTCATGTCATCACACACTGCTGCTAGTCTCTTTAGAAGCTATTTGGATAATGCCCATTTTACAGTTACTTTAGTCCATATTGTAAGTGAAATTTTTTACTCAAAGGTGCTGGGTCCTGATGCATGTGCCTCATTGGATATGGTTCGGATGCCAACAGAGAGATGTGCCCACCTTATGGCCGTGGCCATTGCTAACCAGTCATCAGAAGTCTGGATTTCAACACACCCAGTATTGTTTTACGCATATCTTGCACAATATTGTCCATGGTTATTTGACTCGTAAGTATTGTTGTTAAAAAGTTGGTATTGACACCACATAATTGCATATATTATGCACATACATTTGATCATTTATTCTGTGTGTGTGTGTGTGTGTGTGTGTGTGTGTGTGTGTGTACAAGTACAGTGTATGTTTGTATGCATGTATGTATGTATGTATGTTTGGTAAAATAAAGATTCAAATCGTGGTATTTTAACAATTTGTCTACCTAAAAATCAGTTTGGCATATTTAAGTTTGCGGTATCTCGAATGTCAAAATCTACAAACTAAATATAAAGAAAAGGTAAAGTTTGCATTCATTAGCTAATAGTTTTGACAGATTGGCTGATTTTACAATTTATGTCTGGTCTCTCTGGACCATTTCTATCCTGAAACAATCTCACATCCTTGGAGATGTACTCAACATCTTAATTTTGATTGTATGGTCCATGACAATAGGTTTTGATTTTAGGGCAAAACCTGCAAATCTTTCCCTAAACAATATCAGATCTTTTCAGATTGCTTATTATGGGATCAAAGAAGAGGATACAGGGATTCAAGGATTGGAAAGCAAAAAGAGAGTGATTATAGCCTCATTCCAGTATGAAACTAATACTGCATGTTGCATATGTGTTCAAGTTACTGAACTTGGAACATGTGATTTTCTCATTTTTCTGCTCAAGTGTCAAAATTGTAATTTTATTTAAGTCTAAATATGTGTTTGTCTAACTCTTAATACCCAAGCCTTTGAGGTTAATGATATGTGTTTTTGAGATGCATGTAACACTGATGTGTATCATGAGACACTGGCTAAGACCAGTGCCATTTGAACCAGACTGACTACTGGAAGTACACCATTGTTAAGCAGTCAGAACAATGAGTGGATGAGCCAGATAACATAAGGTTGATACAGGCTATACAGCATGACCTGAACATTGAGTTTTCAGAGACTGTCCTGTAAACAGTTGTAGTTAAAACAATGCTAGAAGCATCCTGGTATAGATGTTTCCTTCTGTCATCATACAAAACCTAAATGTGGACATTCCTTGGTTTTTACAGTGTGATCCTTTTCATTTAAATGTGGTTGTGGGTGGTAGTTTATGATGTGCAAATTGAAACTGCTGTTAAACTATGAAGACCTGTCTGTCAAAGGACCAAGAAGATACATATAACTGTGCATCAGAAATTAACAAAACAATCAAGTCAACAGAGTTGAATGTTGAAGTTTATGTGAGTGCTGTATTTATTTTAATGTTCATTCTTTTTACATTGATGTTATGCAGATTTGATTTATTTAGCATTATATTCAGTTATGTAAGATAAACTATACATTCCTTGATAAAAATGTTGTAAACATTACGCTAATATTTGAGTCTGTTGGGATGCATTGTTACGCTGGATTCTGTTACACTTGAATTCATGCGACAAAAACTGAAGACATTTTAGCAGTTGACAGCAATGGTCTTTAGTCTGTAAATCCATTAAAATCTTGGCAAGAAAAATAATTACTAAAGAGGTAAACTTTTTTACATTATGAGGCATGTTTCAACCCTGCATCATAGGGTCTTGACCATGTGACTTGTGGCCAGAAAAATTCATTTAGAGACAATTTACTTTTTTACCAATATTACACGAGAAAAAATGAAAAAAAAGTCACAGAAAAAGATACTTAGATAGCATTTAGTATTATGTGCAACAGCTCATTCAGTTCTTGAACAAATAGTTTTTTGTTTGTTTGTTTGTTTGTTTGTTTGTTTTATATGCCCCACAGGCATGAACCAACCTTGCTGTCACAATCATGGCTGTGAGTGGTACAATTAACACAATGTTTGCTTCCTTGCCTGAAGAAACCATGATAAATTTTGACCAGTCACACTTGCACAAATTTCCTTGGCATTTCAGTTTCAATCAAACAGTAGAGATGTTTTAAAAAATAAGTCTTTTTATTTGAAAGTCTTATCATACAGAAACAAAATATATCTTTTTATAAGTTAACATAAATAATGATTTAGTGCATGCTCTCCAGTGCGCTTCATATTATTGTACATATTTAGTATCTTTTGATATACAGCCACTTCATGTACAAACCTTGACAATAAATACATACTATGTACACATAAATAATGTTTTTTTCCCTTTTTTAGCATGTTCTATGTTTTGTACAATAGAATTTGGGTTGTGGGAAACGTTATTGGTTGGAACACGTGAATTAACTAGATTCAATTTATGAAACAAAGGTTGAATATATTCCAAAGCTGAGTTCTGATAGTCGGTAAGTTGAACTCGCCCATAGCTGAAACAGCGTTTTATGGGCATGGTGTACCAATAGTGCCATCGGTGTAATACTGTCTTCCGCGCGTGGAGTTGCGCATTTGTCTTTGATTTTGTTGCCAGTTGAATTGAATTGCCATTGACTGAAAATTTGTTTGAACGCAGATTTCGATAGGTCTCTTTGAAAGCCACAGCCGCCCTCCATACATGTTGGAGACAATATGGTTAGAGATGAAGCTGAGAGATACAAGGAAAATAATTCCCCATGTCGAAAAACAAATTACCACGCGTAGTCGTACCGTCCTTTCACCGTTGTGTTTTCAATAAATTTGTTAAAATTTCACCCAGTGAAGCGGCAACGAGCAGAAGAAATCTTGCAAGATGTTGTCGAATTACGTCGTCTGGAACAAAGGATTACGCTCATGGTAGATAACTTCCCCGTTTTATTCCTCTTGTTATGAAATCAAAATTCACCAATTTCTGCTTATCTCAGCCAGGCACTGAGCACCGTTCTAACATTTTTCCTGTCTGTAAATGCAGGTAAAAAGCCCCGCATTTTCCACAGAAATTTGGGATGCAGATAATGTTCCTATTTCTGCAATGGCTGCAGGGGTGGATAGGACACTGCTGAAACGGGGCGTCAGGCGGACATGTAGGGAACTGGAGCTCTAACGTTTTGGCTTTATATTCCATGACGGGCGTTGACAAATCTGGAAAAAAGTGAAATCAAAAGAAGTCTTAAGAACTATTTTCATACTGTAAGGTGAAAATATACTCGTCTATGATATGATGAGATTGGAAGGAGTATCCAAGTGGTCTTCAACAAGAACATTTCATTGGTCCGTGAACTGACAACCTTTATCAAATAAAACCTTAAAATTCGGCCATGAAAATGTAGCGTAGAATAAATCAATTAAGTTTACATATCAAAGGCCAAAGTCTATATATCTGTGGTCATGAATGATCATGGTCTCCACCCACCCTGAAAATATGGTACTGACTGGGACTTAATCCTAACCTATGATGCTGCGAACAGCAAAAATATGGTGGTTAAAGAGATGAGTTCCTTGTAGATTCCGAAGTCTTTTTTAAATACACCCACTTTTTACCAACAGCAGTTATTTAAGGAGGATTCTGCTATTATTTATGACATTGAATTTTTTTTTTTTTTTTTTTTGTAAATGATATCTTATCGCAATCATAACGTATCTACGAGTATCTAGAAATATAAGTTTGTTACGTAAGCAAATTTTGGATCTGATATTCTTATATATATATATTATTCTGAATAATAACTGGATTCTTTTATTTATTACGAAAAATTAAAGAGTGAAAACTACTTTTCTCTACGACAATACATTGGTTTGGTTTCTTGTAGTTGCGTTTCCAATAATTCTAATAACTGATGCAATATCGAGCAATGGAATGTAATTTTACGTGCCCTAATTTGAAGAGAGGCCTACTCTACTGTTGGGAATCCTGGCACCTAACACGGGTAACGCAACACGTGGTGACTGAGACGTTGAAACTAAAATAGCACGTTCCACCCACACTTGGGATAACGAGCTGTCACACTGATGTTTCTTTACTTTAAGTGCATTCCTGTGGTTAGCGTGCCACTGGGGGGCTAAAGGGGGCAGATTTTTGTAATTCGCGAAAAAGGGATGAGCGATTTGTGCGTCAAAGGATCGACAGAATAGACTTAAGAAACGAATATTTGCACATTCCAAAGGCATTGGTCTAATACTGATATTGTTCACTTTCAGATAAAAAAATCTTTGTTCAGTCATACGTGATAACCGAATCTTGAACAGATTAGATCACATTTTGTTCAACTGGTTTATTTGATTACTGAATCCGCTAGTGTACGGCAGGGTAAATTCGACGGCTTTTGATCCATTATTGGCATTCGTTTTTAAGGCGTTTCCATTTGTAGTGATTTAACTAGGTTTATATATCCGGCACGTGATCCACAATCGGAATTTCTCTTTATAACGCTGCTGTTTACGACACGAAACCGGGTACTTCGGCATGAGTGCTTCGAGTGTATATTCATTCCAGTACTACCAAATAACAGAAATAACTAAACGCGTGATGTAAAGCACTGAAAATGGATTGTCTGTCAAAAAGTTTATCCTCGGCGTAATACATTTAAGTCTTAAAAGACTAGTGAGCTATTATCAACTGCGGGATAAGCAGATACGCCATTTGGCAACTACTCTCTAACAGCTGACTTAACTGTGAGGCTAAACTGAACCATCCCTTTCCTCCTCTGTTGGAACTTGCTTTTTTAATCGGCCCACTAATTGAAAAGCACATGCAGCACATGTTGTTGAATGCCGATGTTTGTTGAACGCAGCAGAAAAAATGTACCTTAGACAGCTAGGCACTCTGAGGTTTTGTATATAAATCTTATTCGTTTTAGGGTTTAACTTAGAATAAATCGAAAACTATGGGCTTGTTGTTGCTTTAAAGGGACCTCTGGCTATACTTTCCCAGTTTAACTAAAATTCCACGCTAAACCAGCTGGCTATCCTGCAACTTGACCCCACCTTTTTTCGCTTCCTCTTGACGTGTGGAGTGGAAACTTGGCCTATTATTAATACGTTCTCGGTTCACTTTTCTGCTGTGCTTCCTCCTCTTCAGCTTGTTTCGAATTCTAGGCGGCACCTCTAGTCCTGCAAACTTTGGGTGGCATTTGCGCTTACACTCCCACTTCCGTGAAAAGTTGTTGCCCTTTCCGCGACAGCCAAAGAAACGGCGACACTTCCCTGTCTTTTGGTCATAGTACCACCTCGTCATCCCGGTTGTGCACTGATGTGAGTTGTCTAGATGGGTTAGTGCACATACGTTCACATCTGAAAAAATGATATACATACAATGCTTTAATCCAGTAGGCTTGCATTGTCCTCCGAAGCCAAATATTACTATTAGAATAGCGTTTTTTAAATGCTTATATGCTACCGTTCAAAGAAGCAAATATTCAGTGGCATTAATTTTATATTAATTATATTACGTACTCTCGAGTTTTGATGTTTTTATCAACTTATCAATTTCAAATAATCATTTTACAAAGCACGTTCAAGTTATGCAAATGTTATTAATCACATAACTCGTTTTCTTTTACTAAATAAAGCACGTCTCCTATGCCTTTAAAACTAGGCCTACTCACTTTTTTTTTTCTACTTGCAGTTCTCTGTGAGTCCAGACCTTAAATATCATTTGAAATAACCGCGATAGAAGAATGGGATTGTCATTATATACTTGTGAATAGCTTGCCACTACAACCTCCCAGGCCGTATTGTGTGTGTGTTGGGGGGGGGGGGGGGGGGGGGGGGGTACGTTATCAGTGGAAATCGTATTTTAATGGAACTTAACTGCTCCCACAAAAGCGTGCATTTGACTTCCGTTCACATAATGTTATTTGGATAGGTTCATAAATAGCGGTAAAGTTATGTACAACTACTTTGACTGCTAATATGCCTCCATTTTTGTCAAAAAGCATTAACTGGCCTGCCAGGCGTACCTGGGTATTTAGCTACAGGCTTGAAACCGAAGCCGTGGGACAACATCCCCATAAATATTTCCTTTGCCCTCATGAATTTCACCAACTAGATTGAGTTTTTGTATTTAACCCAATTTTATATCTCACAGTAAGTGCTGCTGGCATTGAGCAATGCGAATTATAAGCACGTCCATTAAATAACAGAGAGAATTCGATATTTTGACATCTCGGCTTCCGATGAAGGATTCAAATACGTGCTCCTTGTGGGGAGTACGTCAACCTGTTATCTGCCCTAAATTGATACTTTGAACACAGTTAATGGCCTTGTAGATTTGTTGACAAACACGCACACGTCTTTACCCGACACCAGAGAATATTGTGGGTTGAACTCTTCTATTTATGTAAGATTATGTTTTGACATGACATGTATGGCATTTTCTTGTCTTACAACTTAAAATAACAAGCCTTTTCTGCAAAACATTAGGTTTCTGCATACCTTGCGTATTTTTCTTTATTTAATCTTATGAAATGTCAGTTCTGTCAACTCGTTAAATGGGTGCATTAAGATCTAGTGATTGCCCTGGGTGGAGAAAGTTATTTTGACCCTGCGATGACCTCCAGTTGATTGCCATCCCAGGGCACGAGTATGTTACGTTAAAAGAGAATGTTTACCCAACACGCGGTGCAGTGAACAAGGGGAGATCACTGTATTGTCAGCCCTGTTGTGCTTTTGGTACAATTTTCAAAACGGTTAAGAACCTGTCACTGACCCCATCTGTTTTCGAAAAATAAAAACTAGAGTAGTCGTTCAAATTAATTAATTAATTCTTTCGAGAACTACTTTCTTTGGCAAATCTTTAATAACAAAACGAGATCTTTAACAACAGGGTACCTTGTTGAAAAGTTGGATATGTAAGACTGAAAGCCTTGTTAGTTGTTAGGCCGTTTGTGACCTTGAGCGGATGGTTGGATGTCAACAATCTTTCTACAAAATAGGGCTCTAAATGAAATGGGCATGGATTCATCAAATCGTTTCACGAACCCCATACATCACGCTATATTGTGATATTTGTCAAATGTAATCTCAGCTAATAATGCGAGGTTAACCCGTTTAGACCCTCTCGATAGTGGTTACGCCTATCTCGGATTTCACTAATATTTTTTGTTTGTTTGAAGATACAAAACACCGGGTTCAAATGAAACGTGCACGTGTTCAAGGCTCTTTTTCAAAAATCAAACGCATTTTTGTAGTTGTCACAGCATATACCCCAGTAGGAAGTATTTAGATATTTCTTCGCCTTCGTAAAATCAATGGCGGATTCTGGAGATTCCCCCGCCCCACAAATGATACGCACAGCTTAAAAGGCAAGTGACTACAAAGTGAAGCTCAAGTCTCGAATGCTTTGATGAATTTATACCTTTACACGATGCAAAATATCTGCAAAAGTCCTGGTTACAAAGCTTGGGCTTTTGAACGACGCACTGGAACCCATCAAGACACATGACGCTCTGAAATTACAGCAGAAAAAGAGACTGTAAACAATTGTGCTGCTCCCGCTAACACTATAATACGTACTATACTCTTCTAGGACTGTGATAAAAAGGGGAAAATAGTTGGGGAAGAGGAGAGGAAGAGGACTGAGAAGAGGACGGGATTAAGAGCACGGAGACGTGAAAGCGCACACGAGAAAGAAAAGAACGATGCATGAGGAGGGAGGGGGTGGGAGAAGAGAAGAAAGAAAATGAGAGCGATAACTAAGAGTTATGTTTAAGAGCATGCGTGCACAAAAGAAAGCATTAAATCATACAGAATGCAACTGGCAGGATAAAAATCCACAACGCCCATTCAGAGTTTATGACATTCTGCTATTGTTCCATACTTTTATTAAAACTTTCACTACTATACTACTGTCGCCTCCTATCCTATTCAGCGCTGTATTCACGCCCTAGCAAAATAAGCTTCAAGTAAGGAGTGAATAGGAGGAATGGAGTGGTGAAGGACATTCGTAGAAATTTTTGATTTTGGACCCGTAGCCAAAAACAGCTGTGTCGAACCCTTTCCACTTCTTTTAAAGCCTCATACCGTTACTCGGTGGGCTCATGAAACTGTGACTGCAAAGTTCATGGTTATCCATTTGATATATCTTTTATAAAATATTTGTTTTATGTTTCGCCTCATTGTATATCTAGTCATTATCTCCACCTGTTTTTTTTTCTCCATGCAAATACTGCAATTTGTTTATTTTCCACCTCGCTATCATCTTTCGCTCTTCATTACATCTGTTGCTGTTCACTTATCACACATGATAAATGAACACTGACGCTGTATACAGCTCGCACCATAGAAATAAAATGAATGTAATTTACACTTTACCGAGCACGGGTTATGGCACTGGCACAATGACACCCCCTCCACGTCGCTCTCATACCCATAAGGGCATTTCTTGTCACATTTCCTGGAGTAAGTTTTGTCGGGTTTATCTCCCTGTGGGTAGAGAAGGTAGGAAGGCAGCGGTGCTAGGATACTGCCAGCAGTCCACTGAAATACGGGTTAAAACATAGTTAGAGTACTGGGATGAAAAGTAACAGCAAAACTGACCGCAATAGACGACCACTTGTATGGCCCACGTCCAACAAATTTCACCCCCCCCCCCCCCCACATCAGATCAAAATGACTCTATTTATCTAGAGACATATCTGTGAATATCTGTGGAAAATCGATGTCGCCCTGGCAGAGGGTACAGTGCCGCCGGAATCTCCCCTTACTTACCCTCCGGGTTGCTGCGGGTTGTACGGACGGCCTGGCTCGGTAACTATGGAAATAACATTGTCATCCATACGCTGTTTGGTTTCTATTAACAATAGTTCCATACCCTGCCCGTCGGGCAATTATCGTGACAAACTTTCTGCTAACAAAAGAGCCTAACCCTAGCTCGCTGAGATAAAGATCGAAGGTGAGAGTGGTCGCTATTAAGTGTTCGTCCAAGCGTTAATTGACCTTTAATGCGCGGTGGCTTCACTCTACTTTGATCACTCTACTCTGATACGGAGATTTTAAGTATAAGAACTTGCCAACAGTGATCTTAAAAAGTCGCTTTACCAAAAAGATTCGGTGATGACAGCAATTTTCGTGTACATTGTAGCTATGAATTGATTGAATTTACATAGAGTTTAATAAATGAATTTATGAATTTATTAAAGATCAAATAAAACACTACTCGTACATGTAATATTTATTAGGCTTCAAACTGTCTTTGCTATATACATATTATTAACAAGATTGAGTTTTATTTTTATAGTATGTCCTTATATTTCTATTACCTTTGTTCATAGACGAAATGCATTTTTTCCAAAAAGACCTGACAGTTGTTTCAGTAATAAACATTCTGTTGCAGTTGATACATAACCCGGTATTGTTTGCTCGTGTCTATAGCAATCTATTTGCATCAGCTATAATAGAAACCTTAAGTGAGGCAATTAAGAAGGGGCAGACCGTGCTCGTTGAACCGACTAATTTGGGTGTCCGATAAGGATTGCTTGGGGATTCCCCTACCCTGTAATTATCATACGGCCTCTATTGTTCGACCATGTGGGGCAGGGTTGGGAAACCATACGGCCATTTGGTAAGGGGAGATTCCGGCGGCACTGTACCCCTCCCCCTCGGAATGTGACTATTCCTACTTTACTACTCCCTTCCTTACTACTAGCCATAACTACATGTTATTGGAACTCAATAATCGCAATAAAACACACGAAATTATGCGAATACCACGTTTTGCTAAGAGAAAAAACGCAAACAAACTCCCTGGGGGACATAAAAAGTCGACTTTTACCATTGCAACTTACTTTCGGACCGAGTACTGATTGTAGTAATAGTTTAACTAGTAATACTAATGGTGGTGACGTCTAATTTTTCTTATTTTCCCCACGATATGCAGATATGCAATAATCAGGAGGTTAGCAACAACTCAAAGAGACGATGGAGGTTTAGTCAAAATGAAGTCAAATCAAGTATAATAGTTTTCCATACGAGTTTGCTTGTGTAATTTTTCCGAAATATCTTGCAATGGGTTGTATTTATATCTGCACAAAAAGCGGTACGATAATAAAATCTAGATAATACATTCTATGACACTTGACGTGTTATTTCTTATCTTTATACAATTGGTTGTAACAGCACCGGTAAATCCGAAAGTTGTGCGTTTTACTCAGTGATAGTCAACTACATGCCGCACATGTTGCTTAGCTAAGAGAAAGGACACGTGCACTTTTCATTTTTAAAAACTAACCTTCACAATTAACCCCTAGCCCTTCACACAATTAAACTGAATTTCCTCAAATATCACCTCATAAAGTTTCATGAATTTGAATCAAAAGATATCTTACCTGTAAAAACCCGAACATCAGAAGCACGTGTTTCATCGTGTAATGTGTACAAGTTCATCTACTCTTGGTGAATCAGCTGAGCGAGAGGACGTGTTGATATTTATAGCTCCTTCCTCCCACATACCGATCGCGACGTGAAGGAGAGAATTATGTTTACTATGTTTTCATACCAAAGTAATCGTTTCTTAACAGGATGTTTTCGTTAAGAAAAGCAATTTGACCTTTCACCCGAGAAAAGAATGGCTCGGAGCGATGTCCGAGCGGGCGGAGATACCCTTAGACATCTATGGTTTGGAATTCGTTTACAAGATTTCGTCATTATTGATATTGTTACCGTACAAACGTCATTCACATGTCAGAGTCACATTTCCAGCATCACGAAGCGGCCGAGCGCCTCTATTCTGTCACATTCCATCTCGACACCAAGACATTCGAAGTTGCCAACATGTGGGGAAAGAAAATTCTAGAAATGTTGTCTTTAGCATCGCATTACTGTCTACTTTAGCTATCATTATACACAATAAAATCACTGACTCTTGACCTCGTAATTGTTTCGCTTTCCCCTCACTGTCGTTGATTGACACTTCCAAGTCTTTAAGTGAAACCGCAGACTGGCTGGAATGCTACCGTTTACTGACATATTTGTCAATTATATCTTCACTAATGCGAACTCAATAAAAGGTGTGGGTGGAATTGAGATATTTTCAGTTAGATCATGAAGCAGATATTTCCACTTTCTATAAATGCACGTAGGGAGTTTTTAAGCTTCCGCACTCACTGTATGTGGCAACGATAGCATGAATTCCGAAATATTCGTAATGATAAAACAAATTGCATTGAAAATAGATAAATAAATGAGATTTGAATTATCATAAATAAGAATAATCAAATCGCGACAACGGGAATGGATTTGTAGAAAAAGATACTTAAATATTCATAATAAATATAAGAAAATAACGCTGAAGTGATGAAATATGATAAAATAATCAAATGAATAAGTCAGAAATGAAGGTAGTTTTGATGTGACGGTGGGTGATACTGATATATATTAACTGTTATTTTTATGATCACCACCACAACGCTGCCCCCCTCACCCCCTTATCCCCACTCCCCAACCACCATCACCGCGAAAATGATAGCGAGTGGTTAGTTGTGACAATGAAAACGGCGTACTTTCACAGAACGAAGGAAATCTACCATCGATGTTTGTTTGGTTTAGAAGGACGTAGTTTCTCTAACGACGTTCAAGGCTAAGCCCAGTTGATTGAACATTTTAGTGTAATGTGACTCAGTTCGAAAAAGCTATTTCTGGCTTCCAACAGCTGCGTCCGAGAAATGTGTACGAACAACTTCAAACAGTAAGCAGTGTGTGGCCTTGTAATATTATAATGAGCAAACAGAACGAAGAAAACCCCAGAAATATGCCAAAATAAATATTTACCATATTTATAAAGAAGCTGTATTGTTCGGAATCTGGTCCAAAATTTAATAGTTCCCAGAATATGAATGTTTTTTCTTCAATTAAAAACAAACTAACTGAAGAGAAAGCTGAACGACGCAAATTGTTTTGGCACGGAATTCGTGCAAAGGTTATTTGTTTTGGCCCTTGTTTTCGATTTCATATCACTGAACTTGCCAGACTCCCGTTTGAGGTGCAGGCATGCAGCCTTGCACGCAGTGTTACGCGTCAGTAGGCCGTAATATGTTGAATAACACGTGCGCGTGCCCGAGCGCGTGCGGTCAACCGCTTGCCAAGTTTCTTATATAAGCTTGATGTTACGGTCACACCGCGCTTTTAACCTTGATTTTATATTTATTATGCTTCATCGGAAAAATTGAAGGTGCAGTTCAAATTTTATCTTCTCGTTAACATTTTCTTTCGGATAAAAATAGCGTTTAAACATGCACTCATTTTCAAAAAACATTATGCAGTAATTCTGTGCCAACTAGTAAGACAGCGTGTTCAGCTTTAGCCACCTTGAATTTAAGAGGCCATTGAAAACTCACCACTCCGCTTTCGACAAGCCTCTGCTGTTTCAAGCAGTGGTTGGTCAGGGGCATACTGATAGGAAAGAGGTACCCTCTCTACCTTTGCTGCAGATTAAATATGGGCATTTTTTCTTCAGCAGCAGAAAATCGTGTCAAGAGTTGGCCAGTATCACCAGTATGTATGTGAATATCTAGAAAAAAAATCAATCTGTGACCCTGGTAGAGGGTAGGAGAGAGAGAGAGAGAGAGAGGGGTTTCCACTGACCTCTGGAACTCAGGGTGACAATAACTGGTCAATGGGTACTGAGATCTTCTATCTGTATTGCAGTAATCCTTCTTTTTTAGGTATGCCCGTATTCATCAGAGTTAAAACGTACTATGCTCCTTGCACTTAGAATTTATACGTCCATACTCCAACAGGGAGGCAGTGGTTGTCAGCACTAATTATCTCAGTACAGTAACTGACAAGCCCCCATGTCAGGCACTAGGGACCGATATGTGCAAACTACAACCACCTTTGAAACAAAATCTCAAAGACTTCCATTCATTGCTAAAAAAAGATTTAGCATCAAAGGAGAAGGTTATATTAATGTACTTAAAGATAGCCGATGGGTAAACGTCCTGAGGAGATACTGAGTTGACTTATGCTGTCCAGGTTGAAGTATGCTGTGCTTTTCATCAACATTTCACTTTTTCTTTTTTTTTTGAACCCGGTGCTTTTCATATTATATGTAAACAAAACAAACGCAATTGCTCAACATTAATATTCATCAAGCATTTTAGTCAACAAAGTGGAATTTTGCATAATCTGTATGGAGAGTTCTTTCTCAAAGTCTTCTGCTGATCACATCCGATCTGATGATTAATAAAACTGTTTACATGAGTCACAATCAATCATTTTCAAGAGAAAAAAAAATGCATATCATTATCTTCTTCATGATTTTTACTCTACCAACTCCCTTTTAAGGAAAATATAACAGTATGCTGTGTTGAAGAATATGCAAATGAAAAAGCAAAGTCCTTCCTAAATGTACCTACTAAAAGCATTTGGTTATTTTCAATTTTTTTAACTAGATATATTCAGCTAACACACTCCTGAACTTACACTTACTTACACTCTGCCCAACAAAAAATAAATCAAATAATAATAATAATAATAATAATAATAATAATAATAATACACTCTCTTGAATTACAACAAACAAATTTATGATGCAATGAAAATATGGGAATCTGACAATGTGATTAATTTTGTTCAATAATTCTGTTTAATACTCCTGAAACTTCTGTAAAAACGGGCCATACAGTAGTCCTACAGTTACAGTTTAGTGCCTAGACTGCTTTCCAACTACATGTTCTCAAAATATTTGCTGTCCATGTCCCACAGTGTTTGCAGCTTGTCATCAATATCAGTGCTGGGAAAACGCTCCTTGAAGGACTGGATCACACCTGTTGGTGATGCCTCATACTCCACTAATTCCACTGTATCTCCTGGAGCCAAAAAAAGTGTAATTATTTCACATGATTCTTCACATGTTTGTGTGGAAGCCTGTACAACAATATTTAAGATCAAAAGGAGCAGACATCAAAGAGATGGAAAATGCGGATCAAAAGCAAATAAAAACAAGGTTGTGGGTGGTGCTGAAAACAACAATCACCACATCTTGAACAGTGGGTTAAATACTACACTTGTTCACATATATACAGACACTCAGCTATACAGTTATTGCCATTCACATAAATGCATTTCTAAGCCTTGACAAATTTAAGCAAAATAATACACATAAATTCAGTATCTCTCTTTTGTTTTTTCTTTCTCTGGGAAAGGAAAAGTTCCAGGGTCAGTAATGCTTTTAAAATGCATAAAAAAGTATTACATACATTCAATCATAAGCGCACAGAATGCCCTTAATTTATTTCTCAATTCATAGCAGATATCTGACCTTACACCAGTATTTTTAGTTCAATAAAAACAGCTTGTTTTATTCTAAAATGAAATCCATACTAGCTCTGAGCATTTCCTGGTACAGCTAATCCTAGCCATACCCTGCAGTTAAACGCTCCATAAAAAAATGTAATTTCATCCAGGCACTCTCTCAAACTTTTAAAATCAAACATTTGGCTCTCACTCAAAACTGGCCTTTCTTCCCCACCCCAATCCCTTAACTGATGAGTCATCCAAAAATCGGGAGCAAAGAAAACTGTTGGTCAGTCTACTTTGGTAGGAATCCCCTGTTCCCCATAATTTGGAATTAAAAAGAGGCACTATCTTAACTCAACATAACAAAAGACTAATTATTAGGTAGTTGTTACCAAAACATAATTTTACATTATACAAAACATTTTAAAAACAAAACACACTGACCTAACCAACTTCTAGACCTCCTTCTTAAGTTATACACATAATGAATCTAATTCAAAGAACAGACTTGACCTCACCGGATGACCATTTCTGAGAATTAGAATGAAGTGAAAAGAGAATGGTGTTTATGACTGGGAGGGATAATAAGGTTTAGAACTTATGGTTTTAATACTGGATATCCAAAGTTTAAGAGCTATATATAAACACTGGAATAAGAAAAGAGATTGGAAAGGGAGCAAAATCTTGTACCTCTCCTGAATTTTTACTCTTTTTTACAACTTCAATCAGTAATTGCAATTGTCTTCAGTTAACTCCCTATTAAACATCCACAAAAAGGAGAAAATCCTTCAAAAGGAGGCAGACATCCCACTCTGCTAACAGAGACTTCGTATACTATCATACACTTGTGGTCTTCAATATGTTCTGAATCACAAGGCTGGCTGGAGTTCAGTGCGGGTCATTTTAGATTTTAATTTACATCTGCACAGCAGACTGTTTACATGCAAATGGCCTAACTGGATGAATAATGGAAAATAATACACCGTTATCTACCAGTATGTTACACCCATCATCAGAATTGCCTCAGCCTGCAGGCCCAAATCCAATAAACTTCTGGTTAGGCTTACAAGTGATATTTTACCTTGCATTTTTCGTGTAATTTTAAAGAGCTGTTTGCCTATGATCTCACCCTTTATCTTTGTATTGCACTGCACGAACATCTTCCTTGATTGCTTCCTGGCTATCACAATATCTCGCAGAGATTGAAATTTGGGTTCTTGGTCATCGCTGACCTTGGAGTAGTAGTCATACATTGCTTTTGCACTCTCATAGTCTGCAGTAGATTTGTAAATCTGGAAAACAATATGACTCATGCTCAACAAAGATCATACGTGTTTACTGGCAGTTGTAAACACTATCAGACCTATTTATCAAATAGTAATGTTTTTACTTCAAAAATAGTATTTACACGTGGGAACAATTGTATTTCTTCTCTTACTAAAGAATATGCTCATATATACATAAAAATAACTGGTCTGGGCCACATTTTAATTATTCATTAAATAAGCTGTGGAATGGAATAACTCAATGGATCCACAGGCAACTTGGATGTGTATAAAAAGGTAACAATATCAACCAAATTCAACTCTCATGGCTGAGGGAGTCGAAAAGTTTTCAGGTGGAAACACACGGATATCTGCTACCTCTTTACACACTATACAGAGTGGAATCAAGTTGAATTGTACTCTTCTAATTCATTTTAAATCTACAAGAGCATATCAATAGCAAGAAGTCCTAGAGTTATAGATTTAAATCATTAGCTGTGGCACTTTTTTACCTGAAGTTTCTGCAAGAAGTCCCCAATAGCTTTTTTCCCCACGGTGTGTATTTTAGTTCTGTCTAAATGTATTACAACATCTGGCTCCCCATCTGCTCCTGTGGTTTGTTGTACGGTCACCAGGTTGTTTCCAGCCTCCAGCAGCACGCGCAGGATCACAAAACGAGCATTCATGTGCGCCTTGGAGAACATAAAAAGTGCCATTAGTATTTCATAACAGTTCAGCTGCAAATAACATGGCAAATAACAGATCTGCCCATTTGAAGTACTATTGTGTTAAAAATGCCGTTTTACTTCCTCCATTGTTACCCTATATTTTGTCAACAACTGACTCCATCTGTTATCATAAAGTGCATGTTAATTTTCACAAGACACAGTTTTACCTGTTTCCATGCCTGAGTCTGTGGACTGTAGAATTCCAGTCCCAGAAAGCCTGCCCTCACCATGTTCAGCCAGTTAATATAGACCAGGTCATCAGCTTCTTGACCAGAATGACCAAAAATACTGGAATAAGAGGACAGACTGTGACTTACATGACCAAAATTTAACAAAACGTAAAATGCAGCCACAAGGTTTGATAATAAAAGATATTTTTTTTGTAAATATCAAGGAAATTCAGACAATTTTTCTGCCTACCTTAAGACTGTCTCTGACAAACAGAGATAAAGACCCACACACTCAGCACGGCATTCTTCATATGATGAACTAATCACAGGAAATTTAGAGTCCCAGGTTTCCTTGCCTTCATACCACTTCTCAATCTTGAGCATAACAGTAAATTATAGAAATGTTACCGCAAAACAGCATTAGATTATTTCATTTTTCCCATCAAAACTTTTCCACAACGTCAACCATTTAATAATTTTTTGTATTTCTTATAAATAAAATAAATTTTTGCCTTCTAATATTTAATGCTGCAGGAAAATAATGCAATGTGCAAATAAAACATTTCATGCAGTTACTGACCTTTGATCCAGTAAGTGGGTTAATTACTTTATGTACATCAAAATTAAACTTTCCATCAGCTTCCTGAAATTAAATCATAAACTCTTTAAATTATATCACAGGCAATGTAGATTTACCTTAATAACACTGCATGAAAGGGTGCCAAAGAGATATTTCAAATATTTACAGCATTCCAAAATGTCCAGTTACTTTTTGCAAATGCTGTCTGATGACATTACAGCAAAGTGGCACAAGTGATTCCTGAACACAGTGCTTACAACTTACTGGGTTTAATACAAAAAAATTCTTAAATTAACATATAATTTTGCTCAAATCCCTTTTTCACTTCACACAAGCATGCTTATCATGTTTGAAAGCCATAATCATGTTCATGGTTCCATCCCAGCAATAATATATGAATGGAAAAGAAAAAACATAAGAAATACCTTGATGAACAACTTCCCACTGCCATGTCCCAACAACTCATGGAGACCAACTTGAACCTCAAATGATGGAACCTTGTACTTGACATACAATTCCTAAATAATCAACATTTCAATTTAAAATATACATCAAAAAAGAACTAAACAGAGAACAGTTTTTTTTTTTTTTTTGGAAAGGAAGTGATATTTTTTCTATTAAAAAAGAAAAAAAAACCAAAACAAGTCAGACTCACTGTCCAAAACTTTTATTTAAAATAACATTTTTATCCTGTCAATACATCTGAGTTATACCATCATGTTTAAATACAAAAAAAAAAATACAAAAAAACCAACAGCTGTTTTATCACCATATTAAAAATAAACAGGCAAAGGGTAATCATTTTTTTTTCCATTTTTTAAAAAAAGAAAAGGCAGAATTCCATAATTGACTAGATAATGAGTCTAGGTTCCAGATGTGCCAGACATACCACATCCTGCTCTTCAAGGAATGTGACTTTTTGATCCTTGTATCCTGACACTATCACATTGCCTAGGGAAACATTTTTGAATCCTTCAGACTGTCTTATGTCATCATCTATAAACAAAAGAAAAAAAGCTTTTAAGTTTTCTTTTTCAAACAAAATAGCAACAAATGCAGCTAAAAGTGAGATAATGGTAACAAGAAAATCACTCGGAGAGGACAGATCAAGACAGCTCAATTCTCATTGTTAATTAATTCATTTTAATTGTACCATTGAAATGGATGGCTACCAAAATCTAACTAATTTTAAGTTAGTCAATTTCTGACCTACCCTGAAAATTTTCTGACAATTTCCCCATTACTTTTTCAGTTACCAATTAACAAACAATGAAAAGCAAAAAAAAAAAAAAGCAAACTTGGAATTTTCTTTTTTCTTTAAAGTAACCTGAGCAAAGTATTCCAAGTCACTTGATGAAAAAAAAAAACATTCTAACATCATGTTTCTGAATGAAAAGATTGTGCCAGACATACATATATCTCTCTGTCATATTCATTCAAAGTTAATCTCACACTTGTTAGCACCTATAAACAACAACTAAAACCACCAATTTGCTCTATTCTATTCTAAAAGGTGCTTACAGTTTGGAATGTTGATCCCAGCTGGTATTCCACTGCCTCCGAATGCCAACACATCCAAGGAAGTGAAATCAGGACGTAGAAAGGTATCCTTCTCAAACTCAGCTGGCCAAGGCATCAGTGGTAAAATATCTTCTGCCTTGTCAACCAACCTGGCAAACTTGGCACTCATCTCCTTGTTCACCATAGCAGCAAAGCCTGCAACGATGTGGCTCTGATATATTTGTTGGGTCATTCTGGATAATTTTCAGCCAAATAATTACTTCTTGCACACACACACACATATACACAAAATAAATAAATAAATAAATAAATAAATAAATAAATAAATAAATAAATATGTTACTTTCCTTGGACACAGTAAAATATGTTTTGCATTTGGTGAAGACACTCTGTGCTGACATGATCTCAAAATAATAACTTTTCCTTCCTTACTCTTTAAAGTATGGTTTTGAGACCACTGGCAATGAATGAAATCCTACCTTCAAACTCTCCTCTTACACCAAAGGGATCTCGGTATGACTCAATAAAACCAATGTAACTGCAAGGTAAATTAGTGATAACTGTGACAACATTCATGTTCCATACAGGAAAACACCTTTGACAACTTCACATATACTGCAATGACTTCAAATGGGCTCATAATGAACTTTTCATCCAAGAATTAAAAATAACAGATAAAGTTGTGGTATTGAAAACTACTCACAGCTTTTTGGCAGCATGTTTTAAACTGTTTTTTTACTGTATTCTACAATAACTTGCATCAAATTTTATAAGTTATGGGCCCACAGACCCCTAATGTATGAGAAAAGCTGCAAAGATAAGATAATTGTTCAATAAGAAACTAGATAATAATTCACTGACGTTTCCACAATTGGTCCTTTGTCCTTAATCCAGTGTCTGGAGCCATCTTTGTGAGAACAGATGGAGCCACAGGTAAAACTGTGTGCATAACACTTCATCATGTTTCTCTCCTCCGAGTTGGCTGCATACTCCTGAAGGATAGGGGCAAACATTCAACTGCCAAAAAAACTGAGTTTCACAGGCATAGATGTTAACTTTTGCCTCACTAAAAATGCACTTGAAGTAACTTTTTCATATTTGATTTGCACATATTTAGACATTTACCAGATGAATATTGTAACAAGTGCTAATAAATACAAATACCATACCGCTGCTTTTTCTACGTTCTGTACCACCAAATTCATCAGCTCGGCATAGTCTCCTCTTGTGACAGTGAAAGTAATAGGGGTACTGCTGCCTTCTGGTGTAAATTCATGTTTACCTAATACTTTTTCAACGTCTTCACAAGCTGGAGTTTTTTCCCCTAAAGATATAAATAGAAATATTCCATAATAAAAATAACAACATTTGCTATCTATAAGATTCAATGTGATTAATCTGACTTAACCTAAGACCACCAGAAAGCAAGTTTTAGAGAATGTGTCAATAAATTGACTGTAAAAATGTTGAAATATCACTTTCTACTCTGGATAATCTCCTATACAAACCATCTTTCAGTGAAGAAGCCAGTCTGATCTCATACTCTTTGTCGGAGGTTTTGAACAGGCGGGTATTGTATGCACTAAGTTCCTATAACAAAAATAATATACAGTGAACCAGTATTCTTTTATTTAAAAACATTTCAACACTGCACTGTTTATTGTTTCCCATAACAATTCTGTAAATATACTCAAATGCTCAGCCACCAATTAATTTATTAAATGCATGTCTATATCTTGCCTCATCGTCAACTGTATTGCAACTGAGAAGAAGCATAACTAATTTCTAAATTAACATATCTGATAATAATAATAATAATAATAATAATAATAATAATAATAATGTGAGATATTAAAATACTACCTAATAACATTTAAAAACAGACAAAGATCTTACCTTGCTGTCTAAAAACTTCTGTGCTACTTCAGCATCCTTCAAATCACAGTTTCCAGAGAAGTAGGTGCTTATGCCCTGAAAAATATTCTTGTTATACTATGTTTATGCTACAATTAATTAATTGAGACACTATCAAAACTACAAAGTATTTTAAGGTTCATGGTTCAGCAATCTTCTACACACTGGTTTTATTATATAGTTTTACATGTGTAGCCATTTTAAGGACAGTCGCAACCAAATACAATGTTTCCAATATATTTCAAATATATTGTGTGATATGAAAACCAAAACACTCCAAAACAATACCGTATTTATTTCATGAGATACAGAGCAAACTAACACACAGAAATACCTCTGTAACTAAAATAAAAACCCCAAAAATGAGTATGTGCTACCTGTTGTCCTAGTCCCAGTTGCTTGTTCCTTTCTGTGAGTGAATACATGGCATCACCTACACGGTTCCACAACTGTTCAATAGCCTTGGCATCTTGCTCATAGGCTGCGCTGGCAAACACCAGAGATTTGAACTTTTCCTTAAAAATTCAGAGAACAATCTCCATGTATTATTTCAAAAATGAAAAAATATATATATATATATCACAGGCTCATCCAGGGTATTAAGATAAAACAGGCTTTCTGTAAACAAGAAATAAAAGCTTTAAAAATAAGAGAAAATGGGGATTTTATTACAAACAAATATATTATGGTAATATAGGTCTCCCAAATACCCTTAAGGCCATCCAGAAAAGTTTAACATAAAAAATTATTAAACGTAGCATATAAAAACAATGTATTTTAGTTTGCTAAAAGCTTGTAACTTCAATAGGTATGCCACACTGATTACACCCAAGTATCTAGAAGCTATAACCTGCAGCAGCTGCAGAACATTTCCCCTCACATTATCTATTATTTCTTTCCATAAACAACCCAGAATATCTGTTACAAGATTGGGTGTTCACAGCAGATATAAGATCACAGTAAAGTTTTCTGGCTTGACATTTTATTCACTGTTAAAATACAGTGAAATATTCTGGTTCACAGGAGGCAATGACTCCATATGTATAATATTAGCTTTACCAAGGTATATGTATCACTGAATAGCAAATGAAAGGTGCCTCATAATATCTAGCTTACTTTTACTCACTTTAGGTACAGTGGGAATAAATTTAGAGTCTCCAAAAGATTTATAGTTTCCCATATTGGAATAGACGCCGGCAGCATAAATGAGAAGACCCTGAAATTGTTTTAACTTGATAAGTACAAAAATCCTAAACATATATAACCATCTTGTCCAACAGTTCTAAAACAAAACCCTAAAAACACTGAGATGCTGATATGCAATTAATAAATCTGAACATCTATTTAAAAATTTAAAATCTATTCAAAACACAAAGGAGAAAACAAAAACAGCATTAATGAATTTTACTGTGGGAGCTTTGATGCAAATTCAAAATACAAGATGAAAAGACATTGCTTGTTGATACTTGTAGTAAGTGTTCTGATGAGCTATATACCTCATATTCAGCCTCAGTTAGGCCAGTCTTTAAGGCCAGTTCTTTCAAGTCAGAGAGAGACTGAGCACGGAAAAGTTTTTGGAAAAGTAAATATATTCCCGGGCTTTCAGGAGATGTCTGAAAGAGCACAAAGAACATGATTTTAGCAAAAAAAAAATGTTTTATACAAAGTTATTTTACAGAGTTATTTAACATCTAACTTGATTTTGTTTCATTGATATGTGATGTTTAACATGAAAAGAAAAAAAAAAACAAATTGTAAAACTGTGTAATTTTATACTCCTACATGAATTCAAAATAATCATAATTGTTAATTAAATTTAGTTTTCTAAAATGTTGTGGTTTTAATAAATACCTGCAGCAGCACTATCAATCCTCCATTAAATGCTGCCTGTGCAATGTAGTGGGCATACATTCGCTCCTTGGGCGTGAGACCTTCAAATGCAGTCTTACACTCAAGCAAGCAGACACCCGTGTCATTAGGTAAAATGTACTCGGAGAGGTTGGTTTTCGGAGCTGCCATTGTTGGTGTGCTGAAAATAAAACAATGTAATTTTTAAAGAAGCAAATATTGTGTGCAATTTAAGCTTGGATGTTGCAAGTGCTGTCCATGATCTATACACACACACACACACACACACACACACACACACACACACACACACACACACAATTTGAGTTGTATGTTTTTCTATTGTGATAGATGGACTGCTTTCCAAGTGCAGGTAACACAAGTAATGCTTGAAAAAGTGCCTGAAAAACCTAAATCCAGTTTGCTTTGATTTCCAAAGGAGGTAAGAAAAATGCGCTAATTATCTTTACACTCACTCGACAACTAAATTCCTAGTATATTTCCTGTTATTTACAAGTCGATAACACCGTGCACTTTTCTGTTAAACGCCGCTAGATTATCAATATCTCCAGGGAAACGTAAATTGCTGCATACAGTATCACAGTCACATCAGCGGAAGTATCGGTACACGACTATAACGCAGCTACTATTTTTAATTGATACGACATTGTTAAAAACAAATCTGTGTCCTCATAATTTTAGAGAATTTTTATCATTTGGATTAAAAGAATTAAATTTTAGTGCAGGATATTTCGATATTCGGACACAAGAAACCTATGTTGGTGTAAGGTGCCCGCACCAACCGCGCGATAATCAAATGAACTTCCGGTCTCAGAAGCGGAAAGGTATTGGAAAATGAGCTCGGGGCTTCTCGGAAAACGTAAGAAGCAAACTAACCCATGTCCCAATCCATTATTTGTCCAGTGGTTAACTGAGTGGCGAGACGAAGCGGCTGAAAAAGGATGGAAAAGCCAGTATACATATGGAAAGGTAGACGGTCAAATATGTTTGTGAAAAACTCAAGTTCTTGTTCTAATACATGGCATATTATTATTGCCAACATTTGCTAACTTTTTAGAGAAAATTAAAGCTTTCCCTTTAAAAAAATACTTTCAACCTTTCCTAGATTGTTAAAACAGTGTACATGCCGTAGCACCAGCTGTTCTTAGTGAGTCATGCTTCAACACAGATTAAGTTCCCAAAGCAGTAGTTCACTGTTGTGATATTAGTAACCTGAAAACAATAATGGATAGAAATCTGATACGCTGGGGACACTTTTTATGGCAGCTTCATTAAACAAACAAATATTATCACCTATGCTCCTGATCCTATTCACTGATTCAGGGAACGCTGTTACATGCCTCAGGGGCGGATTTAGGCCGTCTTCTGGGTCTTCCGGAAGACGGTCAGATTTTCAAGTTTACATTGACGGGTATCTGATGTTTTCTGTCGGAAGACAGTCAAAAAAGAGGATGGATCAACAAAGATAATTTGGAAGACCGTCAGAAAATATCTCTGGATCCGCCCCTATGCCTGGTTATGTATAATAAACTGATTTATTTTTCAGGCTCTGAAGACGCTTAAGAAATACCCCCTAGGGGTCTCTTCAGGAAAAGACTGCAAGTTTTTGGAAAACTTTGGTAAATGGCTACTTGGCGATTTTTTTCCATTTTATTCAAAACAAGAATAAACCTCTTTATAAAGAATTTACAATTAGACTGTCAATGATTTTAATGTTTATACATTTGTACAGGGGCACCAGATGGAAGCCGTCTTCTGGGTCTTCCGGAAGATTAAATTTTCAGAATTTATCAAGTTTATATTGACCAGTATTTATTCTTTTCTGTTGGGAGACGGGCAAAAAGGGAAGATGGATCAATAAAGATGATTTGGAAGACTGTCAGAAAATATCTCTTGATCCGCCCCTGGCTGTATTTGGTATATTATTTAGCTTCAAAATTGAATTTTTGTTTTTTAGGTGACAAAATATGCAAGATGTTAGATGACAAATTATCAAAGCACATTGCTCTGTATGGTATGTATAAAAACATTCCTTATTATATATTTAATATATTCAATACTTATTATGCATTGGCTCATACACTGTTTGAGACAGAATGTCTGCATAAAATTCATTTTGCTGCACAGCATTTTCTTGGATTAAAGGAACCATTAAGTTCAATGAAGTTAAATATAATAATTATAATTTAATTTATAATAAGGGGGCGTAGATTCCCATTTAAATGCCTATAAACCACTTCTACTAGTTTCTTTTATGACTCATAGTTGGCATGCCAGTAGATAAACGGAATTAATAGCTCAGTCAGCAAAAAAAAAAAAAAAAAAAAAAAAAAAGCTTTAAACTCATCTCGTATTGATGTATGGCACATTACCGCTGCACTCCCCATAGCATAAATGTTCAAATGAGAGCTGGCTGAATTGACCGTTACATGAGAGTTACATAGGACAGAAAAAAAGCAGGAAATTTCTTTTTATATGTCGCATTTAAGGAATTATAAGACGATACTCTGATAATTCCATATAATTAAGTTATGCTATTTGAAAATATATGATAGCATTTGGTCAGGTTTAGTGGCAAAGATTAGGCATTACATGTAACTTTAAATGTATTACATTTAATTTCAAGAGCATGAACTTGGTGCAGTTAAGAACATATTTTCACAGGTACTACAGCTGCAGTGCCAACAGGAGAGAGCTCCTCTCAGCCTTTGCCAACAGGTCCATGTGCCGATAAGAAAGCCAGGTCAAGGTCACCTGAAGTGGAAGTGAATGAAGGCTTGTCATATGAACAACCAGCAGACATACCTGCACATGAAGGTCTAAAGGTAAAAAAAAAAAAAAAAACATTTGTTATTTTTTTTCTTGTAATATCAGCAAAGACACCTGTCATCACATTTTTTTAGTTTAGAAAATTATAGGGATAATAACTCTTTGTTTTGGCCAAAAAATGAATTTTCCTGAATGGTTAATGAATCCATTTTTAGATTCAAAGTTAGTCCCTGTATTTTTTCTAAAAAGTTTGGTTTTTTGTTTAAATCTCTTAAGAGATTATAACAGAGTATAGCCGTCAGTGGAGGTCACGTGGTCTGAAGACCAGCTCAGATATCAGAATAATAGCTATAACTGCCATTTTTGTGGCAAAACAGAATATATTATATTTCTGTGAGTTATTCACAATGCTTTTATTGTGAAATATAAATCTCTTACGAAGAGTTATTATCCCTTTAAGTTTCTAGGTGATTCATGGGACATTTTTGGAAATTACTTTATTGTCTGAAAAAAATGCATGAATAAAGATTAGTTGCCCTAAGTATGACACAATTACCCTTTACATATGTTTTTTACAGAAGAGAAGGCAGCTATCAGAAGTAAGAGGACAGAGGGAGTACATACCACAGTTCAGGTCTGGTGCCTATGCCCTTCTTGTAACATTATACAGGAATATGCAGGTATTGATGATTGAAAATAGGTTATTATAATCTACATGGAGATGCTTGAATTATTTAGTAAAAAACTTTATGGAAAGGGAATTTTGTTTTACTTCAAATGTGGTGATAGTCTATGTTGATTTAAAAAAAGGGAGGGTTCTTTTCTAATTAAATCAGAACAATCAAATTATTTAAATAGAAGTTAATTTTGGGCTATTTTATTAATTTTTACCCTTGTAAAGGGCTGGGGATGGACTATGTAAGGCCCATATTTGTAAATTGCTGCATTATTTTCTTAGTCTTCATGTTTAAACTGATGTAGGCTGTCTGTTCATATGTCAGCTTCAGCTGGGTTGTTATGTGTGAATATCAGTTGTTTTTTCATAAGTGCAGTATTGAGGCAGTTCAACATTTTTTTAGCATCTCCTTCACTTTTAATCCCAACTATGTCATTTTGTTTGAGAAGATTGCTAGATATATTTTAAAACTGATAAAAGTGTTGTTTCTAGGGTAATATATTTTTGATTATTTTGTAGCAAGTTAACAGTAGAGGCTACATGACTAAGTTGGAACTAATCAGAGAAGCACAGCCTTTAGCAGACAAATCCTTCACAATTGTAAGATTATAATTACTATTTTATCAATAAAATATATAAATAGATAGATAAATAAGTTAATTTTTCAATTAGACTTGCTCCATGTCATTTTCATATGAACTCTGATTACGTAATGTTCCTAGATTGTGTAATGTTATTGGACATTACTTCAACCTTGCACAGCCTATAAATTAAATCAGCATAAAAGTAACCTCTGACACTCTGTATATGCAGATACGGCAGAATTTTATTAAATGTTTACCCTCTGCACGCCATCGTTCTGTAGTCCAAGGTTGTGGTGTAGTTGTTTTTATATCTTCACATCTTTATCCATTATTTGTAATAACTGAAACTATTAACAAATATATGACAGTTGTTTTTTATTTTCTATTATGATAATTTTTTTCAGTAAAGAGTTACATAATTTAGGTTATAGATATGTACAGTGAATGAATATTTTTGCAGCCAGATCCTGGTGGTAGGTATACTTCATGGTCAAGTATGGGAACCCTAATCAACAAGCTTTTAGTCGTGAAAGAGAGCAGTCCTGCCAAGTAAGCCACATGCACAATATCTAGCTACCATGTCTTCTCTTTGGTGAAAATACATTTAAGATCTTGCACACTTCAGGCATATTCAGAACCAATTGATCTAACTAGTCTGCGGATCAAATATGGAGCCACTCACTTTAAAGCTTGACGAGATTTTATTGCTCTGCCCCTGCTGAGACGGCGCACTAGTTAGTTCACAGTTCAACTGGTTCTGAAAGTGCCCTTAGTATCGTTTTCTGCATTTTGATTTTAGACTTGATTATGGAGGATTCAATTTTTTTAGAAAGGTTCAAGAACACAGATGTTTGTATAAATGAATTAATAAATCAAGTACGTGTAACAGATATTTTTTACTGGTTGTTTCATGTGGAAGAATCACTCTGTACATATAACTGTGTGAGTGGAATGTTCAAAACAAATAGTTTTGACTTAAAATGCCTGACTTCTCTAGCCTTTCTTTCTTTCATGCAGGTACAGACTGACAGAAGCTGGGTGTGAACTTGCACATAGATTATTACATGTGGAGCCCACATTAGATTCTGGGGCACAGGACAACACCTCAGCATCATCTGACAAGATCCACAGTGAGACAGGTCAGAGTGCAGGAAATACTACGGGTAAGTATGTGTCACTGTCAGAGGGAAACAATGTCATATGAAGTTGATTAATTGGGTGATGTATCACAGGATGTGAGTATCATTTATTTTTAGAAAATATATCTTAAGCTGCTATGCCTGTGAAACCAGTAGATTTTTCATAATGTGTGAATTAGGTGATCTGACATTGCTGTTTGATTTTTCAAAAGAACTTTTGCTTTGATTTAATGTTTTTTACTGAAATGGAACTGTTACCTGATGGTTTAGAAAAAAATTGACAAAATGAAGGTCTTGATATTGCTGATGTAAATGCAGTAGGGGGATATGTCCAGTCTAGTTGAAATTGTTATTTAGACCATTAAATCCTGATAATAGAAAACTGGTGGTTGGAATGGCCAGCATGATGAAAGGTTTCTGGCACAGACTGATTTAATGTTTCTTCTTTGCCTAATTTTTCCTTTTGAAGCTGTCTTAAAAATATTATTTTCAGAGAAATTTTCTCTGTTTTTTCCTGTTGCATCAAAATGCAAGGAATTCTTTTTTCACAATATTAAACTTTATACCACATATTATCAAGGCTCCCCTATTCAGAATGCTGCATCAGAGAAGATCTTGCCAGTAACAGAGGACTCTTATGAAGGAGATTCCAATATTAGGTATTTTTCACAGAATATGAAGATACTTGTTGTCTGCATTTCTATGGACTGATCACCGAGGTCATGTCTTCACTCTGTTATTGTGTACAATGAGGCTTGGAGATTTTTCTTACTTTGGTATGAAATCAGATATTTATTTCTCTCAACATTTTTTATGGACAGACACTATGGGGTGACCTAAACACAAAGTCTGCTTTGTTACATGTATATGAATTTTTAAATTATTGAAAATAATTCAGGGGCACTGAGAACTTTTTGGTGTAGTATATTTGTAGTGTACATGTAAATCCAAGATGGTGGAGTGAGTTGAGTAGGAGGTCAACTCAATAAAAGAAATGACTTCACATGACTTCCCCTTGACCAATCAGTAAGCATCAAAATTTCTGATCATGTAACATTGTGTAATGAAATATATCTATAGCTGTATATTTTTGGCTATTTCATTTAAGTAATGCACAAATAATGATTAATACGTGCTGTTTATTGTGCTTGCTGTTTCAAATATTTTAAAAGGTTTTTTTTTTTCTTTTTTTAGAGCCCCACAATTCCAGTTTTGGTATGTGACCCAGGAAAATGAACTAGTGAAGTACAAAGATCAAGCAGCTGTTTTGATAGATGGTAATTTGATGATTCTTCCTGTAGCTTGAAGTTAAATTGCAGATTAATGGTTTTCTTTATCAGTTACTTTAAACAGCTCTGTATATTTAAACATTTACAATTTTGTTAATAAGTCATTTTAGTGATAGATCATGGGACATAACATAAAACCCAGCTTGTAGAACTTTTATGGGTTTTCTTTATTTACAGATTCCATTGGTATAGGGTTCCTGGTAAAAGCCAAGTATTCTTCACTTCTTGCCTCAGGGTTAAGGTATCAACTGGATGACTCCAGGTATACTTACTAATGTATCCCTTTTTAACCAAAAACTATGCCATAACTGGTAATTCTTCATTTTCAAATCCTGCCTTTATAAAAACATATATAGTTTATCATTGAAAAGTTATTGACCTATTTACAAGTTTGTTGCCTTTGTTTTAACTTGTAAAGGAAGTAAGAGGATTTTAAAAAAATTCCCATCTGGCTCTTTATACACCATCTTATTAACCATTGTGTTTTCACATCTTAAACTTAAGGGTTTTATTATTTTCATCGCTTTTTTATCACTTTTAACAGCTCTATCATTTAATTAAATTATTTAAATTTCTCATATATATTTTGTACATATTTATATAGTAGCTGAATAAATATTTTAGGAAAAGATGGAAAAAAATATTCACTTTGCCTTTCTTTGTTCCAGGTCATCCGAGTTTGGGGAGAGATATGCCTATATCCACAATGATGATGCTTCTGACTTGTGCTCTCCACCTCCCAGTACTATTAACTTGAAATCACTGACCCAGCAGAAAGGGTTTTATGAGAAATCTCAAAGTAAACAATTATCACAAACAGTTCAAGGACCAGAAGTCAAAATCAAAAACACGGAAGATATTCCAGTTGTGTCACAGGTGTTTGTTGCCAGTTTCCCAGCAACTGCATCAAGATCTACAAAAGATATTGAAAGGACAGCAGTGACTTTCAGCAGGAGTACAAATAATTTTGAATCTCAAATCAGTGGTGCTAAAATTGAAAAGTATGTTCTTCCGACTTTAAGAGAAACTACCAGTTCACTGTCTCAGGATTCTACTACATCAGGGGAGTCCATGAAAAGCCTCCCAGTAGCACAATTTACCATGGATGCTGGAACATTTGACATTGTGCTTTGTGTCGACAATCAAGAACATTACGGGTAAAGATGATTCAAGTTTCTCATACATCAGATATAATGTACAGCTCTGATAATTCTATCTATTTTACAAAGAAAAATAACATTTGCTGTCAGAGAGAGAGGGATTACCACATTTTATCTGATGGTACAAATAAAGTTCATTTCAGATCAAAGCACTCTTGTGTTGACATAAATTTTGTTAGAACTTAGAAAAATACTGCTTTTAGATAAATTTTTCACTTGTAGGAGTGGCAAAAAAGGTGATCTGTTGCCTGAACTGCTGAAGAATGGGGTGGATTGCAATGTACGCAAGTTACAAGTGGGAGACTTCCTGTGGATTGCAAAGGAAAAAGTGAAACATACCCCTGGTGAGAAAAAAAAAAAGATATTTCTGTTTTGATGCTATGGCAGTATGTCAATCTTTTTTTTTTTTATATAATCTTGTCCTTGGTTTTATAGTAGAAGTCTAGGGATGGACAGTCAGTTTTGAAATGTAAATTCCTTCTATAATACTCTTCCTATTTCAGGACTGCTCCAGATGCCAAAAACCAGAGAATTAGTTCTCGACTACATTATAGAGAGAAAAAGGATGGATGACCTGGCTGGCAGTATTATTGATGGCAGATTTAAAGAACAAAAGGTATTTGTGTTTATCCATATCTATATATCATATACTGATCACAAATCAGAGAAGATAACAGCATGATAGTCTCTTTAAGTTGTCAATTTGTATCTGGTTTGACTTTATTTTGGATGTAGGAATGAACTGTTTGCATTAAGAAATAGTGTTGAATTTGTAAAGATTGTTGGTTTTTTTTTTCAGTTCCGCCTCAAAAATTGTGGCCTTAGGAAACCCATTTACTTGGTGGAGGATTATGGATCTACTCAGCATTTCAGTGTAAAGGAAGATACGTTAAACCAAGCAATAGTCAATACACAGGTAGAAATCATTATCAGTTGGTTATAATTCTATTTCGTATAAAAATATCGGTCAGTCTTAAATGAGATATGCTTGCGCATGCGTACTCAGTTAGCTCGTGACATGCGGCTGGGTAGTCAGCCTGAAAATAGATGCGANAAATTATTTAACATCACTTCACACCTTTTATTGTGGAATGGAAACTCTGTATAGCAAGACAAACATTATTCCTTTTTATCCATTGATGAAATTCAGTGAAACTTTTGTGCTTTAAAATCTTCCTTCTTAAAGTTCCTTCTTAAAGTTTTTCTTGACATCACATTTATATGTCTAGCTTTATTGATTGTGTCATTGAATTGCCTCTGAATCGGATTTTGATGTCAACACAGGCATGTTGAAGCTTCAATTTTTTTTTTTTTGTCAAAAAATTAACCACTCAGGGTTACATTGATGAGAAATGGTGAAGAGTTTATATTGGCTTATTAACCTAGAATAAAAAAATAGCTTATGGAGGGAATAATGTAAATTCTGCAGTATGGATGAGAATCGCAAAACTCCTATTGGTTTATGGGAGAAGAATTGAAAATTCAGTAAATACCTTTATTAGCTTTGTAGTTATATCTTAGTCACAGTTCATTTTTTCAATGGCTTTAAATTATAAGCAAAAAACTCACAAGTCAATAAATTGATGGCTGATACACAGTGAAAAACACTGGAAAACTTCAGGATTTTAGATGTGAACAAAATGAACAGAAACATAAGATGGACATTTACACAGTTATTCTAAGGCAATGGGAGGGAGCTGAGATAACCCACTAACCAAGGGAACACATCCAGAGTACTACCACTTGACATACAAGTACTGCGATCAAGATGGTATGTCAGCCATCAAAATATTTTTAACTCATATTTAAAGGCTATTGAAAAAATGAAAAATGACTATGACCAAAAAATTGTCTTTAAGGAGTATTTTAATCTTGCCAGCTATTTGGTTCTTTACCTTCAATTTCATTAACAGGTTATAGATGGTTTCTATGTGAAGAGGACTAAGGACTTGAAGGAATCAGTAGCGTACCTAACTATCATGACAAGATATTTACAGAGCATTTACAAGGTATGGAGTATATGTCAAATGCTGGTCAGTATTTTTAATTTTAGGGCTTATGGTGAATACTCTAACATTCAGAATTTCGTCTAAGAACATGAGGGTTTTTTTTAGATGCTTATTTTGTATCTGGAGGATGGGAGCTGTGGGGTAACACTCAGTGACATAAGTGAATAGTAAGACTTAAGTTAAAGTTTCTTGATTTTTTAAAAAATTTTACCTCCTGTCCATGTAAAAGTACTATATTTAGAGATCTTTGCATAAATATGCTGCAGTGGTTATGAAAAATTAATCCTTGTCTTTCACATTTCCAGAATAAATGTCTACATGCCTGCAGTAAGAATGAGCTGGATGAGAATGGTGGTGAAAGTGTAATAGACAGTTCTGTACAGATGCTCATGACATATGAGGAGTTCAGCCAGTATTCTATTAAATCAAAGGTGTTGTATGTCTTCAAACAACTTTATACAAATCAGTTCAATACACATCAAATTATAGTTTTGGGGATCAGCTTTTTTTTTAAAAAGGGCAGTGTCTTTTTTTTTCATCTTGATTTCTCACCATTTCTGTGCTACAAGTGGTATTAATCCAACAAACTCTGGTTGGCTAGAATCAGAGGGACGACTGCTGCTCACGACGTCTTGCAGTCCCCTTCTTTAATTTGAGTGGAAGAGGTTCGTAAGGAGGGCTCGTCTTTGTAGCATTTTTCTTTTTTATTTACCACTCTCATCACAGGCCAATTTCACTTTAGATCATGTCCTCTGTATATATCAACACATTTTTGGTAGGCTTCATTTCTGCACATTTTGGTAAGACCCGCTTAAAGTTTTCTTGTAAATATCGTAGAATGGCTGATTTTGTTGCATGTGTTTAGTTGAGGAGGTGACTCTTTGAATTTTTCAGTTGGTATTTAATGAGATCCTGTCAATGCATGATTATCAACATACAAATGTTTGACTTAATAGGTATATATATATATTTTTCAATGCTGAAGGCTTTGACAGTGAAAGAGGTGTTTGGCAAGATGCTAATGCAGCTCCATGGTATGTCTGGAGAGAAAGCACTTTCCATTACAGATCATTTTCCAACATTGTCACAGTAAGTTGTTATGTAAACGGGCCCATTTTGCTTTTATCCTCTCTCTCCCTGTCTCTACCCCCCCCTCCTCCCCTTTCTAGCTCTTTTTCTCTCTCTAAGATGTAGGGACATGTGACATTCTGTATTTCGTGAAATGCAGTTTGATGATTTACGATATGTCATTAATAAATAAGGAATGTTTCTGTTTCTTTTTTTTTTTTTTTCAGTCTGGTACAAAAATATGAGTCCTGTGCTTCAGAAAAAGAGAAGGAAACACTCCTTGCAAAACTGAAATTTGGTAGTATGAACAGGTTAGGTTTCAAGGCATATGAAAGCTTGTTGAAATTATAATTGAAATTTTAACACATTTTTCAGTTAAGCTATGCATGTAAGATTGGAACTTGCTAGATCAGTAATACAGATTTTATTAATGATATTGATGTATACTAATGGTAATTTTTTTCTTTTCAAATAGGAATCTTGGTGCAGCCCTCAGCAAGACAGTGTATCAACTATATAACACGTCTGCGCCATTACAATAAATGGAATTTTTTCAAGCAGTTTCCGAAACAAAAAGTTCTGTTTGGGAATGACAGTCAATAAAAAATGAAACTGAATTTACATGAACTGTATATCAGAGGACAAAGAAGAACAATTATCTAAACACTAGAGATAAACAAACACCACGTAGGATTAATTTTTTTTCCTAGTATCTGCATGGGAACTAAAAACATGCAACAACTGCATACCTTCTCATATATTTTGTTTCCATTCACATACTCTGCTCAGTTTTAATTTAAATTATGAGATGATGTTATTCATTTCAGTTTATGTTTCAACACTTCTGTACTCCATATATTTTATGGAAATGTAAACAGGCACATGAATTGGTTTTAAAGCAGGTCTATCAGGAAATTGTATAAAAAAATAGCTCTTTCACAGTGTAACACATTCCACATAAACGAGATCTGTTTCATATTCAACACCAATCTTACTATCGATCCCTAGAAGGGAAAAAAGCATTTACATCTTGCAATTAGAATGTACAATTTACCTTTCAAGTGGTGGAAGTGGAGTATCATGTGACTAAGATACAAGCATATACTGAGTAAATGAACAGGAAGGATGGAGAGTGCGAATGTTGCCAGGACTCCCGAGTTACGTTGATACATGTAGGGCACATAAATTGGTTTTAAGGCCATGTTCAGATTCTCAAATGGTCTAGATGAACGAGATCAATGCTAGGTGAGTTCTTTACTGTAAGCAAATCAACACTACCCGGTACAAGCAAAAGTTTGTATTTGCTCTCATTGTATTAAATGTTCTTTAGCTTACTGCAGGAGTAATGATCACTCTGCACTTTACCAAACTAGATAGTGCAACTTGATGCTATCAACAAGCACAATCAAAAAGGCATGACAATAACTCATTATATTGTATGTTTTTTCATTTATTATAATTGAAGATTCCAGTCGAAACACTTGGGGCCACATGCATGTATAACACTATAAATACAAAGGGAATCACCTTGCAATGAAGGCAAAATAAATGATATTTTTAGCAGTCTAACTGGTTTACTTTTTATTACATAAAATCCACAAAACGGTTCCAATATTCTTTCTCAGAACGACACCAGAAAGCAAATTCAATCAAATCAACCAGACGGTAACCACAGACAGGCCTTCGTGTCAATTTCAACATTTTATGTCAAAGAGCGCTCTTTTCACGCATCGACGTGGACTCGTCTTTTCTTGCATCTATTACCCTATAAACATCGGAGACCAGTTTTTTTAATGTGTAACAAGATAGGCTCAATCTTAATTATTTAAACTTTATTGAAGAGTGCCTGCAGTGCACCGTATGCCTTTGCATGCTATTTTTAAAATATTTTTCAATTACTAGACATATAAAACCGCTATGATCAAAGAGTAAATGTGTTTATATTTAAGCGCGTCTTGAATGCTATTACTTGTTACATAAAACCGAAGTGGGTTTGTTATGTATACGCTATTCTTTAACGCTACGGCTCCACAACTGAACAAATAGGTGAGTTGAGTTCCTATAGTGACACGATTTAACCATCATTTGTAAGGATTGTGACAGCGGGATTTTTAAAATATTGTTGGTTACCCATTTCTCCCTTCTTCCTATTCATTGTAAAGAACCCAAGTGAAACGTCTACATGTATTTGTTTCAGCAATGGTCCACGATTCATTGGTCCTGAAATTTCTTCCTTGTCATGGATGCAAGTTGCAACGTAGACTTAGTGTAAGAGGCATCCCATTAAAATGGTAAGTATTTAACGGGATTGAAGCAGTCCTATGCCATGAAAAAAGTGTAAACATGCAGATATATAGAGAAAAGTTAGATGCTTTGAACTCGATTTGTTGAGTGCCATATGCTGAATGTGTGTTGAGATAGCACATTTGTCTTGAAAATAGGCACTGAAGCAAGTGAAAACGTGGATTATCCCATCCAATTTTAACTGAACTTGTTATTATGCAACTCTTTATTCTGAATATTTTTAATATTTTTCCAGGTCCTCATATACTTACCATGCTGTTAAATATTTCCACAGCAGCCAAAGAGCATTAAATCACTACCAGACTTTAGGTGTTAGGAAAACTGCCCCACTCAAGGAAATAAAAGCAGCATATATAAAACTTTGCAAAATAGTAATGTATCCAAATGATTATTATATTAGAATTCCTCACTTAAAATGAAAAGTTTTTTTGTTTGTAGGCAAGTTGCTAAACTGATGTTTTTAGGATTATAAAACAAATTATATTAATGTAAATGCAATATTTTTTACAATTCAATTGAGGTGCATACTTTCATAGTATTTTGCAAGGACAAACAGCAAAATTCTTTTAGACATTATGTAGACCAACTTTAAAGTGATTAAACTTTATTTCAAATTGATTATAATTTTTTCTATGATCAGTTGAAATTAGTGATTAATTAGGTATTGGTGAAAGACTCCGTTCACATGAAAAATCTATTTTCTAAAGATCTATTTTCTATTCGCAGTATCTTGTGATCACTCCGAGTGCAGCCAAGAATTAATTACAGCTTTGGAAGTAACTGGCTCGCGCTGCCAGTAATTACGCCGCGGGGTATTCAGGGCACTGACCTTGATCACAAGATACAGCGAATAGAAAATAGATTTTTAGAAAATAGATTTTTCATGTGAGCAAAGCCAAAGGCTGTCAGAATGAGCCAAACTGATATAAAGTTTACAAGCAAGTTAAAATCACCAGATTTGTTACCCAAATTTCTTATTATTTCATGTTTATTTTTTAGTATCATCCAGACAAGAATAAATTTACCAGCGGGAAGTTTTTGGACATTAATGAGGCATATGAAACACTGAAGGATCCAAGTACACGTCACAAATATGATGTATCTTTGGGAACAGCTATACCTCACTCTGAAAACATTAAAGTCAGGGGGCCAAGGATGAAATATGCTAGAACTCCACCTACCACAGCATCTGATAGAAGTAGTATGTATCACAATTGGCCTAATTGGACGAAGGATAAGGTTGGTGGGTAAGTGTATATTGTGTTATTTAATCTCTTCTGGTATTGTTTTAACTTAGGGAGGGTATCTATGTATTGATATGGCAGAAAGAATTGGAACTAGTAATTTTCTGTTTGCATCCACATGGCTTTGTGTGGCTTTGTGTGTGCAGGCGCAATCATCACTGGTGCATACAGGAAAGAATAAAGTCAGATCAGCACAGCCTTCTGTTTTAAAAATATTGTCACCCTTCGCCCAAAACTCCTCATTTACTGCCTAACATGCATTCTTTTGGGTAATAGATAAGTCTTCAGTGTTCAGTAACTAAATTATTTAACATTTCCACATAATTATGTCATCTTACGGGTGATGTCATAATTGTAATTTTGGGGTAAAAACTAAAAAATCAGTTTTTCCTTAACTGAGCACACTTGATCACCAGTTCAATGCCAATTTAGTACTTCAAAACCCTGCCATCGATTTTTCTTTAAAGTCTTAGTACATTATTGAAAAATAAGATGCAGGAAATATTTTAATATTTTAAAAATTTAGACTCGCCCCGAGATCCTGTGTGTCACTCCGCTTACAAAAAGCACCATAGTAATAGTGGAAAATCGGAACGGGCAGGCTGGCTGTGCGAGCAAATCTCTCTGGGTGATAATAAAGGGTTACAATAAGTGTCAAGTATGTCGGTTAAAAACTTAAATCACAATTTGTGAGCATGGCTTTCATCTGATCATAGACAAAATTACGAAGGGACTGAAATGCGATATCTTCCTTTGAAGTCATCTGCATTCTGGTAAACATTCACCCATTGTATACATATAGTATACAGCAGTGTTAGTGTCATCTTTATGTAACAGGTAAAAAATCCACGCCCTAAAGAAATGTCAGCGAGCCTCAAAAATTGGAGAGGAATTGCATCATTTTAATTCAAGACACGATTGAAAGTTTCATTATTGCCACATCTCAGACTAATTTCTTACATACAGGGAAAATTTTGACACTAGGAATATTTTTCTATCGAATCCTAGCTAAGAACAAGTATTCTACACTACAGTTGTACAATTTGAATGCTACTTTTTCGGCAACAAACAAGATTGCCTTCAAAATATTGGGCATTTTGAATTCCTCCGTGAACAAACATATCAAATTCTCACCTAGCTTTCAAATTGAAACAACAAACTGCACTTATACTTAATCTCTATAAGTTTATTGTCTCATCTACCTGAAGGATTGCCCCACGATATGCACTTTACCTGTTTGGGAGGTCACATGATCTGACCGCAGATGGTCTCACAAAGAGCTCACACTAAGCCGATTATCCTTTGATCTGGCTCTGCGACACCAGTCCCTTCTTTATTATGTCCAAGATCTGATAAAGCATCATCTTACTTTTCATCTGTTTTTTTTCTTCTGTTTTTATAGTGATGCCGATGATTTTCCCCCCCTTACCGCCTATGAGGCATATGGGCCAGTTGCTAAGGTTGTACTAATCGTTTTGCTGACTCTATTTATCACCAAAGAAGTTCGCAGGTAAGTATGAGCTTTGAAGGGTAGGCTGCAAATCCCCTTAATGAACTAAAATCTAGTCTGTGAATGTTAAAGTGACAAAGTGTAGGATTTTCGACTTTCTTGAAAAGGACAAAGTGTAAATCCACATTTACTCTATTGGGACTCTTGCTAAATGCATTTAGATCAACATAGAAACACACCTCCTCTTTTTTCTAATGCACTCTCCAGCTTATCTGTTATTCTACTCAACCCCAGGAGGAAGCATGTTAATGTGTAAATCTGACTGCATTCAGCGAGAGTCCCTATGTAGTAACTCTTTCTGAATGGCCCCTTACATTAAATAAAAAAACATTTTTCTTAAAAGTAAATTAATCACTTCTTTTTGAACTTAACTAATATCAAGTAATACTTTCTGGTCATTTTGAACAGATAAATACCTTGCATAAATTTTGTTAAAAAAACTAATTTGTCACCTACTGACTAACTTTACCATCTATCAACCATCTATTCTTGACACATTTACGAATTGCATACAACCTGGGAATTAGCGCTCAAAGTATGGCTGAAGGGTGGTTTAATTGTACCACCATATTATAGTGAAAATAATGGCGATGATCTGGAGCTTTCAAACATTTATTCACTGACTGCCTTTTTAATACAATTTCACAAGTATATATACTCTATTTCTCCGTACTGATCATGCATTTACTTTCATTCTTTTTATTGTCTTTGCGTGATTGCAAAGAATTTTCCATTTTCATGTTGCAAACCACCATTCAACATTTCCTTATTGGTCATTTCTAAGGGACTTGTTTTCAATTTAAAATATTAAAAATAACATTTTAACTTTTCAATCTTGAACCTTATTCATCGTAAGTTTCCATGTGTTTTACACTTGTCAGAAACTTGCAAATCTATTGCAATCAAATTGAACTATATGTGACTTTGACATGATCCATCTTTTCTTACTACCAGAACAATTTTTACACTTGATGACTCTTAAAGAGATTTAACTAAGATCCCATTTCCAGAGATTAGATCGATCTACTTTAGATCGACCTAACTCCCTGGGGGTTCACGCTAAATAGCTGTCAGCCGGGCGGACACGAAAGTTAATTACCCACTTACAGCTTGTAGTAGGCGGGACGGACATTTAAGCCGGATTATCTGACAGTAATCTAGTGAGACTCCCCGCTGGGATAGATCGATCCAAAAGCTCTGGGAATACAGCCTAGCACTCAATAACTCCCCATCCTTTTACTCATTTTAATTATTATCTGCAATTAGTACAAGTGTAAGTCATTTACTTTACAACAACCAGCTGTAGCACTGGTGGTACACATGGTTTTAGTTATGACCTGTCTCGCCACCAGGTTGCTGTTATTGCTTCTCTTCCTAAACTACAAGGGCCCGTGTCACCATCTTTTAGATTTAGGTCACATATAATCTCAACTTGATCCGCCTAGATTTTGGGGTCTTTGTGTGCATTGGCCAAGGAGTGGCATTTGTTGCAATGCATCCTTGTCCAAATTTTGGAAACTTAAATGCTAAATATCTCCCAAACTGAAAGAATTATGGGAAAAGTTACCATAGAAGTCTGGCCAAAAGTGATGTGGAGATTTTAAACATGCCCTTGGATTGACCTTTGACCTACATTTCTAGAACAGATGGACCAAAATATTGTAAAAATGGGTATTTTCTATGAAAAAATATTTGTACCCATTTTCACAAACTACATGGACCTAAGCTTTCATATTATAATGAAGAGTTACTCTTAGGGTTTTCTTTCATCTTTGTGAGTGTGGGGTCAGTTGGTGCATATTCACAGGAGAAGCAGCCATTAGGTGTTTAAATTCAAAAATCTCTTATATAATAAAAACATTAATTCATTTCTTTAAACTGCACCACTACTACTTGGCGCTGTTTACATATATATATATAACTAAAAACTAACTACTTAAAACTTAAAACTTTGAGGACTTATTTCCAGCTTACATACAATTACAACTCTTGCAGAGAAAACCATTTATTCCAAAAACACATTTAACATTTCAGTCTACACTTGAATCAACCCTTGAACCTACTTCTCCCCATAAAATGCTACCACCACATTCACCCAACCCTATCTTCTCCACAGCTAACAGACATGCATCCGCACCTTCCATTCAACTTAAATGCACTACTCCTGCTGGTGGTTCAATACCAGGAGGCAGTATTGCCTCTCAGACCTTCTAGTTTTCCCAGATTGTTACAGGTTTGGGGCAAGAAAGGAAAGAAAGAATCAAAGGTTGATTAGTTGCAGAAAAATACTGTTTACTGCAGGGGAATTTTTTAGAGGTGAATTTTTCATCTGAAAATTTTGTGCTTGGTGCCTTATAAACTACATCATTATACTTTGATATATGGTATTAATTGTCACAATAGATATTTTGTTGAGCATAACTACTTTATTCTTGCTTTTTGAACCAACTGGTAAGACAAGTTTTTTCTTTGTAGATATGATCAACGTCAGCTAGATGAGAAGAGAGCAAAGATTTATGCCAGACCTGCTAATTTTAATAACGGAAGGCATCACTTACAGTAAGTAAAAAGATATGCATTACAGTGAGAAAAACTGGAATATAAGCTTGTGTTTTGCTGCTTATCTCAAAGGCTTCATGAGATATAGATTAATATACTTTATCTTAATGAAAGTTACGTTTCGTTTTTTTATTAGAAGATACATATGTTATAACATTGGTTTAAAAATATGAATATAAAATTGAATTTCTGTCTGGTCTATACGTGGCATGCAATTTGACATGGACACCGTAGAAAGGGGAAAATACATTATTTTTTTCATCAGATGTGTAACCATTTTTTGTGTCATTTTAACGAATAACTATGCAGAAGATGTGTTGCAAAATCTAGATACTGACAATACATGAATTATAACTTTAAATTTAGGACAGAATTCAAAAGTAATGAAGATCAGAAAATTGCACTAGAACTTGCAAAATTGTAAGTTTTACATGTAGGTGTAATGTTGCCTTGAAATGAATATGCTAAGTTGTTTTTTTGTTACACTGTACACATGTAACCTGTCCTTGTTCACTTTATAAAATAACATAACCTGCATAATTTATTTCACTGCATGAAATAAACTTAAGAAGTACTACTCATATTTGATAATGTGATCATCTGTGGAATTCCCTTTTTTTAACTTCTAGGAAAAAGACACCAGCTGTTGTCCACAAGCCTGGAGAATTTGAACTTCTTTATTTAAATGTTAAAAAAAGGAAAGCGAAGAAATTTTGATGTAGGTGTTTTATAAATTAGGAACGGATATTATATCATTGTGTTTGAAGATAATGCTTGTTATCATTTTAATTATATACAGACACTGTAAGTGTTTGTATATATATTTCATCATTACTGCTGTTTTTGCCCCAAACCAAATTAGTCGAGTACTTTTGTTGAGAAAAGTCCCTTTTTTTGTTTTTTTTTTGTAAAATTTGATTATATTGAGAGAATTTTTTTTTAAAATTTATTTATTTATTTTTTTTTGTAGATGCTGTTGCGATGTTATTTTTTTCTGTTTGGTGTCTGTATAGATGTCAGATTTACTGTCTAGTTTATATATTTATTTATTTTGTGTAAAACCAAGACATCATGGTAATTCAGCCCAGTTTGTATCAAGTGGAGGTTTTATTTATAATACATTTGATGTAGAGTGTACCAAAAAATAAGAATATACTATATGTTTACTTCATGAAGTCTATCTGACAAACCAGGTTACTTATGAAGGAACTTGTCAGGAACCATGGTTATCAAAACTCTTGGATTTGTGAAGTTTATGGAAACTTCCACAAGTGAAAAAGCGTGAGTCAGAAAAATGAAGGATGTGAGAAATAAAACTACGTAGCAAAATAGTAAATGACAATACCCAAATAAGTTGAAAGGTTTTTATCAATAATTAAGTAAATGGTATATTTTAATTTTTTTTATTTGGTAACGTCTACCTAAAAATAATGGTGTACATGATGTCTTCCAACAAACTTATGATCATATATTTAAAGGACCTAATAAAGTTTAAATGAATACTACTTGGAGTTGCTTTTTATTTTTAGAATTATGGTTTTCATTATGGTAAAATGTGGCAAGATGGAAATGGTAATTTATGCTAAACTTTAGAGAATTGGGATAATAACTCTTAAATATAAAAAAATGACATTTTTACAAGCTGCATTTGCAGATTTCTTTTTCAGTCACTCATTTTTTTCATATTAAATAGTTTCAGTTTATTACAAATGTATGAAGTTTTTAAGAATATACAGGTACACACAGTTTCTCAACATTTTCAATGTTTTGCTGTCATATAGTTTTCAAAGCAAACCATATTGCTTTTTACACACATTGTACATATTGCACCCAGCATTCAGACAGTATAAAAAAAGGCAAAGATTCTGTTAAAACCATTGGGATAAAGTACTACACTTTTTGGAAATTTATTTGGTAGAGTAAGTTTGGATATGTAAAACCTACTGAAAATGAAATGTATATACAAATTTAATGTTTCTCTGTCTGGAAATTTCAACAAGAGTAACTATCCATGTTGGTAACCAATGTCTCTTAATTTTGCACGTTCATGAAATTCATTTTATAGTCTTTAAAATTTTTTCTAATGAACTCAATAGGAAAACATGGGAAATATTCCAATAATATAAGAAATGGGGAACTGTTTGTTAATTCACTAAATATTTTAAATATGATAAAAAAGAGAGGTATGAATTTTTTGTTATGAAAAAAGTTTTTTGATGAATATTTATGTTGGTCTATGCTAATGTCATAATTTATCATAGTTAATGAGAGGGCAGTGATATTTAAGTCACTAATAAGTTGAACATTATTAAATAATACATTGATTCATCAAAAGATGTTTAACCTCATTACATTGGTCTTTCATAAATTAGACATAAGTAAAACAAAAATAACAACTCAGATGCTTGAGAGTCCTCACTATCTTTTTTTTTCTAATTTACATTTTACTCTCTTGATCAGCCTTTGAAAAGTTGTATAACTCTTAGTTATATTGCTGAAGTTACACTTTCACCCAGAATGCACAGTATTTGAACTGAAAAAAGCCCATCTGAAACCGTGATCGCTTTATGTGATCCTCTTGGGTAATGACATCTTGACTGGCTTGATTACTGCAAAGCTCCAACTGAAAATAGCACCAACCATTTTAAGTTCGTAAGCTTATATAGAACTTTATGAAATTTTAATTTAACACATCTTCAAATTAGCTTATGTCATTATTGATTCTTTTGAAATATAACTGGGAATTAAAAACATAAATGATATTAAAAATATTGTGTTGTTTCAGGCCCGTAGTCAGCAATTTCAAAGGGGGGGTTCTTTTTCTGAAAAAGTGGACCTTTTACCATATAATCCCCTTGTACCTAGCTCAAATTTTACCCAGAGTGGACCTTTTTCCAGCAAGAAGGGGGGTTCTTTCGAACCCCCCGAACCCCCCCTGGCTACGGGCCTGTGTTTGTTACTTGCAAGACTTGGTAGGATGTTATTAGTGCAGGAAGACACGAGCACACAAAGCAGAACTAAGGGTTGGTGGCAGGTGAAAGCAAAGCCCTCTGTGAAGTCACTTCCAGATCCTTGGAGAACATCCTTGTGTTGGCTTGAATAAGCGATGATCACTGGTCTTTTCTTTTGATTTAACCCACTTGTTTTCGCTGGAAATTGTCTAAATACATAACACATTGAAACACAGCATGCAGAAGACAAGTCTGATGTTATTTCTTTATTTACCACAAAAACACAGGGTTGAAGTGACCATATTTTACCACGAATTACAATTCCTATACATCGTTGCAGTATTTCATAGACATTCATGAAATATTATATTTGATAACTTGGTCCTCCTTTAACTTTACAACACTTTGATGTCGGATTTTTTTACTATTCTCTGAGTCTAATGAAGAAACTGATTTTTCACATTCTGTTTGTTCATCAAAAATAATAGGCAAGACACTAAAACGTATCATGGGTTAATTATACATTTATAGGTGCATCCATTACTATTAAGTCTTAATTGACTGAGGCAAAATTTCAGTGATCAGATGCTACCGCGTAAGCCGATGTAGGCCTACATGTACATAGAAACCAAAGGCAATATGCAATTTTTAGGTATCAATATGAAAGCAGTCAACCGGCTAGCACATGGCTTGATTCCAGAAGCATTTTCTGCCGACCAGGTTCCTTTTTATTGATAATTGACTTTGTACAACACTGTATAATAATAGAGGTAAAATAAATTAGTTAACAGAACACGATCTAACTGAAGGCAACAAGAAAGACGAAGCTGAACTTGTATTGTCATTACAAGTTAGATTGTCAGAGCGTTTTTATCCACTCATCACGTCACGACATCTTTTTATCTGTCAACACTCCAAGATATAAAAAATTAAAACTCCTTTTTACCCAGTCAACTCCGCTGCTGAGTTCCCTTGGTTTCAATCATTTTCTTTACACGTTTTTGGCATAATGCCTTTTATTTCCCAAAAATTGTAATATTGATATCCCTTACGCATACTCTTGAGCCACGTGCATAAATCTTCACGACAGAGCAGAACATAACTTAGACCAAAATTGATTCACAATAATCCAATAATAATACAATCAATATTTCTCAACAACTATTGATAATTTATAGTAGTTTAAAACTAAAGAAAAGTCATACCATCTCTATATTGGTGATTTAAAAGAGTTTCCACTGCGCCACAGATAAGGAAATAGCTGTATATTCAATTAATGACGCAATTTAAACTGGAGATAATTTTAACTTCAGGTCAGTCCGGACGTGCTGATGATCTTTGTAGAATAGCAAAGAATGAACAAATGCATCTCTCCGCTGTTCTGACAGTGAATCGCACTGCAGACGCAGAGGAGTAAGGACTCATTTACGGTGTTGTCTCCCTCTTGACCTTCCTTAATCCTGAGAAATGGTGAATCCCGTTCCACGCTGAAAATCCTGTGAATGAATCCGGCATTTAACTGCAAAGGCACACTGTGCCATCTGTGCAACATTGGCTTCTGAATTGTTTCACTTTCACTTTCACTTGAACCGGCAATCCGCTAGATGGGGCCAGTAGCTAGACAAATTCACACTCTTGAATTAAAGTTTGTGCTTGGTGATGACAGTGGCAGCAAAGGAAGCCTTGCAGTGCATAAAGTCTACGCAGGATCTACATTCATGAGCCTATCAAGTACTTACTGAATGGGTTGGGGCCTCGACGCTTAGCACTTGCCGGCATATTATTCTTAGGTTGGTCTAATCAAAGCAGAAGCAGACGAAGTGTCAAGGTTTTTGTTTGAAAGAGCATGAAGTTATGAAAACAACAGAGATATGGTAACATCGTTTTCAAAGTTATTATTTCTGAAGATATGAATGTTATTGACTAGTGTCGTTTCACCGAATCTGTATTCTCTCATTAGTAATAAGAAAATGATTGAGACATGCAGAAATTCCGTTCCCGACTGAAAGTTCACAAACAAGATAAAATTGCAAATCTTCTAAGTTGTTCTACAATCCAGAGAAAATTAGAAAGCAATGAAGGAGAAAATGAAATTTGTAAACGTTTCATTATCTAATCTACAAAATAAAGTTTACTTGATTAAGTGACACAATTTACAAATACCCACCGTTCACTCCTAAGCAGCCTAGAAATTCTTCCACTGTTATTTTTTTGTTATTATCAGCATCACAATATTCAACAAAATGACGTCCGCACTTTTTGAAAGATTTCTTTTTTCTGACTTCCTTCTTTAATTTTCGTAACTCCCGTCTGTCCAACATCTGACAAAATACAAGGAACATTTTCTTATGGATACAGTTTGAATTTGTTTTTCAGGAATAAATAAGAACGTCACAATATTTAGCTGTAATTTATTCTCACAGGTTATATTTCCACTTTCAATCACGTGTTTTGCGTCAACGGAAACTTTTGAGCAGGAAATTAAGGTTAAGATTGTAGTACATAACATATAGAGTTCTACTTGATTTAATTACCGAACATTGGTCAAATACTAAAAAAAGGAATGCAGTTTGACATTTTTCCATCGTTAATATGACGTAAATGAAGTTTACCATGTTATTGTTTCTGTCTAAGACTCGCAGTTTCCATCGTGCAACCCGTTCTTCCAGAGATATGTTAGGGTTCCCAGACACCAGTTTGCTGTAGTGAAAATATGAGAATTATCAAAGGGAATCATGCTGGAATATTGTTTAAAAAATTCGCAATCATATCTTTTCTACATAGTTTGCTTTAGGACCAGTGCAAATGGTTGAGTACAAAGAGTTGAGAGATGCAGTGCAGATTATTTTTGTAATTGAGCCACCCTGAATCGCAGAAGGCCTCTTTTGGCATTTTAAGTGAGCACAAGTGTGTCCTGTGCAGAGGAGAAACTCGGGGTGAGCAATACATGAAGAGATTAAGACTTGCTTTTGTTCTTTTGATGCATTCTTGTTAACGACTATTTACTTTTTTCTATCGATAATTTACTTTTTTTTCTATCGATAGTGATTGTAACCACAAGATAATGGACAATCAGTAACTATCGCTTACCTTTTGTCTGTTTTATTGCCTGATGCATATTCCACCATTTCCGTGGTCATGTCATCAAGAAGTTCCACCAAAAATTCTCGTTTTTTGTCACAGCCTGATGTGTGGATAAAATAAAAAATGCATGATATTTCTGTTTTACTTAATTTTTACATGTAATTACGAATAATTTCGTCTTACCAAGAATAAATCGTGTGCTGAGCCAAACTGCAGTAAAAATATATACAGTGCACGCCAAGAGCTGTGCGTGTTACTCTCATGAACCTGTAAGGCTTTATTCCCATAGATTTTAGATCGATCTATCCCCGCGGGGAGTCTCACTAGATTACTTTCAGATAATCCGACTTAAATGTCCATCCCGCCTACTACAAGCTGTAAGGGGGTAATTAACTTTCGTGTCCGCCCGGCTGACAGCTATTTAGCGTGAACCCCCAGGGAGTTAGGTCGATCTAAAGTAGGTCGATCTAATCTATGGAAATGGGGTGTAAGTTTAGGTTTTACGAATCAGGACAGCATAATTGTTCATGTTAGGCTGATTAATGATGATTGTGCACCGTGGATCTTTCTAGTTGCAATACACATAGACTTGAACTGAAGAGTTCAGCTTAACTGATGTCTGACAATAGTACATAAAAAAGCAAACAAATACATTCTTGGTGTTCTTTCTTACATCTTAGCGCATTTCAATCATTCAGATAAAATGTACGAGATTTCATACAGCGCTTTTGAGTGGCGGGGTGGCGGGGGGTCAGGACCCTTCTTTTTCTGAAAAAATCACACCAATGGTCCCCTCTTGAAATTAAAATTTTGACCAGCTGAATCATAGTTCTAAATCGTACCAATTGCACCGTTCGCCCTCAAAAAAAACCCCCAAAATATTTCGGGGCCCTTCAGAATTTGCTTAAATTAACGCCGAAAAATTGGTCTCCTTTTTAATGCTTACCTTTCCACGGGTTGTCACAGTTTGGCTTCACTTTGTGCGTAGATGTCCCTGGTATGGGTCTGCCCGTATCCTGGTCAACACACCAGCAGTACCCTACCGAGGTATGGCATTGCGCCTTGTCGTATTTGCCCTCTGAAGTGCAACTTGGGATAAAGATGCTGTCTTGAGGACTATTCTGATCCATCTGAATGGCTGATTCCCTCTCTTCCCGACAACTTTTGACTCCTAAAGTGTAAAGAGATACAAAAGTGAGATTATCAGATAATTCAACCTAACAAAATTGAGGTTTTACTCTGAAAAATACATTGAAAACACACGCTCTTTCGGTATTTACTGAAGTTAATAGATTCAAAAAAGCCCTAAACACTTACGGTCCTCTTTTTCTTTGTCTGTTTTTCTCTCGCTGAGACCAGGCCTGTCTCGTATGGGGATATGCATTTGCATCTTCCCAAGGGTTGGCTCACTGCGGGGTGCTGACGGGAAAAGGAAACCTTGATAAAGTGAAGATAGTCGTCAATAGCAAAAAGAGCGCAAATTTGACAAACAAACCAAGGCTTACACCGGCACCCAGAGGCATATGTTACGAACAACTATGACCAACAAGTTAGGCAACGTGCTTGCGGTTATTAACTGCGAGCTTTATTCCGTTAATAAATGAACATGTTGCTTTTGCATTAGAGAATATTAAACCTGCCTTCATACAAAAGACTGAATGAAGCAATTGTTAATATTTCTGAATACTGCATTTCGTTCATTCTATTACTGGTTTAAAACTTGGCACTGCTGAAGCCACTCCCGATAAAAACAGGAAAAACCCTACTCGAAAACGTCCGCCTGGAATTCTTCGGGTCATACTTAACGCACAGTTACAGTTGGAAAAAAAATCGGAATTCTGCATTCCATGCCAGTACATCTGATAATTGGAAGCTATTTCAGCCAATGCATGCTCGTTTTGTTGTAAATGATCACTGGTAATCTTGCATGCACAAAGACAGAAATTCAACTTCCTCGATTTGACTAATTACACACATTTTTACCAGCTACTACTACTGTACTACACCAACTACCAATAGTTATCTTTTAACTAAATATTACAAATTTACACGCAGAATACGAACGGTAAATACAGATTATGAAACGAATTTCTTTAAAAATAACGTTACGCTCATGTCCTTCCATGCTTCTCGCTTGGCGCTTTCTCGTTATTTACGTTACCTTCTTTGGCTGCCCCATCTGCCGTCATCTGGTGCTTGGAACGGGTCCCCACTGAGTCCAGGGATAAGAATAATTGAAAAGAAACTACATTTCACAAGTGAAACACACACTGTAGACATATTGCAATATTGCATTGTTGCACTGGCCCGGCCTGGGTTAAAGTTAGTCGTAAAAGGCTGAAGAAAGAATAGAAAACGATAAGCTTATGGTTGGTCTACTGACATAGGTCTAGTGGGAATTGACCACGGCAACACACAGTATTTCATTTCGGTATAGAGGCGTTTTCAAATGCTATAAATTAGCAATCTCAACAAACAACACCATCTACATTCAGACATGTACGTATACTTTATACACACACTAGACAATAGAAGTGTCACCCCCTGAATCAGAGTAATCATAGTCATAATGCCTGGTCTACTTATAATGTGACTAATGAGTATAAAACCGCTGTACCATGGAATTGTATTGCTGGTCTTTTTGTGAAATTTGATGTTACTAAAATGATACCAGGAGTATATCATTCCACAGTCATTTATCTCCCCCAAAGTACTGGTTCAGTAGGGGTGACACTTCTATTGTCCAGTGTGTGTACTTATGACACGTGTTCAGTTAAGGTATATCTCATTTACGGAATCAACATTTTTGTCATCAAAGATAATGTTTCGAGGCAAAATTTATCAGTAGATCAACCACACATTAAAAAGTATTTGCAGCGACAACGCTTGACGCAGGAAGCAAATAGGCCTTGAAACGTACAAAACACGTGACGAGAACTGAAATGAAAGCAACAGTGAAGCAACACAAATCAATGAAATCACATTCCCTACTGTCCACAACGTGAAAAGAAGACTACCAAAAGTGACAAAAAACATAAGGCATGGGTCGTTATCAAGATCAAATTACGTTGTGGATAGTACGATGAATTTACCAATAATTGAAAGTCACAAAAGTATCAGGTGTTAGGGTGTGAGTCGCATCGTTTACTCAAGCCTTCCACGCAGCCTGTCTCCCACGCTCAAATGCAAAGTTCTACCTCTTCACATTATACATCATTTTCTTCAAACATTTCCCATCTTCTCATAGTGTATACTCTGCCACATATAGCTTTCATCAGAATCTCCCACCTTGATATTCAACTTTCCTTTCGATCAACATTTATATCGCAAAAGCTACAGAAATTCAGAAAAAGACAGATGCCCTCCACCCGACGACAAATACACAGCAAATTGAAAAAGCAAAACATCTTTACATGGCACGTAGTCTACGAATTTGTTACGTGAAACCGGGTCTAAACCTTTTTGTGATCAGGGGTTTGTGTCTGTCATACTATATAACAAGGCCTGGTAGTATTACCCCCTCCCCCCCCCTCTAGGATATTGCAAGGCTAGGCCGATTGTTTCTAATTTTTGGAGCTTGTACAGATGAATAGTGTTTAAATCAAGGTTTCCCTGTGCCGGACTTGCTGAGAAAAATATTATAATCGAAAAAATTCATAGATACTGGGAAAACCGTGTGTTTTCTGTCCATTGATAACGTGGCAATATCTGAAATTCATTCAGTAGAAACAGGTTGATAACGCGTTGTAAAGCGGAGCTTGAAAAAGCCAAAAGCAAAGATGAAACGGAAAGGGCACAAGATTTTTAAGGGCTATTCTGGCACAAAATCACCTGTAAAAACGTTACGGCCTTCCTGACGATTTTGACAGTGTCTATATTTAAAGGCCATGTGCCTAAAACGTGAGTGTAAACATTTTGGGTTACCGGGAAAATTTTCATTTGCTCGTTTGATGGTGTTTTCGGTTAACTGGTACAAACGTATAATTCACTAAACACAGAGTTTAAACTAATTACTGAAATTACACGTGTCATGTCCCAAGAAGTATTTCAATGTGTGACTGCTGCGCGTGTTAAGCATTATGTACACTGCTTCCGAATTCCTTTTACTTTGCGTAAATGATACCAAATTTTAAAAACGTACACACTGGTTGTTTTTCTGTTTTGACCAATTTTTTATATATAAGTAGAATGGGTAGAATGGGGTGATATACTTTTTTTTAGTTCGTACTGCCAAATATTAATAAACTGTAGCAAATGTCTGTTATTGGTCTGTGTGCTTGGGAGACGTATGTACAGACTGCATTGTGCCAGATTAACCTTGATGGTAGCCACGAACGTGGGTTGAAAGAACACAGTTCTCGCAACCAACTTTTTTTATCTGCCTGCAAAACCTCATATCTTCAAGGTTTGTAGGCAACTTTAAGGGACAAATGCCAAAAGAGTAACAGTTTTTTTTACGGTGCCCACAGCGATTTTGGCACCTTGCCTCAGGGGTCATAGATTCATCCATTTTCCAAACAGTTTTTGCCCGTTGACCCCAAGACCTTGACCAATGTTTGAATATCTGACGTTTCTAGATTATTTTAGAAATATTGGTATAGTCGTTTCAAATATCCTGAACAACAGTGATTGATTCCGGCTGTTATGAATGGTCATTGTCTTAAATACCATATACACTGCCAATGTTTTTAATCGTTTTCAATTTTGGTGACCATAAATGGTTCCCAACGACAAAACTTATTCTTATTACCAATTAATTTGCAATCTCATTCTCTGTCCTACCAACGCAAAGATTCCCTCTATGAATGTTGAAGTTGGGTTACTTTTCATTTTGTTGTTGTATTTTGATTGTGCTGGGCACCCAGACAGGTATTTTTCAAAATGAAAATGTTTTTCTGAGTGCGATCACCTTAACACTTAACAAAGTGGTTCCACGTACTTGCACTTTCGGTTCATTATACTGTCACTGTTGCAAAATAAATAAATAAATAAATAAATAAATAAAAATTCCCTTTTCATTTGCTACTTTTTCAGATCATATGGTATAGGACGAAGAAAATTAGAGAATTAAAGTCTCTCTCCCAATATATTTTGTTTTACTGACCTGTCTGTATTCTACAGTCTAATTGTCCTATTTTAAATTTTGATCAATAGTCTAATTTTCCAACCAATACTTACTATTGACATCAACCCCTAGGCAGATCGACCACTCCTGATTGCTGATCTTCTTATTATTGTCTGTATCACAGAACTTCAGGAACTTCTTGGCACAGGATCTTGGTTTCACAAGCTTCTTCACCATCTTACGTAAATTTCTGGTTTCTCGGGACTTCAGCTGATTGTCTTTGTCGCGATCCAATTCGGAAAATTTCCACTCTGTTACCCGTTTTTCATGCGTATCCAATATAGAATCTGAGTCAGATTTGATTGGTAAGCCGCCTTTAATGAAATAAAAGATTGGTCAATAGAAGCTGATTGCTGCAAACACTCATTTAGACACATTTATTGAAATTAACAAAACCATCAAGGTGAAAGAAGAGCATAAGCTTCCAGAGAACTGGACGACTGGAGAGAATTTGCTTCAGTATTTTAATGTTCTTTTTCCATCTGTTTGGCTTTGTCGGTCCTTTTGTGCTATCTGGATATCAACTCAATGATTAGAAAACTGAACACTGATAATCGTCAAATTTGTCTTACAACAACTACAAAAATTGAATCAATCAACTACATCAGAAATACACAAGACAACTCACCCGTTGCTAGGCCGGAGAGAGGAGAGGAGGATTTCTGCGGGCGTGGTATTCTCTCATATTCCTCGGCAAATTGTTTGATCAAATTGGCATTAAATTCTTCTCTTTCCTCTGCTTTACACCCTAAAATATTATGCATTCCACAGAGAACAATACTTCAATTAAGCCTGCAAGTGTCAAACATGAAAAAAAACTTGACATTTGAATGTACATGCCAAGTTTTTGTATATTTTAATGGACAGGTGTTATTAAAATTATTTGACGTAAAACAACGTAGAAAGCAAAGCTGTGAGTGCTGAGGCGGCAGTTTCGACCATGGCAGGTCGTGAAGCAGAAGCGCTGGCTGTGCAGTTGCTAAACCAACCAAGAACATTAGCTTTAAACGTGTTAATCGTCATTCCAAAACATAAACATATCGATATAATTAGATAACTAAATCTGAAAAATTAATTATCTAAAGACAGAGAGACAAAAAAGTCATGACGTCCCTTTGTATAATCTTAATAGCAAAGGTATAAGTCTTGATTATCATGAAATAATAGGACAGACCTAATATTTTGAACGCTAATGCGTTTAAAAGAATTGTATAAGTACAGATGAAGTAGGAAGCTAGATAAACGCCACAATAATCCGATTTGTCGTGGCATCTTGACAACACCGGGTCCCCTGTGAAAATGCTAAAATCAATGGCAAAAAAAAAAAAATCATACTTTTCATTTTCTCAACAGAAGCTAAGTGATCGATATACCATTCCTTTTTACAGGGCCATTTAAGTATCTTTCTTGAAAACGGCGTCTGAACCCGATGAGTCATATACTTTTATATAATATATTGGAAAACATCTTAGTAGAATTTGTTAGAAGCAAGCTAAAAAGCGAAAAGCAAAAAGCAAACGCACACAGTCTGTCGTCCGCTTACCCTTCTGTCCACCGCTTGGGGTGGGATTGGGCATGGCTAAAAGACAGTAAAACATGGCCATGAATCTTGAACAAGACAAAGATGAAATCAGTGTTATCGTCTTTCCTTTACTTACTGTCAAATTATAAATTCATCAGACTGAGCTGCAGAAACAAAACCAAAAAAAACTGTTTGTTTCGATTATTTAAATAGATATCCGTTCATTTGTTTTTAAAATGATTTTACAGCAAGATCATGTAATAAATTGTCCTCCTTTGTCTCCTACCCCTACACACCACCTTCTCTCCCATTGCGGTGGAGGTGTTAGGAATTGGTTTGCCCAGGGTGTTGACGCACCAGCAGTAGCGCGCCGCTTCATGACACTGCACCTTGGCGTAACTGCCGTCAGACTCACACTGGGGAACGTACACCCCAGACCGACTCGTACCCTCTGAGACCGTCTTCAGCGCCGTGCGACGCTCCTGCATGCATTTTGATGCATTTGGGTCTAAACGTGTGGAAAATAAATGGCTCGTCAGTTTAGAAGCAATTCAGAATTTCTTTCCTGCGTTATGTCAGAACAACCAGATTGATATCAATACATTTTTTAGAAAAATATTTTTAAAAATGAGTTATAATAAATTTTGTGATTCCTCTCCATTTTATTTTTTAATAAAATACTTAGTCTACTGTTTCTGTATCTTTTGTGACATGTTTTGGGTGTCTATAAAGGGGAAAAAATGAATGTAATATCACCCTGTCTGTTGTGATGACATTTCATTACATATCAGTACAAGACAGTAGAAATCACGGGATTTTTCCTTACAAGACTCTTGAACACCGACAAGAATATGTGCACAAAACTTGCATTAAGAAACTAGCTAATTGACAAACAAGAAGTACGTATATGCAAATATCCACATGCAAATATACGTTACATCTTTGAACGTGGTGAGAACTGTAAAGTTTAATATGAGTAAACGCAAAGTTCTACATTTAAATAAACCTGGAGCATTATTTTAAAAACTGTTATTTTCAATTTCATAAAGTAGAAGCCCAACATACCAAACGCCTCCTCCCTCCAAAAGCCAAAATGGTAATGAAATTAGATTATTATTATACTATTAATGACGATAGTATTAGATAGTAGTATTCAAAAGCGTCAGGAAAAGTTGGACGAAGTCACCAGCTTAAATGAAAACTACAGAAAATTGACTTAACTTCTGTATTAAACCCGAAATTGTAAACAAAAGTATCATTCTACACCATTCTTTAAACCATGCTTTTTGCCGAATGACTCAATAAAAATGAAACATCTTCAACCTATCCCTTTAACCTTTTAAAGAAACACCGTATTAACCGCCATTGGAAACCTAATTCCCATTTTCACATTACTATTTTGACTACAGCAAATTTGACACAGGTGTTCACCAAATGGTAAGAACATATTTTATCACAAAATGATTCTGCGTCAACGGATAGGTAAATAATCTAATCTGGTTCTGTTTAATCGGCGAAATTATTGTATCTTAATCGAATTAAAGTGCGCGCATACAAAATCCCATCTAAGTGTTCAATTCGCCCGTTGCTGATAGTGTAGGGAACTTTTTCTCACGTAGAGTAAATACTCTGGAGGCAGATGGAGCTCCACTTTTTGGGTCACATATCAGGCACAAGAACATGTAGAAAAACTCGATTTAATAAATTTATAAAATGGATGATGGATTGTTCAAACAATGAGTTCAGCCTGTCACCACTTTTTTATTCAATTGGCAGCAAGCTAGAATTAATGAATGTTTTATTGAGGTGTGACGCTGAACGCCCACTTATACCAACAAAATATCTACCATGTGTCGCAGAGAGAACAATCCGAGTTAATGTCCCTTTTCAATTTCATATTTCATAAAAACATGACAAACGTCATGGCAGCTAAACCCTATCACGTATATTTACATTGAAGAGAATTTACAAAATGTACTGAGATTCGCTTACTGAAAACTAAAATAATTGCTATAAATCTCCTATCATTATGATATAAAAAGAGGACTTCTTGACCATTAGAGATAGAAGTCAAATCCTTATACAACTTAATCCTGATTAGCCACGAAGTATGTTTTAGATTATAAAGGTAATAGTGGAAGAAGCTTTTTATCAATCTTGCTGTCCGCCATTTCCGAAACAGTCAGGGAGAGTGATCACGGCTCGGTCACATTTCGGCGTATCAATGGGCATATGACTATTCACGTAAAGATTGATAGGCCTACACAAGTAGATTGCATTTTATAATATGAGCAAGTGAAATGTATTCCGGTATTGCTTGGCATCAAACTGGTTGTAGCAATCGGTTTGCTTCATTGATTGTGTATTGCAGTAATTCAAATGGTCGTTTGTTAAAAAGAATTGGATTGTATGTACTAACCATTAACCAAGTTAGATCGTCATATCTCACAGAAACTCATTATGAACAAAATAAAGGGATTTGGAAAGGAGACTTAAGTATAAAAAAGTGTGTAATCGGAGTGTCGCTTGTGTAACATAAAAACATTTGTTAATTGATGAAAAAAATAATCTGATACGACTTCACCAGTACCTGGGCATTCGCCTTTGCTGCGGACTTCCAGATCGCTTCTTCCCTCACACGCCTTCACCCTCTTCAGCTCGCACCTGGACTCGTAAGTGCGCCCATCATTGCCACACACAGGGCGAGGTCGGACATCTGTGCAGCTGTCAGCCCGGCATGAGGACCGTTTCTAAATAATAATAATAATAATAATAATAATAATAATAATAATAATAATTTATTGAGCACTAAATGGTATGAGGATACATTTGCAGGCTCACTAGACTACAGTATTTACACAATATATAAAGATACACATTTATATATGTATATGTATATACAGTTCTAAATAGACAAAAACAAAGCTGAGAGCAAAACAAACAAATTTAATAATACTACAAATAACATCAGAATGGAGATTTAGCAGGCTCAGGGTTATCGCCCTGCTAGAGCACGTATCTTAAATCAGTGCAGAGTATATCAAAAAGGAAATAATGTGAACACGACTTCATCTGATCGGCCAAAAGGGGGTCGTCTCCCCCTCATCCTTTGCAGCTGACCATGTGTTAAAAAGTTAAATTTGGCTTCCTTGTGTAGACGACTGCTATAGCATTTCAGTATTGCAATGAACGCACTCAGGCCTGCTTAACCGAAAGTGTCCATTAAAAAGAAACCATGGATCACAATAATGAAATTCATTGAACCTAAAACACAGGATAAAATTACGCAAGCTTTATTATGATAGAAGCGGTTTTGTCTATTTTTTAACTTCGTACATCCCGCTAAATGTGTATAGATTGCTTTGATGCCGCAAGTGATTTGCTTTGTGTTGTAGCATAGAGAAATAGGCCCTATCTTTTGGTCCACCTCTGCTCATAAAGAATTGAAGGTTAGCTAATCTTTTTAGTTTTTTCGTGGCGTATCTTACATCCACTGCTTGTCTACCCCAGGTTTTTCTGATAACAGACAAAGCAAGCGACTACTGCGTTATGGCAGATAACCTAACCTGCACGTGTAAGTATTTATTTATCTCTCTCTAATTATATAAACAAACACAAATCAAGACCAATTTATGTAACCTGGGGATATTGAGCACCCGTGGCTGCACAAATTTAAAACATTCTGGTACATTCAGGAACAAACGCTTTTCACACCAAGAAACAAGAAACAGCAGTGAACGATTTGTACGCTTAATGGCATCCAACCAGCTGTATGTCAGCGATGTGAAGTATCCAATTGTTCTGTGCAAAATGCCCAAGTTTTATTTATATTTCATACGTTTGAAGGCCACTAAAAACGGATCCCACAGAAATGCATGCTGACATATGCCATACTCCTGCAACACGGGTTTCTTCTCTGTCTGAAGACATACATGTAAATAACATTTTAAACTTTTAGTTATATCTCTATAATATTCATCAGCTACTGAGTGGATTTTCTTTAAGAAGAGACGCAAGATTTTACGTTTGGTGTGCAGTTTTAGTTCAACAAATTAAAACATGATTACTTCCTTTATTCTAACCTCTTTTACATATGATTCTTAAGTTTTTTATTTTTAATTTTCTAAGTTTTATGTCACAGAAGTCATACATGTCCGAAGGAGTTTCCCTAACAGGGATGGTTTAAAAGAATATTATATGTCACCTTTGCTTATTTAATGTATTTATCGTTTTTTTTTCAATCTGACTTCTAATAAATATGCCTTAGGCTATGCCTCGGTTTTGTTTTGTTGCTCTTACACTACAAAGATATTTAATATGGAAGGGCATTTAAGCTCTGGAAAGAATTAGAGGGCAAATAAGAAAGATAACATTTTGGGGAAACATAAGATGGGGGCATATCAAGTGCATATAATATTTACTGTGACATTGTTGAAAGAATTGCATAGTTAGCAGTGTATAGGTGGATATATGTCAAAGTCCAATAACATTTAGAATTGAACGCTTTCTAATTTGGGCTCTTTACATCGAAAATCTGACTTTTCAAATCCAAGTATCTTTGTGACCCTACCCTCATCATAAAAATAACCAAGTGAACCACAGATATGAAAACTATGCAAAATAAATCTAGTCATCCAACCACGTAAACCAGACCGAGTTCCGGTCGAAAGTAGCCCTTGTCTGAACAGATCTGTAGCACTGCATAAAAAAACTTTTTGAAGTCTCCCTTACTGCTGCAGCAGGTTTTAATATCTTTTCATAGAACAATATTATGTTTTTGTATCACTTTTGAAGAAGCGGTTTTGAAAATCTGTAAAAAGGCGAACAGTTGCATGGTGGTGGGATGTCGGAAACTGCTTTAAATTCTACAGCCATCTCGTTTCAGACCCCGTTCACCTGTGCATTATAAGTTGAATACAATTTTGCCCTAAACACCGGATCATTTCCAACCACTATGTACCACCACGAACAATTTGTTAATAGAGCGGTCGCGTCGCACCACCTGAAAAAGGCATTCAAATAAGCAAGGTTTTGTGTTGACGAAGAATTCAATTTTTCGAATGAAATCACAGATATAAAACGCTTAAAAGCTAATATGGGAAATTTAGAACTTAATAATTTGCCTTGTGTGTGATAGACAGAGAATTTGTGTTCCCTTGCACAAAGGGAACGAGGACGGGTTTGCAATGAATAAAAGGGCAGCGGTTACTCATACTGGTACTCCCCAAAACTGCACGAAATGCTTAATGGGTACGGCGACGAAAGGAGTTGATGTGCTCTCAATAATATGTCATTTTGGTTTGGAAACCCTGGTATCACAAGTTATCAAGCGCTTCCAATGCACCCAGATTCTTTTTGTTTAATACGGCTTAAACTGCAACCCTGTGTTTCGTGGTCTAAAGGATGACTCTCCTATTCACAGTTTGCCCTTACCGTCACGTGAAACCCAGGGTGTAATCTACGCCCAACACCGGAAGGTGACTTGCCCAAGAGACGCTAAAATCAAAGTCACCAGCACCAGACCTGCAAATGAGGCTAGCAGTCCCGACAATGACATGACAACAGCATATATCTTATAGTTAAAATTACGGGACCATGTCCTTCAACATACTATAAAAACCTGAGAAAACCCGTGTGAACCATGTCTTTGAGATTCCAAAGATGACACCAACGAACTTTTATTCTGTGGTTGCACTGGACGGTGTTTGAATGGGGGAGTGGAGTGCACTACTTCTTTAGTACTTTTTCATGACTGGTAATAATTAGGTAGGGAAATAAAACGCATATCAAGTGAACACTGTATAATGTGGCTTAAAGAAGGCAGTGGATTCGAAATACCACAAACGGTCTTTCATTTGGCTGTTTGTATCCAAAGAATTAAAATGAACTTGTTAATAAGTTTTTTTACGCCAAGGTTAAATCCCGTGTTAATCTAAATGGGCTGTGAGGTGTTCGCCCGCTTCACAAGACAGCTACGGTATCATGTGCGGGTGCACGGGCATAAAATAAGTAATTGACTGATTTATTTAAAAATAAAATACGAGGGAGTTGGTACATGTACCGATATACTTAGGTAACTGTGCATAAATCTTTTAATTCAAGTCACCAGTGCACCACAGCATTTTGTCGCACGAGTTCAAAAGTGGCGTGTCTCATTGTTGGCTCAGGTGCGCAAATCTGGTCCACACACCTGAGTAGCAAATGAACTCAGTTTAATTAAGATTGTTATTCGATCACTATTGTTTGAATGCGGACTATTCGCACCTCTCCAGCTGTACACCTGCGAGGGAGTTGGTGCATAGCAAGCCACGTGCCTGGGTAAGTTCCTAAGACAGCGGGAAAGCACGTTCTTTGTCACCTTGTTCTACTTGAAGCAGTTCCACAATCGGTTTGAATTTAGCTTTATCGTCCTATCAAGGGAACGTGGGAAACAGGAAAAATTCAGAACTCTTCTATGAAATATTGAATATTTTTTTCTACTTTTAATTTTTTTTGGGCAACTCATCTATTGGACAAAGGCCAACAAGTGTAAGCTTGGCATTATTCATCGTTGCCAGGAAATTGCACAAAAACCAAATATAGATATGTCCTATCACCCCGGCACGCTGCATTATCTTACCTCCGTCTCATCATTTTTCATCTTTCTGAATCGTTTTGTCCTTTGCTGATAACAACGAAATAAGTATTTTCAAGCTTTGGGTTGTTCTCAAGTGTGACTGCGATATTGAACAAAATACGTAGTTCTTGCTTCTATGAATCCATCACAAGAAGTTTTGTGGCTATGTAGACCGCTTCTGTACGTCGCTATCTATGGGGGCGTGAATGTTTATTCTCTTTTCCCGCAAAGCAGTAACGACCATGCGGCGTACATAAATAGTACAAGGGAGGTGTGGCTTTTTTAACCAACATCTCCACTTAACAACGTCATTTTCCATTAAAAACGCTATTTTGTAAAAGCTACATAGCACCATTCTGGAAGCTCTTAACATCGCTGCATGGGAGGACAGGAGAAAATGTACATCCCAAGCAAGAAAATAAACGAGCGGTTAGTGCATACCGTTTTCGCTCAAACCACATCCTCTCTTTTACTGAAATATGGAACGAAAATAAGTGCCGCTTTATGGGGTCCAGTAATTAAGTACAGAAATGTAAACTGTCGAGAACTTAGGACGGAGAAGGATTTCAATAATCGTGAAGTTAAGACTGAAGTCCAGGGTGTGAGTAGAATTATCACCGTTGTTTTATTACCCAGTCAGCGTGTTCGGGGTTTACGGGCTTTACTACCCGCAATCTGCCTATTCCATTTTTCCAACAGTGAAGTCAAAAACGTAATCTCATTGCCATCGGCACATAAAAGGCTGCGGTGCCTAATGAAAAGATGATTTCAAGACTCAAAACTGATACCTTCCTCTAACTTGCCAATAACTTCAACGGTAAACAAGCTGAGATGCACGTAAAACCTGGGGTACCTGTGCCGTTGTAACGCCTGTTTTTCATACATTAAAGTTAAAATTAACAAGCGCTAATTTTATGGGGAAAAAAGCAAACACCGTTAAATCTGTTTAATCTGTTATTAGAACTGGTCGGACTGAGACAGCAGGGTTGATATTGGCAATGGACGTGAGAGTTCGTGGTCAGTATTGACTGATATTCCTGGGGTATTTGGTTTCGTTGAGAACAAGACTTTCATTTCCTCAAATGTTGTAGAACATTGACTGGATAGTCAACAACCACACACACACACACACACACACACACACAGAGAGAGAGAGAGAGAGAGAGAGAGAGAGAGAGAGAGAGAGATGATTGAGACTGAAACCTCCCCCAAATAACCGACACGGTTTGCCCTTTCCTTTACCTCGACGTTGAAGCGGTTCGCACTTAACCTCGTGCCCGAGTGCTTTTAGCGCAGCGAGACCGACAGAATACCAGCTTTGGCTTCACGCTTTTTCTCAAAACTCACTCATCTTAAAGTAAACTTGCGTGAATAGGGCCGCATTAAGTCATATTATATCCCTAAAGAGAGGACCTAGTCGATTATAAATCCCACTCACTACAAGTGTGTAAATCACGTCTATTGAAGGCTATACCTGTCAACAATAGTAAATATTGTGACGGGAATTTAAGAAATAAAAATAGATTGGTGACTCGATATAATAGAAAGAATAATAGCTGGAGGACAGAGTCTGCCACTCGGTTTTTCTACTCTTGTTTAGGTACAGGAGGAGCGGCTTGCGTTTTCAAATTATGAAACAAATATCTGAAACGTGATTATTACTATCAACAAATATCGCCAGGAAGCATCTGATCTTTCGCACTTCCAGGTTGTTTGTTCAACAATTAATGAAGCTCGAGAAATGGCACGTTTTGTTCTCGACTAGCGATTCAGTATTTTTATCTGTCATTTTTCTTACCCCTTAAACTTTGCTTCAAAGAAAAGGGGCCTATGTACAGGGTATTAGACTGCATTTAAACCAAGTAAACAAAAACTCTGAATTGTGCTTGACTTTTTTCAAGTTGAAAATGCCCCGCAGCATATCAATGGGTTAGAGTGTTATTACTGACTAATATAGTGACGTAGATTGTATTGGACTTAGAATGAGCGCTTTATATCAACTTATATTATTAACGTAAAAGAAAACGTTAATCATTGTGACTGTGACAAAGATTAAGCCCGAGTAGACCAGGGCGTACCAATGTTAAGAAAAGCTAGTCCGCTTCAAATTGCCCTCTCCCTCTCTCAAAGAGCTGCGAGTGTCATATTAAAAGAACGTGCTCAACATAAAGTTTACTTAATTAAATAATCCCGATCGAACATGACTGCAGTAATTCAGTGCTTCATGCACACGTGGAAAAATAGGTAAAGTGAAAAGATAAGATATCACGCTCAAATTAGTTTTATCATCTCCTGTGAGTGACAGCATTTCTAATATTTTACATACGTATGATAACAGAAAATTGCACCTTACCTGTTGCATTAATAATTCCACAGGAAATGACTAAAGAGCTGTGTGCAGCTTTCCACTGTATTAGAGCAGCACAGATACGGCTATCACGGGACAGATACTGCACGTAAATTTTTACATAAAAGCATATCGCATAACTACTGTGACCGTGACTGGCCTTTTAAAAGCTGCCATGGTACTGGTCTACCAGTATATATATATATATATATATATATATATATATATATATATATATATATATATATATATATATATATATACCCACCTGTATTGTGGCAAATCCCCCTTGTATCCACCCGCACACTAACACTAACATCATCAGACTGTGCTTCCAGTGGTGAAGTCTTGTGCTCGACATATTTGAGTCTAGTCGGTTAATACTCCGATGAATACTATATCCTTAAGTAAGCCCACTTCAGTTGTAGTTGTGTTCTTCGTTTAGGATTTTCCACCTTGGCTCAAGTTTCAACCAAGTTGCTCTCTTAATCGCGTTAGTTTTTTTAATGGTGTCAGCTGTATCTTAAATTCAAATGGTCCGCAACGAACACTCCGCAATAAACCTCCACTGTATATCCTCCAGTGAACGGTAAGCACTGCGTTGTAATGTCTCTACACAACCTAGATACGGACTTGTCTGGACAGCACTACCGCATCACTATCGCGTGCTGCAGATGCGTGTAAGATTATCCGCTCTGAAAACCAACCGACGTCGAGACAAACATAGAAAGAACTATTCCATTGACTGCAGTGTAAGCCACCCCAAATGTAGAGACTAAAATAAGACTAGTCACGTGGTCAAGGGAAGCCTTTGAATCCAGTCATTCACTCGTATCGCGAAATCAACCAATCAGGCACCCAAGGCTTACTTGCGCATTTGAACGCATTACCGGGAATTTCGCAGAGATTAAGATTGGCAAGCGAGATAGTACCCAATTAGTGGACCTTGACATGTTTTACGCTTGACATGCAGGGTAACAACAAAATTGCTGTCACCCGTGTCTGAAAGACTTCAATTAAAGGTTTTTATTTAGACAATTCTAAATAAGTACAATCTATTACATTGGTTTCATAGCTCAAATGTCCATAAATTTAATTCCATCCTCTCTTAATTCATTAATTTGTTTTCATTTTATTATTGCGTTTTTTAGTAAGTAAGGCACATCTAACCACAAACTGCGCAAACGGTTATAGATGTACGAGCGTCATGGTCTGAGATAATGTTCTAGCAGGGGCGAGCAACCGGTCTCTCCGCACATCTAACGCAGCTAAATATGCAGACCTACCTCAATGAGCCCCAGCCCTACAATAGTACCAAATTCACCAAACTCAGTTATCAAACTGCAATATTTTTATAACGTATAGCACAAGACTTCAAAAATCGTTACAAGTTATCTTACACAGCAAGCGTGTCTTCGAATTAATCCCCATCATATGCGAAACATGTGACTCAATTGTTTACAACACAGGACTTCTAAAAACTGCCATAACCAATGCACGTATGCGTTGTCAACAACAAACGGTAACCCGTAACTTAGAGAAGCAAGTTGTGTACAACCGTCACATTAAACTTGCAGCCTAACATTTGCCGGTATATTCCACTTAAAGTATGCTAACCGGTGAAGTTGCTACTTTGTTTGTGCAAGTACGTAGCATTATCTTTTAGAACGACTCAAACATGAATTTTAAATCGACAGAATAATTTCATGGTGCATAGTTTGAAAAACAATGTTCATTTATCTCTCAGAGCGGATAGTAACGTGTGGCAGCTTGTTTCCCAATTACTAGAGCCGCCGAATGTCAAACATTTCACTAGACTCGAGAGTCAACTAATTTACTGATTAATGACAAGATTTGACACCCGAGTTGACATTCACAACTAAATTCAAATGTCATGTGGTTTGATATAAACAATCACAGATGGAAATTTGTCTAATTAAGAAGTCAACTAATTACGTGATTAATGGGTCGGTCTGGCAGCCGAGCAGACACATTTCCAACTTGATTCAAAAGTCACGTCACTGGAACAAACAATCGGAGTTGTTCATTGATTAAGCTGTCAGGTACTTGCAGTGCTGAAAATAAATGAATTTTTGACTGGAAGAACTGAGGTAAAAAAGGGACGGCCTAACCTTCTTTCCACACGCACTGAGTAATCACATAAAATAATTTTTAAAAAATGTGCTAAAATCAAGAATCGGAACAAGACTTGTTGTCTTTTTTTATATTATACTGCATTCTTGCCTGATGGAAATTTTGGAATTATTCTACATTATTCTTAATTTTTAAGAAGGGAAATCTGACACCTTTTATAAGATAGCGGGATTAACTTGCGTTGGCAGTTGATAACAATTCGCACTTCTCAGTTCACAATTCACAGTTTTCTATGGAAAAACATAGAAAACGGAATTATGAACTGAGGTTTCCATAGAAAACTTGTGCTTATTATATTCAAGAGTTTTCAAATGAACAATTTCTTAGAATTCGCTATTAATTAGAGCGCTTCTATTAGATCAAAACCAATCGGGCTCCGGCCCAACCTGTCAATCGGGCTCCGGCCCAACCATGTATCCAACATGGGATACCTTTGGGCTAAACACATGGCCTCGAGCCGGCGACATATCTTTCAAATGTCTGCCACTGCCCGGAACCTGGTCTTGAAAGACCTCTTTTCTTTATCATTTTCTAATTTTTCTAGTAAAAAATTCGTGAAAAAATACGGTTCACGCACTAGTCTGGTAAGAAAATCAGTCCACGCATTAAAAATACGGCTCATGATCGGAAAACAAATAAATACGGTTCAAATAACCGAAGCGTTATAAAATGCCGTTCACGCAAGTCGCCGTTCACCGGAGACCCGGGCAGAGACCGTTAAGCCCAATCAGGCCTCTAGGGCGATGTCCCTTGAACGACGATCAGGACTGCCTCCTCCCCGCGGTCTCTGGGCGGATGGCTTAAGCGGTAGAGTGCTCGTCTCCGGTGCGGTAGGGCACGGGTTCGATCCTCAGCCGGGACATACCTGTAAAAGTTGCCATTCACCGACAGGAGGCCAGGCAAAGACCGTTAAACTCAATACCCGGTCTGCCCTCCACTGCCGAGGCGCTTCGAAGCCCCTTGAACGTTTATCAAAACTGCCTTCTCGTTACGGTGCCATAAAAAATGCGGTTTACGCCTGGCCGTCTCGACTTTTATCTGGTCGCTGCGAGCGAATAGTCAAATGCCGGCACTATACATATGTGGAGAGCAGTGGAGCTCGGACACTCGGGCAAGGCTCGAGCAAGACTATCCGTGGCGAAGCAGAAGTCTCTCTCACCGTGAGGCGAAGGCGATTCAGTGGCTGCCCGGGCGAGAGGCNATGCACATTCGATAAATTTCAGAACTATTAGAACTGGCATAATTAACACTTTGCAATAAAAAAGTGAAAATATATCATTAGTAAACTAGTAGACTTCCGGGCAAAAACAAAATAGTGTAATCACATTCATGATTTTCATTCAGTATTTATTATTTAATTCAATGAAAAGAAAGAAAAAGGGGGAACGGAGGGTAAAGCCACTGTACATTTACTTTTTGCATTACTGTAAATTACTGAGATGGGGAGAGATGGGGGCAAAGAAAATACACACACACTCACACACACACACACACAGAGAGAGAGAGAGAGAGAGAGAGAGAGAGAGAGAGAGAGATGAGGAAAAAATACGAAAAGTGGGAGAGAGAGAGAGAGGGAAAGAGAGATGGGACCACAGAAAATACGTACAGACAGGTAGAGGAAGCCAAAGCAAATACGAGAGAGAGAGAGAGAGAGAGTGAGAGAGAGAGAGAGAGAGTACCTTCGTTGGCCTCAGTGGCACAGATCAGTGTGGACCGAAAGAGCCATTGCAGTTCAGAATTCCAGCATGTCAGGAGGCCTGGGGCATTCAGACATGAGGACCGAGTGTTCACTCGTCTTGAACCTAGGGTCAAGAAAAGTATAAACGTTAATTGCAAAAAATCATTGAGGCCATTTTCCCATCAAAACACCACTGGTCTGCGTGGATCGACCAAACTCTGCGGGGACTCTTGCTGACTGCAATCAGTTTAACTGAATGACAAGCCTCCCATGGCGTAAAGTAGAATACAGAAAAGCTGCCAATTATACGATTATGTTGGAAACAAGATGAGGCGTGTCACTCGCTTAAGCTGATTGCACTTAACGAAAACCACTTTTTTCCACTCTCTCCTTTGCTACAATATAAATGCGTGTTAATGGAGTTTCAACTTTTTTATGTACAGACACAGATGTGTCTGTACATATAGCCGTCACCTGCGTCTGTCGTCGCCGTTGCCGTTGCCGTTGCCGTTGGCGTGCACTTTTACCGTAAACATGATAAGTGGAAAACCGTTTTACTTTTTGACTTGAAACTTACAGAACTGATGAATATTCATAATACGCAGGTCAAGTTCGAAAATCGGCATGATCGGGCCATTTTTAGGGAAGTTATGCTTTTTTTTCACTTTTTTCAGCATATATGCAACACCGTAAACACGATAAGTGAAAAACCGTTTTACCTTTTGACTTGAAACTTACAGAACTGATGAATATTCATAATATGCAGGTCAAGTTCGAAAATCAGCATGATCAGGCCATTTTTATGGAAGTTATGCTGTTTTTTTTTTTCACTTTTTTCAGCATTTATGCAACACCTATAACACATTTTAAGGAAAATTGATTGGCCAATTGTCTTGAAATTCACAGGAGTGATCAGTGTTACTAAAATACAGATTAAGTTTTGAAAAAAAGCTTGATCAGTTAAGTTTTGGTGAAGTTATGCCTTTTTTTTGTAATTCTCAGGCATGTTAATAGTCTCATTTTTTAACTAATTTAGATATGTTAAGTTGTTCTTTTGACATTTTCTGCATCTTAACAATATTGTTAGTTGATTATATATAAAAGACGGAAAACCTGTTATTGTGTACTGTATAATAAAGTGTCAAAAATGGAAATAAACTCATATCTTTACAGTTTGTCAGATTCAAACATTCACTATGTTCAGAATCTCTGAATGGAGCAAATTGGACATTTAAAATTGTTCTATTGATATTTTTCCTATGTCAACAATTTCCCTAGTTGATCATTTAAAAATGAAAGTAAATTGATTATTTTGTTTAATGTAAAAAAAGTGTTGTAAATGGAAATAGTCCCATTTCAGTATAGCTATCTCTTGTTTACATTTTGGCATTTTGAAAGTGTGACTCTGAACTTCCATGGCCTTGAAGACCTTCCCATATCACATTTTCTGAATATCCACGATACTTTTATTTTTTTATAAAAAAAATTGATGGTCATTATGCTGTTAAGCATTATGTAATGTTACATCAAAATTGAAGACAACCCTATTTTGGGCACTGCCTCCATAGTGACCATTTAAAGAAAAGCATGTCACTTACTCTTCTCAAACTCACAGAAACCTTGCATAGGACTAAAATGTAGCTTCAGTTGGAAAACCTGTTTTATCAAATAACTTTTCTGGAAATTATATAGTTTTTTGTGAGAATTAAAATTTTCACATAACAACATTTTCGAGATGTGACATTGAACTTCTATTGGTTTGAAGACCTACTGCTAATCATATTTCTTGAATATCCATGATACTGTTACTTTATTATTAAAAAATAATGGTTATTATGCTTTTAAGCATTATGTTATATTGCATGAAAGTTGAAGAAAACCCCATTTTGGATTGCGATTAAGGGTAAACCATGTTTCTTATGATACTTAAACTTACAGAAAAGTTTTATAGGTCTGAAGTGCAGCTTGTGTCGGAAAATCAGTGTGATTG